ATGTATGTATGTATGTATGTATGTATGTATGTATGTATGTAATGTATGTATGTATGTATGTATGTATGTATGTATGTATGTACGTATGTATGTATGTATGTAATGTAAGTAATGTATGTATGTATGTATGTATGTATGTATGTATGTATGTATGTATGTATGTATGTATGTATGTAATGTATGTATGTATGTATGTATGTATGTATGTATGTATGTATGTATGTATGTATGTATGTATGTATGTCATGTATGTATGTATGTATGTATGTATGTCATGTATGTATGTATGTATGTATGTATGTATGTATGTATGTATGTATGTATGTATGTATGTATGTATGTATGTATGTATGTATGTATGTATGTATGTATGTATGTATGTATGTATGTATGTATGTATGTATGTATGTAATTTATGTATGTATGTATGTATGTATGTATGTATGTATGTATGTATGTATGTATGTAATGTATGTATGTATGTATGTATGTATGTATGTATGTATGTATGTATGTATGTATGTGTGTATGTAATGTTATGTATGTATGTATGTATGTATGTATGTATGTATGTATGTATGTATGTATGTATGTATGTATGTATGTATTTAATGTATGTATGTATGTATGTATGTATGTATGTATGTATGTATGTATGTATGTATGTATGTATGTAATGTATGTATGTATGTATGTATGTAATGTATGTATGTATGTATGTATGTATGTATGTATGTATGTATGTAATGTATGTATGTATGTATGTATGTATGTATGTATGTATGTATGTACCCCCCCCATCTTCCGCCGGCTGACGCGGTGCGAGGCATGGTGTGCCACTGGTACCTTACGATGCCCAGCGGGCAGACAGCGCATTTGCGCTCGGAGGTCTTCACGGTGAGCCCGGCGCCCGAGCTTCCACTGGGCGTGACGCGTTTTTTTCCGAGGCGACAGGGGGGGGGTGCCAGTTGGGGTGTTTGGAGAGGGAAGCAAAGCGGAACGTTTTTAGTTGTTTGGTTTTTTGTGCCTTGTTTCTCCATTGCTAGTACGCAACTACATAGACTGATGATTCAATTGTCTCTGTGCATGGGGACGATGAAAGGGGTAAGGCATGGTTTTCCACCAACGAGTCAATCGATCCTGCATTGTAACAACAACTTGTTGTATAACCCAAAGGCGTGCGCGAGAGGCCTCAGAGCTCATGCTATATTGCCATATTGAGGACTGTCGGATCACGAACTGGGATACATGTTCCGTTTGATCCCTGTCCCAAAGCAAGCATGTGATTGCTGTGAGCAGCGCCCAAGATCCCTGTAAGCAGTGGTTGGTAGGTGATTCTACTCCTGATTTATCAAGATGCAACCATTTCGGCAGAACCGGCAAGTCAATGGGTCTTGGTCGCTGCTCACGTGTGCCGGTTTACCATAGGCTTTCAAATCACCTTGCTTACAGCCTCCATTGTCCATGGCTCAAAACACAATTTGTATGTGTATATATATATATATGTTCTATCTACAGCAATGCTCCATCAATGGGAGGGCCTGCAGCTCATGACCGGGTGGGTAGGCCCAACAAATACAAAGCAGGTATTGAGTGCTCCTGTACGATTGCCTGGCAATCAACGCCCAGTTGCGGACGTTTGGTATCAACTTCAACGTGTTGCGCCCAACACCTCACAACTGTCATTTCGGTGTGATTTAGGATTGCCGAGCTTGTGTGTTCCTCTTCATTTTGCCCAGTGGATCGCAGTTATGTTGCTCTTAGTGTTTAAAGGGTTGCTCTGTTTCCAAAAGTTGTCCTATTACATCCGCAAGGGACTCATTTGTGTGTGTGAGAGAGTTGTTTGGTGTTTGTCGCTTGTCGTGTGTTGTTTGTTTCTTTGTTTGTTTGTGCGTGTGTGCCTGCGTGGGGGGTCTTGTGTTTGATGCTTTTGTTGGTGAGCCAAAATAGGGGGACCCTAAAAAAGGGCGGTTGCCCTTTTGGTTTCCCTTGAAGCCAACCCAAAAGAGGGCATCCAAACTAAATACCTTACTCTTTGGTGCAGCGTGCACTTTCTCAGGCGGTGCCAAACAGGTTCAGCTGGACTGGTGCGTCATGCTGGCATGGTTTTGCTGCAGTCCGCGTTTCGGGAGATCCCACACACTTCCCATCGAGTTCAGCCAGGATCCAAAGAACCGAGGGAGCTGACATATATAGCTGAATTGTGTCAGTCTGACGCAGGAGTATAACGCGCATCAAGCCTCATTGATGGAGCGTTGCCAATTTTTGGCGAGGAAAAGGGAGCTCGGGGCTCATCACAAAGACAGGCTCCCTTTGCAGGAATATTTGTTGTTGCTCTATGGTTCTAATCAAGTTTCTCATATTTAGTGTACCATCTATGGTAAACATGACGCATTGCATTTGCAGCTTGTTGCCATCGGTCTCCCAAACTTGACGCCAGTTGCCGTTTCGTGTTGCATCGGATGTGGCCAGATTCCCAGGCTCAACACTTGTCCTTTTTCTTTGGGCGGAGGGTGTCCTTCAGCCGACTTCCGAAAGAAGTTGCTCTTGCTTTTCCGCGGCCGCTGGAGGTCAGGAAAGGTGTTTTTGAGGGTACCCTTTGCTAGGTTGGTGTAAAGGGCACCCAACAGGAAGACCACCATTTTCACCCCCACGCCCCCCCCCCCCTCCCTTCTCTTTTGCGCATGCGCATGTGGACCTTGTGTCCAAGCTTGGCCAGGCATTTCTGGTGCTGGATACCGGCACCAGGGCAGACGTGCGCCCGGTGGCCCATCGCAGCCTGAAATCCGCGGTGCGGTCCATCCGTGCCGGGCGCAGTAGGGTTGGTCACTGACCCCTTAAGGAAATAGACAACCGTAGGGTTTTACTGAAAGCCATGGCCATACCCCACTGATTCGGAGTTTTGAGAATTGTAAACGCTTAAGGCCCCACGCGTTGCCACAAGCAAACCTTACCAAAGCCCCACCCGCCCCACAACGCATGCCATTGTTTATGAGGAGCATCACTGCTTTACAACTGAAATTCACAGAAAGATGGCAATTCACACCCTCTTCCAAGCATGTGGTTTCAATTCACCAAGGTTCGGCTACTTTTCCAAGCCTTTCTGGGATGTATTCAACGGGCACCTTAGGTAAAACTTTCAGGGGAGGGGGAGGGGGTACTTTTGGGAGTGCCCTTGTTTTGGCGCTTGTTAAAAGACAATCGCTACAACATTGGTGCAAGCCATTTTGGCAAGATCTTGCTGCTGGAGGCAAGCAACCTGGATGTTAAGAAATGCTTGCCGGAGGATGCAGGAGCAGAGAGCAGGTGGGTGCGGATTCTTTTGTTGGGGATCGGTGTCCTTTTGGGCTATTTTAACAGGAAGGCCTTGCTTGGTTTGCTTGTTTCAAAAGGAAATCAACTGTTTCCATTTTTTTGCAAGCTGACCTGCCGGTGAGGGGTCGATCCTGTGCAAAGAGCACTCTTCAAAATGGATCAAACCCCTGGACTCGTCTGGGCCCTGTCTCAGGCCTGACAGTGGCCGATCTGGCTGGCAACCATTTGGGCCCGAAGCCCAGGGTGCAGACGCGTTGCGCCGTTGACCGCGCTGCCAGCGCTGGCGGGTCGCAAGAGGGAAGCGGTGGGCGTGTTTCGACACTCAAGATGGACCAGCGCCTTTGTTTGGCCCATTTCCCTTAACGAACCCCTGGACAACCAAGGGAAGTCCCTTGCTCAGTGGACGCGTGTGAGGGCACCTTGTTTTTCAGGAGATCATTGCGAAGAGTTCTTCGGGTAGATTTGTTAGCCTTATCGCGAGCACCTGCGCAGCAGAATGCACGAGAGACGCGAGAGCACATGTCGAGCGCACACGCGGAGCAAGATGCACGAGAGCACACGCAGAGCAAGAAGTGCAAGAGCACGTGCAGAGCAAGAAGCGCAAGAGCACGTGAAGAGCAAGTTGCACGAGAGCACATGCGCGGCAAAGTGCTCGAGAGAGCTTCCGCAGCACGTTGCACGAGAGAGCACGTGTAGGAAGTTGTACAAGAGAACACGCGCAGCAAATTGCACGAGAGAGCACGCGCAGCACTCGAGAACTCGTGCGCAGGAGTTCTTAATAGTCGTTGAGAGCAGGGCGCGCAAAACGCGATTCTCATGATTGTTGGGATTGTGGTCCTTGGTAGGGCTCGTTTGGGAGGAGGCAGTGACTTTAGCCCAGCATCTCCGGACAAATCACGCAAGAAAGTTCTTATCTCGGACTTGGACGGGTTAAAGCCACAGTATTTTTTTTGAATAGAACGACTCGGTAGGACCAGGGTTGTTTAAGGCACCTTGTTTAACTTGAGGTTGGAGAGTCCTGCCCTATTTCTGGAATCTCCTCGTCACAGGAGGTGGGTTGAAGCGGAACAGATACCGGGGCACCTCTTAGTCTGCATAAAATTGTAAACGCTTCGCGTTGCCCGCCTCGGCCCAGCCTAGTTTGAGGGAAGGGTCAGGAACACCGAAATCCAGTGTTGGGAAGGTCCGAATCCTACTGAAAGCTTGTGACCGCACCAGTTCGCCCGTGCTAGTTCGATGTTCGGAAGCCGTCCTGCTCGGAAGGTTTGAAATCCAAAACCAAGACTATCTCAGCTGCTCAGTGCCCTTGGAAAAAAAGGACCTCTTTCTGGGGATGAGCATTTTTAGTGGGGCTTGGCCTCCACAAAAAGGGGAACAATAATTGGTGTCACTGAACAACCAAGACCAACTTTGGGTGTTTGGGCACCTCCATTTCACGTGGCTGGCGGCTTGCCATGACATACATTTCTTGCTCGGTTGCTCAGCCGAAGACAGGTACATGGTGGGAATACAAACCTCCATTTGCTTAAGTACCCCGGAAAATATCCTCAATAGTGATAGTTTCCCTGTAAAACCAACAGGGGGACATAAAGAATATTCATTTCAGCAAGGATTCATCTCAGACACGTTAGACAAACCTGACCTTGGCACGCTGGGCTGAGCCTGCTGGCTGGGAGCTGGGGGCCGGCCTAGTGGCTGGCATGCCCTGAGATGCGCTGGGCAGGCTGGGCTGGGCTTGCTGGATGACTTGGGGCCGTGCTTGGGCAAGTTGCTGGTTGGGCAGGCCTGTTTCAGACAAGCTTGGGCCTGAGGCTGGCTGGGCTGGGCTGACAGGCCTGGCCAGCAGGCGGGTTGCTGGTTGGGCTGGGCCTGAGCCTAGTCTCAGACACGTCAGACAGGCCTGGCCAGCAGGAGGTCATGCTTTTCAGGACAAAAAAGCTATTTTTTAGTGATTTTGTCAGCACATTTCAGAAAATTTCAAGGCCCGCCGGACAGGATTTTGGGCCAGCCGACATGGGTGGGGGGGGGCGCCGGCAAAAATTTTGGGGTTGAGGGGAAAAGCGAGATCTGAGCGCCCTTGGCCCCTTTGGGGCCGAGGCGAATTAGTTGGCAGACATCGCTGGAGATGGCGTCGGTACGTAGCAGAGGCAGAGCGCAGGGATAGGATTTGTTGAAGAATCCGGAAGTGTGTGGACTTGAGCCGGAAACGGAGTTCGTGCTCGCCTGAGTTTGTGTGAGTTGGCCAGCGCTGCAGATTGCGAAGTGTCCATGCGTATCCCTACTAGTACCTCCAAATATCCGCTTTTTTAAGGGTATTTTCGGGAAAACCTGGTTTTCCATGGTAGATACCTCCTTTTTTAGTAGAGGGTCGACATGCTACCCGGAAAAAAAAGGGTATTTGGAGTAGGGGGTACCTTTAGCATGGAGCCTTTTTGATCTTAAGAACGGCAGCCATAAGCCTCGTCCGCTTCGACAAAACTTTTTCAACAGATGTCCATCATGGTTGTGTCAGTGAACCTTGTGTTGAAGCATGGCCCAGTGATTATCCAGTTGCCACTATAGTAGGTAGCCAGGTATGTTCACCTTCCATTTGTACATTCTGGTTTCCTCTGGTTCCCTGCAGTGGTAACCCGAGGCACTGGGTGTTGGCACTTTGGAGTCGAACATGCTCGCACCCGCTGCCTGTGTCGGATGCGATTCTGAGGCGCCTACTTTGGCAACATCAAGCAGCTGGCGAGCTCTGATCAGCTTCTTGCCCTGCAGTGCGAACGTTGGGCAAAGAATTGTAGCAATGCAAAGGGGGTATGAAAGGAACCTCATCCACGAAATCCATTTCTTAGCCCTCCGTTTCACGTGTGTGAACCATCTCCAGCCAGATTTGAAGCTTCTCTGGAAGTTCGCCTAAGCTCTGCTTGTTTTTTCCCGTGTTTCTGATATGGCGAAGCTGGGGCGGGCTTGAAGCTTGACTCAAGTTTTCCTCTTATGGCTGGCAACTTGTTTTTGGAATATGTCGAAACGGGTGAAGCTCTGTTAGTTCAGTTTAAAGGGAAGCCAACATACAGCCCGTCTTGACACACATAGCCAAGTTGTGTATCTCTATGTGCACCTACCCCTCCTGGGGTGTGCTTGATATCTGAAAGAAGCTTGCGAATGAAAGGGGGGAATCAGAGAACTGGCAACATAGACCCCCTTTTATCAAAGGCCAATCTACGTGGGTATCATGCTTGGAGTATGCCGATGCGCATCTTCAGCATGGCGGAGCGAACCTTTCACAGATCACCCACTGACCCGCCCTAGTTTTACCCCCCCCCCCCCCCCCCTCCCCTCAAAGCATGGTTGTGTTCACCGTACAAAAACATGTACAGATGGCATGCTGTAGCTTTGGAAGATACCTGCAGACGTGAAACAAACCTTCCTGACACGGCTGTCATAATTGATATGTGCAAACGCATGAGGATGTTGCTGGACGAATCAGAAGTGTTGTTTTTCTCGAAACTGGCGAAGCCTTATGCGGTGAATAGTTCGATTGAGATTAATGTTGCGGATTCCGTAGAATGTGTTTCATGCACCCATGGAATGATGCTTCTGGAGAAAGCGCTGAACAATAGTACAAGCGCCAAGAGAGTGTTTGTGCGTGTGTATTTGTGCGTTCAACCATAGGTGTTGCCGCGATCAAGTTTCGCAACCCCACTAACATTTTGAGTTATTAAGCTGAAAAGTGGGAGGCTCCCAAAAGAGCTTCCTATATTTCGGGCCGCGTTTTTTGGTCCGGCTTTTCCGACCAGGTTCCACATTCGAACCCTGACGCTGGAGAACGTGCACGGGGCGTCTTGGCGCCTTTCGGGTGCAGTAATCTCTCATTGGCAAAGTAGCTCTGAAAGCTAGACAAATCCCCAATATCATAAACCCCTAAACAAAGCACTGGTTTGAGCTTGTGGCAGATTGCCAGCTTCCATCAATAAAGGCAACACACACATGATGTGCATTCTCATGATGGTTCCCCTATTGAAAACCTTGTCAAGAAAGACATCCTGTGGCAATCAGCCCAACGTACCCCCCTCCTCCCGGCCACAAAGTCAAATGTGCACTTAGGCCATAGCCTAAAGCAAGCTAAAGGTGTCTTGCCCCGAAACATGTCTGACCCCCTGTTGATTCCAAACGTACATTGCCAGCTTCCCTTTATGACGCCAACCAAGTTGTTTACAAAAAGAACACACACACGCACACATGTGGAGCCAGTTCCAACAAAACATGCCAAACCAATCAGCCAATAGGAACCCCCCACACCATACCCTAAGTGGGTCACTTGATGGAAATGGATCCACATACAAAAACAGATCAATGCTAGCAATTCACGACCATGCCCCTACATTAAAGCAAATGATCTGGGATGCAATGCAAAGGCAATTCAAAGTAGCATTGCCCCTTTTAACGTAGGTTTGCTTCTTTGGTTTTGGGGGGGCTCCCTCATTTTAGCGCACGCAGTCCAGGTGCAAATGTAAGCATGGGGTTCCCCGGCCTTTCGCAGAAGGCCCTTTTCTTTGGGGGTCTTTGACCCCCAAAGACCCTCCACTACTGAGGTCTTGGGTCAGCCCTAAATGAACCAAGCTGTGCCCGTGTTTCAACTGGGCAGGGGAGTTTGCTCGCCTCGCGTCTCGACGTGAGCATGCCTGTGATATGGATAGGGTCGTCCCTGAAAGAACACGTGGTCAGGAAACTCTGGCACTCAACTTGACTCTTGGTGGCTGGCTTCCAGCTTGGCCGGACTGACCCGCACAAGGGGGGAGAATGGAAATCAACAAAGAAGGCTTGGTGTGTTTAGTGAGTTGCGGAGCTCATGTTTGATCTCATTTGCCCATAGCCGACCCTTGATATTTGGTGCCTTTGGGCTTTCCTTGAACCATTGTGTGCTCATGGCACACTTTTTGTTGTTGCGGTAGTCACCACAAAGAGGAACAAACAGGTTGGATGTTTACGATACTGGCTACTTTGAGCGCAACCAAAAACAAGAACTGGTCGCATTTTGAGGCCCAATTGGTCCAGCCATGTTCTGGAAATGTCGAAAGCGGCCCATTTGACAATTTGGGATAGCTTGCAAATAGGATCCCTCCCTCTAAACCCGATTTCCCGTCAGGCCAACGCAACATATGTCATTGCCAGATGTTTGCCCCCACCCCCCCCGTGCGGATGTGTCCTTTCTCCATGGCAGAGGTTCTCCATTTGCTTAACAAGCCCCCTGCGGAAAACAGAAAATGGTTCCAGTAGGTAGATTCCCTTTAAAACCAACGAGGGAGAACACCAAGTAATTATTTTCGAGCAAATGAAAGGCAAATGAAAACAAAGGCGCCCAAAAAGGTCCCCTAAAAGGGCTCGTCGAGCAATGTGTTTTTTTGCTTGGGGGGGCGAACGCGCCTTGGTGGTTTTCGTTGACCGACGCTTCGAATGTTTTTTGGGTCGCGAGAAGCCCCGAGGCGGTGGCCAGCATCACGGTGCACGCGGCAGCGCAGGTGCGGTGGACCACCGCCGCCGCGCCGGTCCGGGAGCGCGGGGCCCCGGCGGCTAATGTTAGCCCCGCATAAATGAACCCCTGGTTGATTAATCGGGGGGGTAATGTTAGTTGATTAATAGGGGGGGTCACCTTTTGGTGAGGGTTCAGACCACTTTTGGAGGAACACCCCCCTAATAATGGGACGGGGAATCCTGGGTCAACATTGTGGTGGTTTCTGAGGGGCAACGCCCTGGAGGACAAATATGGAAAAAATAGGTTCCTCACAAACCTCTGGTTGATTTTAAAATGGGGTGTCCCCTTGTGGTTGTAGTGGGGATTCTCCCCTTTTGCGGGTGACACCCAGTTGGGATGGGTTTTTTGATCCGGGGTTCCCCTTGTTGAAGCTTTGGATCCATCTCCAGTAGCTCAGGGGACCATTTGAGGTTCTGAAAATTCGGGTCCAGCTTGCAAAGGCTCAATACGCTGCATGATTTTTGAAACAAATCCATGCCATCTTGTTACGCCTTGCCCCGCCCCCCTCCCCCCCAAACATTGGTGCTCAGTTTGGCCAATTTGGGCTGGGTCATGCATGAGCGGCTTTGCCGTCACAGCTCAATGTTAATTGGGGGTGCGGGGTGGCAAACATGTCGTTTTACAAAATCAGGCGAGATTGTAGGAAGCTTGGATTGGACACCCCCTCTCTCATTCCAGGGAATGGTATATATTAATGGGTTCTATTGACAGGGTTCCGATCGCTTGCGCAAAAGGACAATCATGTATGCTTTTCGCATCCGAAAGAACGCAGGTGTGATCGAACCCATTCATTCGGTCACCCAGGTGCTTGGATCTGGTTTTAGTTACCATTTCGGTCAAGATGTCCGTGTTTGTCCACTTGTGGTCCATTTGGGAGGCGATCGGACTCAACAAACTTTCCACCAAACACTAGATGCATTTTCAACCCCATGTCCAGCAGGCTAACAGTAAGTGTTGCCCACAGCACGTAATGCGTAGCGCTGTATATTGGTTGGCAACTTTGCTCCTGTCCTTACCTGTTCAATTGGCAAAAAGCAAAAGGAACCCCGGGCGACCCTTCTGGACCCCTTCTTCGGATTGGTACGGCAAGCCAAAGGGAAACCGCAAAGCAGATGGAGGGGCTTACCCGTGACGCTGGCAAGTTTCATGATTTTGTTTGTTAGGTTTCTTCTTGAATGGGTTTAGCCTTAACTTGGCTGCTCAATTTAGCAGGTGCTAGGTAAGCTGAGCTGAACGTCTAGGGGTAAATAGAGTTCCCAGAGCTCCAAAAGTGATGTTTGTGTCACCGGAACCTACCAGTAAATTGTTCAACCCCTCAACATGGGGTGGAGGGAGCGGGTGCTTAAACATGTTTTGGGGAGTCCCAGAACCAATCAGCGGGTCTGCGGGGGCAAAAGTGGCTTTAAAGATACCTTGGCACACTGAAACGGGAGCCTGCAAAAACAATCTCCAGCCATCTCCAGCCTTGGAACCAAAAAACGGTTGTTACAGGTTACAGTTCTCTGGCAGACAGTCTGGGGGCGAGTCTTGGGAAGCAAGGACTTGGAAATGGGGGACAAAACGGTGCCGTGCTTTGAGGATGTTCTCGTTAATTTTCCAATTCACAAACAAAACAGCAAAGATCGATGTTGTGTTTTTTGTGATGCCCACAAATGGTCTCAAATACGACAACCAAAGCAAGTCACACTGAGACGCAGCCCGACACAAAACGCCCTGTGTTCAGCCAACACAAAACCAGGCTGGTGCAGCCAGACACATGTGGCAAGTGGTTTCTCTTGTTCACTGCGTGCAGCCCTGGTGCAGCACGCTCCCCAACTGGTGGCGCTGGGTTTGGATCTGTTGCTCAGCTTTTATGCCGTCCGCCGGCTCGATCCCGACCTGCAGCTTAGAAGTGGAATGCGCAGCTTGCAGTGAAGGCTGAACCGTACAAGAGTTAGCTGCACCCTGTGCAGTGACTTCCTGAGGACATCGTTGGAATCCATTGCGGGGATCAGTGAGGTTTATTTGGTTGCAGGGAATTAAAGCCAGGGGCCATTGTCGGACATGACTCACCGGAAGTAGGGATTGATTCCATTTGGTCCCCGGCTACTTTCTTGGGCGCAAAAGTGTTCACTTTTGTGATTGGCCCACGGAGTCAATTACATCCTGGTTAGCGCAACCTGTTGATGCAAGTTGCAAAAGCTCCATTGCTGAACGTAGAATTCGGCCTTCTGTTTGCTGGAATGGATCAGCTCTGGCAAAGATCTCGTGACACCCACAAATACAAACACGTCGCCCTTTACACAACGTTTTTTTAAAGCCTGAACATTCCCTTAGGCTGCAAAACTGGGTTTGCTTCTTAGCCCAAAAACAGACTCCACTCAAACCATCGGGTTTTCGAGCGTTCAGCTCCGAGCCCTTCATGGGGTGCTTCGCCGGCTGCCTGCCCCGGCCGGCCATGGCCGACATCGCGGGCGCGAGTTCGCGCGGCGCGACAGGCAGCGCAAGGCCCGTGACCTGCGCCCACGGCAAGGCGGGTGTCGCGGCCATCGGGTCACGCGACAACGACGATAGTTTTACGGACAAGTGCAATCCACATGTGGCTGTGGTTGTCAAAACCAACGGTGCATTTTGGGGTAGGTGGATCACCCATTTTAGTCTATTTTTGTGGGGATTGGGATGTTCACTGGGGTACGGGCTTTTGACCCATGGCCATGTTTCAAGGGTCGGAAGAAGCAATTCAGTCCCTGGGTGTACTTTTGGAGGGGACAGCTACGACGTAAGGGCACTGTTCCTTCCTTTTTAGGCGGGGTTGCCAATTTTGAAATCACGGACCCCTATCATGAAACATGTATGCAAGGAGTTTGCAAGTCGCATGCGTTCTTAGAACTAAAGCACACGAAGCTGGCTTCGGACGGTCCTCCCTCTTTCTGGTGGAAGGCTAAACGGATCATGCGGTTTCCTACACTAGGGGATACTTGGGTGACAACCACCATCAGGGGTCCCTAACTTGAAGAAATTCGTATTGCAGCCGGCGCGATCGAAGCAATGGAACGATTTGCAGAATCGTCAGTCCCTTGCTGACACCGCTGGAGCCCAGTCAACCCAGCGATAGACCACAGCGCGATAGCACCAGCCCTTATTTTTGGCCGTCCTTTCCTAGCAGAGGTGCATCTTGCTTGGATGTTCGGACTTTAACTTTTTGCCAACTAATGGGCTTTCCATTAAACCACTAAAAGTTAAATTTTCGGCAGGGGAGCAGAAAGCAACCGAGCTAGAGCGTAAGACAATTAGACACCAGCACCTTCATTTTCACACTTGTTGTTGCACGATGTGGTGTAGTTGTTTGTTCTACGATTCAACCCCTTACTCCAAACTCACGCTTGTTCAAGGGCGAATTTTGATACTTTCATTTTAGGGTATGGGTTGACCTCATCCCTGAACAAGTTGGTCTTCGTCGGTGGTAGTCTTCGCTCATCTTTGTTTTCCCTTGGGGAGGGGCGTGTCATTCAACATATGTCCCAGGTGCTGCCTTTGAAGGGGGCTACCCTTAAAACGGCCCTGGTTTTCCTCTATTTTGCGGCGTCAAGTTGGGCAAACCCCGACTCTTCAAGCACGACTCATATAATTATCACTTTGGCATTTACGGATGCAGGGGTCAGCTCTTTATACCCAGAACGAAAAAAAAAAAAAAAAAAAAAAAAACAGGACTCCAAGACGTCCAGCGCGAGAAACTCGTTTTTTTTGGCCGCCGGAGTTGGGAAGAGGCCTCGGTGGTCTTTCCGCTGGCTCTGTCGGCCAACACGGCGCTCCGAGTGCTGGAGCAGCTGAGCACAAGCGCCGCCCTGGAGGTGAGGGACGCGAATCGTGGATCCGTTTGGTTTAACCACTTCCATTTGCTTAAGAATATTTTTTGTATTTTCCCTTGTTGGTTTTAAAGGGAATCTATCACTACTGGAAATATTTGTCCTTTTTCCCGGGGGCTGAAGCAAATGGAAGACCAGGGCCCGCATTGGTTACCTATCCTAGGTCCCGCAGTAGTGCCCTTTCTCACCCATTTCTTTTTGGTTGGGGGGTTCCCCCACTAAAAGAGACTACAGAAAGAAGTTGGTACCCTTATTCTAACCTCTCTACTGGAGGACCTAGTATAGGTAAATGGAAGCACCCGATAGGGGCGTAGTGATTTACTATGATTTACTCATCTGAGGACAAAATTTGTTTTTGAAGTACCTAGCAACCCCATTCTTCTCATTGAGGCCTTCACATTCAACTTTTAGCCCTTTTTGCTTTTTGACCTGTTGGTTTCCTTTATTTTCGGAACCTTTTGGGTTTCCAACCTTGCTTGGGTTTCCCGCTTCGGGTATACCAGGGTCGGGTTCTTCAAACCCCTTTCACCAACTTGAAAAAGCGTAGCTTTCAAAAAGACGCACACCCATTTGCGCCAGTCAACAAATTCCGATGGTTTCTGGATGTATCCTTTGGAAATCGAATTGAAGGGGCCCTCCAAAAGCTCCTTTGACTTTTTGCCAGGAATGGGAAGGGGTTGCGCGTGGGAGTTCTCTCGTCATCCCAGTCGTGTGGATGGCACCCAAACGTTTTTTTTGGGTGGCTTTGTAGATCTGGTGTGCCTGGAACAAAGGGAGGCCGCACATTGGCAGTGTGTCTCGTTTTCTGAAAAGGACACGCCCATTTGCCTCATGGATGGTTCAAACGTGACCCTTCGCCAATCTGTGGTGTGGCAGGTGAACTGTTTCATCAGATCCCACCTCCCAAGTAGGCCCCTGGTGCTGTTTGATCAAGGGCTGGCTGTGAAAACCGGAAAGGCGGTCAGACAAGTCGGTTTCCCCGAAATCCATGGGCAAACATAAACTTTCAGCTGCTGTTTCAAGGATGCCTGTTGCAGTGGAGATGTTCTTGGTATCAGGTGGTTTCCTGGTAGAAACGATCATTCAACAAAAGGGTTAGTTCCCGATTGGTTGCGAGCAACTAGGGGCTCAAATGCTTTCATTGACGAACCCTGTTTTCTTTTGGCGGGGGGCCGGGGACCTTCCCTTCAAGCCACCATGTAGCTCGGGTATACGTGAAGGATGTTGTATAATGCACCCATGTGTTTCAAGCACGTGCCGGCCGCGTTAGGTGGACGTGACGGGGTACACCACGGGCCTCACCACCGAGGCAGGCGCTGCCTCCGTGCGCTTCCGCCTTGCGCACCCGGCGCCGCAGGAGGCGGGCGGGGACCGCGATTTGCTCAGCACATGGGCCAGGAGTCAGCTGCCATGCAGTTTCCTTCAGTCTTGTTTGCCACTTCTTTTTTGGTGGCGCCCATCGCTTTGTTCCAAGCAATCTGCGCTGAACAGGCTTGATGAAGTGGTAGTCAAAGCTCGTTTAAGTTGCGTTTGCTTGGAAAGAGTGCCCACATCAATCAATACCTGGCCAATCGGAGGTTAACATGGGCCGTTCCCAATCGTAAACAACTTGTTCGGCTGCTGTAGGTTTCAAGTACGTTGGTCACCCACATGAGTAGCGCCCAAATCCCTTGGTAACCATGTAGAGCAAAAAGTATACTCCCTCATTGTGTAATCACACGAATAGTTTCAGAGGAAAACCGGAAAGCCAGCCTATTGATTCGGTCGGCAGGGCAATATCGAAATAACCCTTCGATCCTGAGCTCCACAGAGAAAGGGACACACCACGGCACTTGTTGAAATAGTGTCAGTAGTGGTACGAACAGGCTTTACTTTAAATGTCACCCGGTCCAAACCGACCTTTTCATCTTTTTAGCCAAAATATTACCCTCCCACCAATTCACATGAAACCTGACAGGGGGGTACCTGTAAAAAACAAAATGGTCTTGCAGGACCCCCCTGTCAGCTTCCATCTTAATTGGTGAGAGAGTAAACTTTTACTTCCAGATATCGAGATCTCTCGAGAGGTGGGGAACTACGCAGTGGCAGTGCAGGCTCCAGGCTTTGAGGGCTGGATGGTGGGCCTGGGCAACGTCAAAGCGCTCCTCGTCCAAATGGGCTGGTCATCTCTCAACCAGTGGAGACTCCAGAGATGGTCGCCTCGTTGGCTTGCTTTTGGCGCGCCTTGAACAGGGCAATGGTTGGCTTTGTGTTTTTTTTGCTTAGCCATCCATCAGGGGTGTCCTTTTGGATTGCGTTTGAAGACAACAAAGGGGGGGCGACCTTAACGAAGAGACGGGCCCTGAGTTGCATGGTCAAAAAGCATGTTTTACCTGGGATGGCCATCAACGCCAAAAGGGTTTTTGACCATCATCACGGGAGGCGCGTATGGTCCTCTTGGGAGGGGCATGGCATGGGGGGACTCACTCAAGTATGGCCAGATCAGGAGACTCCCTCATTTGTTGTTTTGCCCAAGGCTCATAAGGGCTTCTTGAAAGGGAAGGCACGACCCGTGGCTAGCACAGAGGTTTGAACAGGCACATTTGGCGGCAATGCGCTCAAGACAGGGACCAGATGGTGGCAAAACGCAGGTGTCGCTACATTATATTATATGTTTGGAACCCGTTTTTTGGGCACAGTTTCAGGCAAGGCCTTCATGAATTGAGCGGCGATGCGGGTAGGAAAGCAATGGTGGGGCTGCAATATGTTTGAGTTTGGTGGTCGGACTAAAAATTATGCCGGTGGCTTGGGCAGATGTGCGAATGTACCCTGGCAATGACAAAGCATTCAAGGAATTGAAGAGGTCATGGAAACGTCAGGCTGGCATGGGATAGTGTGTACATATTACAATTTGGGAACCGATCTCCGAATGAACCAAAACCAGCACAACGGAAGCCAGTCGTTCGCTGGGAAGTATCAAACATAATGGGGAGATATCAGAGTGGACGGTCCAATATCGCTGTGTCCCCCCTCACTTGTTGGCACAAGGGACCCCTAGGTCATGACATGAGATGCGGCCTTTTGCTGGTCCTTTGCAGATCCTATGGACGTTTCAAGCAGCACAAAAGGAGCGATGTTGGCATCCATCCTAAAGGGGTCTTGCAGGATGTGTCACAGCTAAGGATCCCTCCATCCCACATCCTAAAGTCAACCAGTATGCCAAAATGGTAGGGGTGTCAGGACACCCAATGGTCCGAATTTCTGGGTTGCTTGGTCCCTTTAGTCCCACTTCCGGGGCCCAACAGCAAAAAGTGGGGGGGGGGGGTTCCCTTGATGGTTGTGGAAACGTGAGTGTTGCCCCTTGTTGGTGATACCAAGACCCTGAAAATCCACGACTGTTTTTTAAACGTCCTTTGCACCTCGCCTGTTTTTTGCAGCTAAAGCCTGTTTTTTGCGCCTGCAGTGAGCCATGGCGTGGTATTTGATGGATTATTCATGCTGTTCCCACGTTTAGATTGTACAAAGCCAGTTCCACCCCAACATGTCTTGACACAACAGCTTTGGTGTGAACATAGCGGTCCGTTATGTACGCAAAAGTAGCGTAAAATAACCGTGAAAATACCGTGAAATTGGCGTGACAGCCTGTTTTCCAGCGTGAAAGCACGGTTTCTGACGTGAATTTTGACACCGGTGAGTCTATGTGTTTCAGCCTGTCTTTGATAATCCCTCCGCTTGTTTTGTGGAAACGGGGGTCAAGTCTTTGCACACTTTGGTCCTGAGCACGTGCGGCGCCCGAATTGTTCAATGATATCAGCTGAGCTTGGACAAAACTACTCCTGGCAAAAAACCGCCTTTCACAGAAACCATGCAAAATAAACCGCCTTTAGAGTCCCCTGACTGAAGTGACAAATATGGTTATGGCTGAATGACCCACTTCGGTATCACAAGGGCTACCTGGAGTCTCCATGACCCTTGAAAATGGGTTCATTACCCAAGATTTTGGGGTCGTAGACCCATTTTTAAAGGGTCATGGAGACTCCAGGTGTATACTTTCCATCGGACAAGTGCGGCGGGTCAGTGGAGGCTTTCTGCCGGACTGGGCGTGGAAGTGGTGGTCCTGGCCCGCGCCAGCAGCAACTACTCTGCCGTCACCTACCTGCCGGAGGAGTGGCCACCGAGCTCACTTTAAACCGAGAGCTGACCCATGACAGTGGACTCACTGAAAAGGGGCATCCAACCATGAACAGGAAGTCCAACTACTTTCTTTTTATACGTCACCCAGGTCAGCGGAAACTCACTTCACACCGCCCCCATAAGGCGCACCTCCTGGCAAAGGCTATAGGGAACCCCGTTGTAGGGAGCCATTTAGTTTTTCCCGAAGTGAAAAGACAACCCCTGGCCTCCTCTTTTCATGTCCGTGTAGGACGGTTTGGCTGAAAGCAAATGGCATTGCACTGGCTTCACTTTAGTTATCATTTGTCAGTGGAATCCATCCATATTTCTAAAATAACTCCTAGTGTTGGAGGGGTGATGAGCACACGTCTGGCTGAGAAATCAAAGAAGCAACATGCCCTCCCATCGGTTCTAGTCCAATGCCAATGCTATTTCAAGTTGCTTCTAATCATTTGGTTTCAGTTTGTTTTCAGCTTTAGCATCAAGTGCCATGGAACAGGCCTCTGCCCAAGCTAAGCCGAAACAAGGAATTGCCAAGGGACCTTCGTTTATTTTGCTGAGAAAGTGGTCGGGCAGAGGAAGCTTTTCTTTCATGTGCGCTCCAAAACGTATAAACACACCACATGGTCATCCACGGCGGAAAGGATTCTTGAGTTTTGTCTGGCTGCAAGCAAGTGAGGTGTTTCGCTGTCGGCCCATTCACTCGTTTTCATGGACTACCCTAAAACACACAGGATACGCAGGCATCAGCTTCTGCAATCATTGACTTGTCACCTTCCAAAACACAGTGTAATGTGCCTGTTCAGAGACGTCAACAAACGGCAACCGTGCACACTCGTGTTTCGGGAACATAGCAAGCCGCACGAGTCTCACATCCTGAGCCTGCACTGGACGTCTTTGTCCCTTCGCTAAGTGCTAAAATCATGGGAGGACAGTCCAGGACTACCTTGTATGAAGATCAATGAGTCAGGAGAGTCATGGAGAGCTCTGACCATCCCCCACACGGGAGATTCGATCCTCCATTGGCCCAAGGCGTTTTTCGGGCCTGGGCCTTGCGGAATGTGATGTGATTACCCATGGCTGGACTCCTGCAGAGCCTACTTGCCATCGTGCGATCGGGGATAGTTAGGACCATTGGGCGGGGTTCTGATATGTCCCTGTCCGGTAGTTTGCACATCGGATAGTGGTTGCCAATCTATATAAAGTGTCTAAAGAGGAAGAGTGACATTTCCAGGGGAGAATAGCGTCCATGTCAAATCAACCACCAAGCAAAATTGAGGACCTTAAAGAACCTCCACCCAGTCTTTTCAAGGCCAAACAAGTCCAAATTAGTGCAGTCTTCGGGTGTTCGTGCTTCTTTTTTTTCCGGCGGGGGGCCTGTTTTCGGGGTTCAAAGGTTCAACTTTGCGCTTGGACGCACTTTTCGGGTGTTTGTGTTTGTAGGAAAGCTGGGGCCGTGTCCTGCTTGAGGGGTTTGGGGTGGGGGGCCTTGGGGGTTGGGGGGGTTGGGGGGTGGGGGGCTTTGGGGGTTGGGGGAGGGGGTGGGGGGCTTTGGGGGTTGGGGGAGGGGGTGCAAGCTGACGAAGGAGGTGCTGCGGAGCCTTTGGCCCACAGCTTCGCGTGCGAGGCTCAAAGTCTTGGGCCCACGGCTCATGGCGCCTTTGGCGGACTCTTGGCTGAGGGTGGCCGGGTGGCCGGGTGGCTGGGAGGGTGGGAGGGTGGGTTTCTGGAACTTTTCAAATCCAAGTTGGGGGTTCTTTAGTGTGACCCTCAACCTTCAACTCTACAAACACGGAAGGCATAGAATTGTTGTTCAACCAGTTGGAGAGTGACACCAGCAAGAAGAACGGCTTCGCATAAAACGAGTCAAAGCCCAACCGGTGTTCGGGACCCAACTCGTGTTCTAGACCCATGTACCAAGAGAGGAAGCATGGGATCTGACCTTTTTCCAGGTTTGGTTCGGGGGGAGCACAGTTTTGCGATTTGCTTTTGATACACAAAAGCCCTTTGACCAGTCTTGGCCCCCAAGTTGGTTGGCCCGAACTGTTCATTTCACGCGGGAGTGTCCAAAGCTTGGGTCTGTTCGGTGAGATTTGACGGAACACAAAGGAGCCTAGTTTATAGCTATAAGATTGGCAAGGGAACCACAACAGAGACCCCGGCATGTTCTAGGACCTTGCCTATTTGCACCCCCAAGTCCATTGCCCCGCAACTTTCAAAGTACAGTACCCTTCAGTGCGCCACTGCTTCCGAACGATAGCCACAGCCCTCCATTGCCCACTGGGGGGCGGCGCGGTGGCACTGGCTGCCAGTGGCTCGCTCGCTCGCGCGTGGCTTCCGAGGACTGCCCGGGGCAGTGGCTGAGGGACCGCCTGCTGAAGCTGGCGGACCACTTGGAGGACTTGGATCCAGTGCCGAGGACCGGGCGAAGAACCGCCGACAAGGGCGCCGAAAGCAGCGGGCGCGAAGGGGACGGGTCTTTCGGAATCCATGTTGTGGGTAGGGAAGGAATGCATTGAGCTTTTGGGGTTTTGGGGTGTTGGGGTTTTGGGGTTTTGGGGGGTTTGGGTTGTTCTGATTGATTTGTTTGAACCAACAGTGGGCACGGATTTGAATTCGTCTATGTCTGCTTTGTTGCATGTTGCTTGGATGTTAGGACTTTACCTTTTTGCCAACTAGTGGATTTTCCATCAATCCACTAAAAGTTATTCACTTTTAGCAGGGGAGCAGAAAGCAACCGAGTCTGAGTATTGTTTGTGTTTGGTCGAGGGAGAAGGGCCACACGCTGGCACACACCTCAGCTCCACGTTTTAAAGTGATACATTTGCACACCATATTCTTGTCCTTGAGGTTTCCCTTTTTGTCCCTAGGGTAAAAATTAGGGTGTTGACTACCGCCCTTAGGATCAACAGGATTAAACAGGTCCAACTCATCACCAGCATACTTTGGCATTGACTATTTGTTTCCAACTACTGGCCCATTCGATGTATGTTGGCCCTTACCAAGGGGCCCTGATCGGCCGCTGGCAGGTCCCAGTCCGAGCTATCGCAAGAGCTGCGGAGGGCGGGGCTGGTCTTCAGCGCCAAAGAGGTGAGCCCGAAGCGCAGCCATGATGATTATGCTGTTGTTAGGGGGGGGGGGGGGGTGAAATCCCTTCCCCCTAAAAATAAAACCGTCCCCCCCCCTCCCCCCTAATAAGCTGGTTCCCGGAAAATTACCCCCCTCCCTGAATTAAGGGACCCCTTACAGCTCTTGCACCCCCTTCCCTCACCACCCCAATAGCATGATAGCTGTTTTTGTCCTGGTTTTGAAGGATTTGCGCGGAGGTATCACTCCCTGAGTTCCGTTTCGGATTTTAAACTGTTTTTTGGGTTTGGACCATTTCAGTGGCAAATAACATGTTCTGACTTGTTTAAGTCCATGCACTCAGGGAGTGAGTTGAAGGACCTAAGTGGAGGTAACCCCAATTAGTGGTTTGCCTTGGTAGGAATGGGATTTGAACCCCTGGTGCTTGTTGAAGTTAAATGGGAAACCGCGCCTAACCCCCAAACCACCAATCCAAACCACCGATTAGAGGGAAGCTGATAAGTGGAGGTTCATGAAATTGCCTCTTGTAGCCAAAAAACACTATCTCCTTTGTTATTTTTTTTCTTCCGAGTTGTGCCAATTTAAACATCAGCCGACCAACTTCTGAATGCGCGACATGTATGGGATTTCCAAGCCACATGATATTGACGCCATGCGATTGCTCATGACATCTAAAATCTTAGCGAATTTTGTTGCACGACAAAGCCTCCAAAGGATTAGCCCAGTTTCCCAAGAGAAGGGCGACTTGATGTCTCTGGATGCCTTAAACAAGGTCACGCCATCGTTAACAACCTGGCGCTTTTTTGCGCCCGCGCTGCTTGCGTCTGAATCACGCCGGTGAGAGCAGCTCGACAGCGTGAGGCCACAAATCTTTGCCGCAGTTTCTGCGGAACATCCACTGAAAAGTGTATTCCATCAAAGCCGGGTTCCGCCCGTCTCATGCACCTGAACATGTCCAGAAAGTGTCGGGTCGCAAGTACCATGTGGCTGAAAAAAGTGCAGTCGATGTCGGGTCACAAGTCTCATTTATCTGACACGTGCCCTGAAATCAGGCAGGATGGCAGCATCAAAAATGCACGCAATCATGCCCCCCCCCCCCGAAAGAAAGCGTCCATGTCGTTGAAAAAGTCTTGCAAGTGTCAGGTTGCAAGCCTCATGCACCTGAACATGTCCAGACAGTGTCGGGCCGCAAGTATCATATAGATGAAAACAGTGCAGTCGATGTCGGGTCGCAAGTCTCATGTACCTGAACAAGTCGGGTCGCAAGTCTTATAAAAGCCGGGTCGCAAGTCTAATGTACCTCCAAAAAGCTGAAAAGTGGACAAAGTGTCAGGTCGGTAATGCTGGCGTGAGCTCAAACAAGCACAGTCACAGAAATCTGCGCCGTGAAGGGGATGCTCGGCGAGTTAGCACAAACCGTAGCCGCTTTTGGGACCTGCTTCGGTGTCGACCGATGCGGTGCTTTACAATTCTGTCGTTTGGCCTCTTAGCGCTATGTGCCAAATTGCCATGAGAAACCAAGCGCACAACCCATCATTTGGAGGTTTTCCTATGGCACATAGGCATTTGTGTAACCAAAGTCTTGGCAACCTGTCAGGAGACAGTGGGCAACGCTGACCGCGGCAAGCGCGTGAGCGAGGCAGAGCTCGGCAACCCGCCTGATTCAGCGGTGGTGGCCGCGTGCTCTTGCTTTGTTTTGGTTTGACCCAGCGTCATTGTTCCTTTTTGCTGTGAGTTTTTCTCACCAAACAAGGTAAACCCTCAAAACGGGTCAAGGATTTCTGGGCAGAACTATTATCCTGGAGCGTCCATGATCCCCGAAACACGGGCCATCTGCACGTTGGGCAACTGGTTCGAGTCCTACTTTGGGGGGAGGACAATGACTCGTCCAGGCTTAAGCAAGACAAACGCGACCTTTGGCTGACTGCAAGTTTTGGGAGCCAACCCAAGTGCCATTCCAGCTTCGTTTCGCCCTAGTTGTCGCAGGCATAGGCACCGCTCCGGTATAGGCTATCACTGCCCCATCAAGTGGGGTTTTCAAAAGGAGTCCGGGCAACACCAGCTCTCCCTTGACCAAGCTTGAGAAACTTGCAGGTGCTCAGTAGGGAATGTGGGAATGAACCCAGGGGTCCCCTTAAAGGAAACCACCAGTTGGATGGTTTATACAGGTGATTCCATTTCCCAGTCTCTGCTAGCATCGGCAAGAAAAGGCCTCAACCAAACGCAGAGACCCACCTCATCCGCCAACCCAGGCTACTGGACAGAAGAGGCGGAGCTCGGGAACCGATGCGCTGGCAGCATGGAAGGCTGGTTCGCACCTCTTCCGTGGGCGCAACTGGTAGTAGTTGACGAAGTCGTGCCTCAGTTTGTCCAGGTCCCCCAGTAGGGCCCGTTTACCCTTTTTTGGTGAGGGTTCCCCTACTAAAATAGACTACAGAAAAAAGGGTACCCTTATTCTAACCTGTGTACTGGAGGACCTAGTTGTAATTGCTGCTGAACAGGACCCGATTCTACGAGAGATCCTTGCCGTGCATGGATACTATGATACTCCCTTGATGGGAAATGGCAGAAGGGACACTTTGCAGCTGCTACGAGGCATGTCTGTGAGTGTCAATTGCATTCACGTGTCGCTGCGGCTCGATTTGCCCGGACTGGGGAAAGATCTGCTGGGGAGGGCGTCTAAGTGCCCTCTAAGTGATCTTATTTTCGAAATGGATCATAGCACCCAAAATGAATCGAGGGCACTGAAAAGAAGCTGGGTTATTGATTTTTCACGTGGGGGGACCGACGCTGGGCATATGCAGCCGCAGCGACACGCGAATGACTCTCCGACATTAGCGTAAGGGACCTTTTCAAGGGGCCAAATGACCTCGATTCGCACCCCCACTGACACTCATTTGACACGCTTTGACACTCAAAACGCCATGTCTCGGCCATTCTGGGTCGGCTCCAATCAAATGTGGCAGTTGTTACAGATCGACACGGGTAGCTGTTGCATTTCTTCAGGATCCCAACCCCTATCAAGCCAAAAAGGGCACTTAGCAAACGAATCAAAGGGTCGCTTACTGCACCGACACGGCCGTAAGTGCCCTCGATTAAAAGACACGTCAAGCCCTTCATTGAAGGGACTAAACATACCTGGACCAACCAAGGGCACTTTTTTTGCGGCTGTCGGCAAAAATCCGTGCATTTCCTTGAAATCCATACATTTGAGCAAAAACTGTACTTTTCTTGCAGGCTCAACGCAAGACACAGGAGCATTCAACGACTTTTTCTACAAGAATGTCACGTTCAGCTCCGGCGCTGGCACTGGCGATTGTCATGCTCATGGGCCAAGAAAAACTATTTGAAGGTATATATGCAATTCACCAAGGACAAAAGGTGTGCATTTGGCCAAGCAAACGTTCCGCTGATTTCCGCAGATTTCCGTACTTTTCCCGCCGATTTCCGTGCATTGCCCGCCGATTTCCGTGCATTTCCTGTTTCTACATTTTGGCTGAGAAAACTGCAAGCTCACAAAAGCGGCAAGGAAGCTGTCACATATAGGAGACGAATGATCTGAAACGGAATTTAGTATGACGGGCCATGTAAATTGCAAACTGTGTTCATGTGCCTCCATGTGCCCCACAAACGCTCACAGCCTGCTCAAAGCGGTTTCCGTCAAATTTCCTCAAAAGTGTACATTGACGTTTTTTTTCTGCATGTACGGAAATTACAGTACTTTTGGAAGGTTCAGGTATGCCGGAGGAGAAGGTTTCGAAGTCGTGCCTTTGCCCAAAATGCATAGGAGCTCTGATGCAACCAATTGTTCAGTGGCAGCCTCTACCTGGAGTCTCCATGACCCTTTAAAAATGGGTCATGACCCCAATGACCCCAAAATAATGACCCCATTTTTAAAGGGTCATGGAGACTCCAGGTAAATCCCCTTTGGTTTGGTGGCTTCTTTCTAGACATGGCCATCTCTCAACAGGTGCCCTTCCGCCAAGGTTACCTTTGGACTCACCAGGTGCTCAGGCTGCTTTGGCGCAAACCTCGCTCCCTCGGTGCGAATTGCCAAAGTTGTTTTTTCTTCAGCCGATTTTGAGAAGGGTCCCCCGCCCACCCATCCACCCAAAAAAGCAACTGGGGCAGTGGCATGGCAGGCTCTCGACGCCAAGATGTGCCAGATGAGATCTTGAACTCGATGCTCTGATCTCCCCTGATCCCCTGATCCGATGACCTGAGCGTTCGAATGGCTCCAGCCAAAATGCCTGTACCAACGGCTTGTCTAATATCCAAATTCGGATCACCTTAAGGGATTTTCAAATGCTCCTTTCTGCAGGCAAGTCCCGGGCAAGCCATGCCATCCGAACTGGAAGGGGTTCCTGGGTCATGTTTTCGAGGGCACTTGGTGCTTCAGACTGGCAGCCTTGGAGTCATCTCAGCAATCGGAATGGCCAACATGGCCCAGTTATTCCGTGTCACCCTCAAAATACCTTGCTATTTTGTGGGCTTCCCACGAGCAATGCAATTACCCGCAAGATGGGTGTCCGTTTTCTACCAGGGTCAAGTAGGCCAAGCTGTTCGTTTGTGGGACGGCCTTTTTCAAGGCAATAAGTGTTGTCACGTGCATTTGGGGCTATCTTTTTGGGGAGTTGTACCCCTTTTCTGGTGGTATGGAAAGGACACCAAGACGACAACCCAGCTATGTCAGGTGCCGTTCAACTTTGAGAAACACGAGCCACCCATTTGGTTCGGCGGCCAAAGTCAACACTCCCCTTGCGGGAACTCGGTGCTCGGTGCTCCATGCCAGTTTTCTGGGGTTTGGAAGAGATGTGAGAAAACAGGCAACATGCACACAACAGCAATGAACTTATGTGAGTTGCACCAGATCTTGTCCACATTTTTTTGTGTGTGTGTGTGTGTTGTCTTACATACATATATGCAATACTTGCTGTTATCTATATATTGTGTATATATATATATATATATATATGTAAATTTGTCAAGCAGCTTGTTCGAACATACATCGAATGTAAGTGAACAAATATGTTCCAGTCAGAAGCGTCAAGGGCCGCCAGCAATTTTCAGACCTGCGCGGGTTGTCGCGTTTCAGAGGATCAAAAGGTCCAGGCGGCTGGGGGATCGCGCTCCCTTTGTCATCCGACCTCTTTCCATCATTGGTGCGTCCCAAATGCGGGACCGCCACAAATGACTGGTGCTTTGCTGTTTGTTCTCCATTGTTTTTGTACCCCCCCATGTTTCAAGCTTGAAAGGACTTCGGGATACACAAAACTGGGGTCCTTTGGGTCTCTGCTGGAGTCTTTGCAATGCCTTCAATCTCAGTTGCCCAGCTGGCCGGCCTTCAGACCTTTGTGTGTGTCAATTGGTTTGCCCGTGCTTAAGTCGTCACAGCCAGGACAGGTGCGTCAAGCCTCATTGTTGCCTCCCATCGAGTAAGATGGTCCCTGCAAGACCATCTTCCTCTAAAAGAGAACAGGGATCTAAAGGCTGCTCCATGTCATTGGGAGAGAGGGGAGCTGCCGGATGTTGTTTACTCTGGTTCTCCCTTCAAATGGCTTGTCTCTTGTGACCACCCCTTAGGCATCCAAGGGGACCTTTTGGAACATATGTTCCATTAAACCTGAGGTCTTCGCTCCTTTGGCTTGGGAGCGCCCCTGTGCCTGAGGCTTGGCTCCTGCGAGTTTCTCACGGTCGGCGACGACGCGCAGTCCGCGCATATTTGGAAGCGCCTCGAATTGGATCGAACTGGCGAATTGGAGCCGCAAGGGCGAAGGGCCATTGGAGAGACGTCAGATGTCCATCTTCCCCCTCAGATTTAGATATGGGGATGTGGAGTGGGGTCCGTGAGGTTGTATGGATCCTGCAGAAAGCTTGCTGCTTGCTGATGCAGCTGGCAATTCTCACGCCTGCTGGCAACCCCCCAAGCTTGGAGGGCTGTTGCAGTGACCGGTGCCTTACCTTTCGCTGCCCAAGCGGACATTGACCTTTTGGAAAGTCTTGATACTCCCCCCTTGTTTTCGCTCGCGGCATGTGGAGCCAACATTCCCGCATGCACGTCTTCGTCTGAGGTTTCTCTTCCCGGTCCCAGTCTCAGCGGGAAGATTTGAAGAGGTGCCAGGTTGCAGCCTTTTGGCTTCTCAGTGTTCACAGGAGAGGGTGCGAAAGAGGGGTGCTCTCATAAACGGCACCTTTGCTTGGGAATTGATTGGCAAGTTCCTTCCACAATTTCAAGGCATGTGGTGACACGCACCTGGGGTTTTGACGCTTGTTGCGTCACACCCATGGAGCTTCTTAGAGGGTCCCTTCAAAAGGAACATGGTCTGGGAAGCCTCTAGTCAGATTCCACGTCGTGGGAGTGAGTGATGTCTCTAAAGATGCAAGCTGCATGTGGCTCACCTGAGCACCGGTTGTTTGTCACAGCCGGACCCATCCATTTGCGAGCCCTGGCCCAGGAAATCCAACACCAACATGGCTGAACAGCTTCATTCTCCTTATTAACTACATGATTTCCTGTAAACTCCTCCAATCTGTGCTTGGTGGCCAGTCATATCGAGGGCTTCTGTGGGTGCTCGCAGCTTCGCGCCCAGAATCGTCCCGTTCCTGCCGCAAAGAGTGCCGCAAAGCCGGGAGCTTATTGGGTTTGGGATCTGAATGCATCGATCTCACTTGTCACCTGAGTTCCCGGACTTCACGCCTTTTTGAGTTTCGACGGTTTTAGCTGGGGAAGAATCATCATAACCAGTGGCTTAAACATTAAACCAACGGGTGGCCCCACCCTAGATTTTAGTGGCCCAGAAACACTTCAGCCTTTTTTCCGCCAACCCACTCAGGAAGTGAGGACAGGATGTCGGTTCCAGAGCAGACGGAGTACTCGGTACTCTCAATATCTGCAAAGCAATGGTTCGACTCAGATTCGGGCGACCACAATTGGCATTGATGCATGTGGGATTTTGTCGAAGGAACTGGCATCGACGCATCACTTGCCAATGACTTGCAAGCACTCGCCCAATGCATCAGACAATATCGGACATGTCCTGTGTGTGTGTGTGTGCGCGTGCGTGTGTGCGTGTGCACGTTCCACACCATGTGTCGTTGTGTTTTCAGTCCCTTTCTGAGCCCATCTCAGTGGTAGTCACTGTTGCTGAACCACCAAACTGTGGAATTGAACAGTTTGGTGAATTGAAGAGTTTGGTGGTGACTGCCGTGAACTGTGTTTTCACGCATGTCAACTCCCATGGAGGTTGTATCAACTTGATACAGCCTCCTTGGTTTGCACCCTGTGGCCTCAGCTTTGTCGCACCCAATCGATTGCACCCCGGAACAACCCACGCTCCCAGTTTCGGGGACTTAGCTTTTTGGAGTTTTGTTTTCGGGGAAAACGTGCGGTTTGGGGCCTTTTGGGCGAATTCAGGAATTGAGCCAAGTAATTACCGACCATCAGACCCCCTCCTTCATGAAGGGCATTCAAAAGCATGGTGCAACCACCGATTCTGGGCTTGCGTTTGAAAGGCAGCCCTCTTTGAACAGGAAACGCGCCGTGTTCTTCGGGGTTGCAATTTATCATCTTTATCTGCCATACTCAAGTGGCTTCTTGAGTTGTTTTGCCGACCCGCAGTACCCTTTTTGTAACTATGTCTCACTTCCTGAGTTCATGGATGTTGTCTTTTTGGGAAGACCATTTGAGTGAGAATCAATAAGTTGCCTTTCAATCCCAGTGGATTCCAGTTAGAATAGTGGGTAACCAGGTCTTTCAAACAATCATGGGATTGGACAGGGTTTGGAAGGCCGGCCTTTTGAAAAGGCCCTCTTCCGTGAGTTGCTTTCCTGCGATCCTGAGGAAAGAGCTCAAGCCGTGTCCCCAGCGCAAGCACCGCCACATCATAATAAGGGAGTTCAAAGATAGGCTTCGCGGCTTTGTTTTCAGGGTCACACAGATCCCCTAATTACTTTAGGGGAAGGACCGCGACTGGAATTTCAGTAGAAATGGACATTAATTGGTTGGATTCCATGATGAAGCGGACAAGCCTTGCCTTGGCACAGGGTTCAATGCACAGGGAGGGGGGGTTCGAAACGTGATGCGTCGCTGTGAAAGATTTTAGCTGAAAGAGCCTGAGTCTCTGATGGGACTCTTGTTTCAGCAGCATGGTGAAGAATTTATCGGTCACCAAGATCAGCATGGTAACACGCAGTCCAGTGGAAAGTTAGCTTGGTGTTTCTTGTATTTGGATGTTTTATGGGAAGTTTGGCTGCGAAATTATGTTACTTGTCGGTTCAGTGTTGCTTCATGGTTTGTTGATGGCGTGTGGATGGCTTACTGCCGGCGTGATGTCAGGTGTCAGTTTGTGTGTCGGCTTCTTTGCTTGACGGGCTTGCTCTTGGCTTTGATTTCATACTGGTTCACAAACAACGGGCTCTTCGAGGTTTACTATTGACAGAACATGTTGAGTTGTCCGATGTAGTCATAATGTGCGGTGATAAGTATGAACCAAATGCGAAAAAAACATGTTTGTGTGTCTGGAGCTGACAAGTTCTATGCGCACTGGCGCTGAAAAGTCCAAGCATTTGGGCTTCCAGAGCCTTCCGAGCAAGGTTCACCCCATATTAATCAGCCCGAGCTTATTATTGGGGGTTCTTTTCCCTGGTGAAATGTGGAATCAGACCACTATTGGAGGGGAACAGTCCCCCTATCAATCATATATTTGACCCACAGCCATATTCCGACAAAAGTAAGCTTCAGAAACACACTGAGGCCGATCTTGGAAGAGCCCGAAGCCGAGGCTCTCTGTCTGCCGGGAATCGCTTGGAAAACACGGGCAACGCATGCCTTCTGAAGATCCCTTGCGGTCTCGACTAACTTGTTGTGGTGGGTGACTTGACGGTGGCAAGTTGCTGGCTACCGACCATCTCGATGGAAGCCACAAGGAGTTTGGTTTAACATGGGGAAGGGGCCCTTGGAATTACACCAACATGCCTATGCCCACCTTCAGAATCAGTTGCCTCACCAGTCATCAAAGGGGCCCGGCATGGGACAGTGACAGAGATGTGAAAAGATACGCTTCTGCGCTTTGACGTAGAATCCCAAACAAATGCTTTCGAGGAATCTTCGTTTGGAGCCCTTTCTTGGCTTGCATGTTCATGTGGGTGTGGGTCAAAAATGGGTAATCAAAAGGCCCCATTTTGGGAACCCTGGGTAATGGAACCAAGGATTAAACTCTGCGGTCCCCTGGTGGTCTAATTTTGACCCATAGCCATGTGCAGAGGAGTACGCAACGATTGTAAGCTGGCATGCTCGTATATCAAAGCCGGATATTGGGACAGGAACAAGGATGCTCACAGATGGCCATCGCTCTCAGTTGCCACTAGTAAGGAGTCACTGTGTGTGCTGTGTCTTTTGGAACAGTCGATGAGGAGGTTCCTGGCAAATCGAATTAGCTACTCGTTTCAGCTACAACTAGATATTCCATGACGGCCGCTTGAATAGACATGAACAGACCAAGCCGGGGATTCCTTTGTGTATGATTCGAAAGGGAAGTTTGCCGGAAGCTATAGTAGTTATTTTGGAGCATCGAATTTCAAGCTTGCCAGCCAAGTCAGAATTACACCAGCGGTGTTGACAGAATGACATGTCGGTTGGGTACCAACCCCCACCACTACCCCCAACAATCTGACCAAATAAGAGTTCTCCTACAGACAGCTTCTGCTGGTTTGTTTCGCGGAAGTCTCCCATAGTCCTCGTATCCCCCAACACATGGTTGCCAATAGAGAGAAACCAGGAGCATGACCATGTGTTGGTGAGCCCGCATGACCATGATCAGGGACCCAGGAAAACCATGATCCCCCATAAAAACCTTGAGATATATGATGGCCCAGGGAAACTTTGATCAAGGCCCCATCAAGTTGTGACGGGCCTTTGACTCACCTGGGCGCTTCTTCGAATTCCGCAAGCCGCAGGTGGTGTCACCCAAGTCGGCGGCTTTGGCCGCGGCAGCCCAGGCGCGGCAGAACCGATGGCCGGATGGATGGGTCGCGTGGACTAGTGGCTGTGGTGGTCAAACATCGGGTATCCCCAAAATGGAATCCTGATAATGGAACCAAGGACTGAAACCTGCGGTCCATATTTAATTTTGACCCATACCCCAGTGAATATTATAAACAGTCTCAGCCACGAATATCACCCATGGGTAGCCAGAAATTGATTGCGACACACTTGGCAAATCACCCTTCTCACCGTTTTAAGCTTTTCCCCAGCAGGCGGGGTCAATTCGCCAATCCGTTTGGGTTGGCCCTGGGGTCACGGACAGGATACTGATTTGGTTTGTTCAATGTTGACCTTCTTGGTCCATGTTTAGTCAAGGTTGACGCGAACCCTGCCTACTGGGCACGTTGTAGTCACTTCCCCCCCCAAATAGTAAATACCCCCGCCCCTAAAATATTCGCCAGTGGGCCGAACGATATTCATCAACGGGGTGTGGGTGTCACTGTCTTCCTGGGTCAGTCGTGATGTTGCTCGGGAAAGGTAGAAATCAGTTGTTGCCTGACTCATGATTAATATAAACTTGAAAGGGACAACGACATGATGCATATTGAATTCTAGTTAGTACAGACAAGCATTTCTAGTTAGTGTTGGTTTAGTTCTTGGTTCGGACGTGTCCCCTAATACGACTGCTAATACGACTGGAGTTGGGATCGGCGGGACGATTTTCTTGTTTTCATTTCGTGGGAAACCGGGAACCAAAATTGTTTGGGTTGACAAGTATCCTGGGGACTTCTTTGCGGGTGGTGGTTGAAGGGACGCCACGTCGTTGTGAGTCTTTGTGTTGGGGAGTGGCGAGTGAAAGTTGAGGCCCGCTGCGCATGGCAAGGACGAAGAAGAGGATGAAGAGGAAGAAGAGGAGGAGGAGGAGGAGGAAGAGGAGGAGGAGGAAGAAGAAGAAGAAGAAGACGATGTGGAGGACAAACACGCCTTGCTGGCCATCAATGTTTTTCCGCGAGGTTTGGTCAGAGTCAACATTGCAGCTTCTCAAGATAACGCTCGACCTGCCCGCCTGAATGCGCAGGAAGACAAGCCGACCGAGGTGGGCAAACTGGGTGCTGTTGGCTGGCAGACTGGGCAAGGATGTACCCTAGCTGAGCGTGTGACTTTCCTTGTTGGTCTTAGTCAAAGTCCTCAAAGATGATATGGCTGTGGGTCAAAACCAATGGTACCATTTTGGGGTAGGTGCACCACCCATTTTTGACCCATGGCCAGATGATATCGCTCCTTCTATTTCCATGTCCTTGGTCCTTCAGTTGAGTATTGCTGAATGCAACGTGTCCGAATGTCTGCCCCAATTGTCAGTTTGCTTGCTTAACTACCCACTTCTGTTTGACATGTCGCAAAGATATGTATCTTATGGTTGACCTAGTTGTTCTTCGGCTTTGACCGCAGGGAAATCAGGCGGAGCGTGCCCAGCAAGCTCCAGTCGTCCAACTCGCATATGCCTGAAAAGCGGAAGTGGCACAGCCACGTCACCTGCATCAACATGTCAGCAGCAAAGACACCAGCAGACAACCCCAACGAGTGACGAGGACATGTTTTTGAAGATCAGTTTGTGTCATCCTTAATAGCCCAGCGTTTCACTGGGTTGCTGCCCATGCTTTGGCAAAGGCTTTAGAACAGGAAAGCGAATCGGCGGATTGGTTGTGCCATGAAAAGCGAGGTGCTTGAATCTCGCAACATCCTGGAATCTGCATATTGGTAGTTCAAACATGGCACGCATCAACGTAAGCCCAGATGCTTCCAGAGAAGATTGATGAGCCAGGCATCATCCACCGTCCAACTTTGCAATCACCGACAACAGCAACAGCAAAAGTACAGTGGCCATGAACATGTTTGAGCATACTATATAATCAGCAGCAATCCCATACAAATTAGAAAGATCAGCTCCAAAAGCAGCGCGCTTTGACTAGGGACTTGCAATTACGAGCAACTTGCTTGCAGTGTATAACCATGTATTTCCTCTAGCAATCTGCCACCGTTCAATTCAAGGGATATGCTTGAGTTTTGTTGTTTTTTTGCAGGCTGGTTTTGGGTGTCTTGTTGACATTGTGAACCTCGTGCCAAGATGCACGGGCGGGTGTGTGTGTGTGTGTGTGGGTGCGTGTGTGTGTGTGACAAAAGTCCAATAAGACTGAGAAGAAGTCAATGACACACTCTTGCCCCCTGTCTATGCTTCTATAAGTGTTGCATGTATGGCATGCTTTCTGCGCGGGGGATAAACTGCCAACTACGGCGTTTCGAGCTTTAGCTTGTCAGGTCCTTTGCCAATGCATTGTACACTTCTCAACATATGCTCATTGTACGTAGTTTCTTCCGCATGGATAGAGAGTTGGCAGCGCAGGTTCCAGCAAGAGCAAGCAGCGCCACAGAAGATGCTGCTCTTCAGGCAAGGCGAGATGCAGAAGAGGCCAAAGAGCGCGAGGCCAAAGCGGCCAAAGAGCGTGAGGCCAGAGAGCGTGAGGCCAAAGAGCGCGAAGCCAAAGAGCGCGAAGCCAGAGAGCGCGAAGCCAGAGAGCGTGAAGCTAAAGCACGCGAGGCCAAAGAGCGCGAAGCGAAAGAGCGCGAAGCCAAAGAGCGTGAAGCCAGGGAACGTGAAGCCAGGGAACGCGAAGCCAGAGAGCGGGAGGCTGCCGAGCGCGAGGCTGCCGAGCGCGAGGCTGCCGAGAAAGAGGCCAGGCAACGAGAAGCGAAAGAGCATGAAGCACGAGAGGAAGCTCGAAAGCGCGAAGATGCCGAACGAGAAGCAAGACAAGTCGAAAGAAAGGAGCTGAATTTTAGAGAGAGAGAGAGAGAGAGAGAGAGAAAGGGGTGAGACAGCAGCAAAAAAGGTGTGATATTGGTGGGCCTGGACTCGGAGAGTCTTGTTTCTTGTTCTTGATTCACTTCTGGTTGTGTACTTGTTTGCCTCGCTGTCCCTTTTGTTGCGCTAAGGTAATTTTCCCTCGCCCGGAATCAGAACCGAGCTTTCTTGATTCCCGCCATTGGCTGAAGTCCTGTTATCTGCGGTTGTGGTGATTTTCAGAACCCTTGATTTCAGGGGGAAGTTGTATTCAGTGGTCAGTTTGGGTCATCCTTCCCCTCATGTTCGCACCAGTCAGTCACTTTGATTTGGTTTGGATGATGCTAGTCGTGTTTGGCCACTAAAAAACCTCCTCATCTACTTGTTGGTGATGGGTATCTACGTGAGGGATAGTCCATAGCCCTCAGAATATACGGAATCGGCCGCAAATATGGATCCTCTGACGAGAACATCCTGGGTGTGTTTCGAACAAGCACAAGCAAGTTGAATGTTTGGTGTTTTTCTTGAGCCACCTTTTAAAGTCCCCAGAATTAGCTCCCCTTTTTGTTGTTGTTTGCTTTTTTGGGGTCCCTTTGTTTTCCACTAACCAGGCATTTTTGTTTTTTTGCTGGGGTCCTAATTCCAGCCTAGTTAACTCGCGCCAACGAATGCGACTTCCCATGACCTCCCTATACCTGCATGGGCCAGCAAGCTGAGCATTTTCCCTCACCATCCCGCGAGGATACGCATGCATCGAGATCTGGGAGGCTGCGCCCGCATCGATGTGTGTGGATTTTGGTGTGGTGTTAGTTTTGGTTGGGATTGGGGCAGTACCCCGGTTTGCTGTGGCATCAAAGTCGCATCCGGAGTCTCGAGACATTCGAAAGGTGAACAGCCGTACATCGGACTGCCACGGGTTTGATGGGCGTTCTTGGAATGGGAGGTCCATTCGACGGGCAAAAATGAGAAATGCTGATGTCTTCTCAAGGAAAGCCGAGCTGGCTGAGTGATACTTGGCGAGCTCGGATTGGGAGAAATGACTAGCCATAGTCTTGGGAACCCCATTCATGACCCCCCTCTCCCTTCTGCCTCATATTTGGATAGATGGGGGGTCGGGTCAGGGGTTATCCTTTCCTAGAGAAGTCGGGTTCACCAGCTCTGTTGGATTTGAGCCCGGGCGAAACAAGGTACTTTTCTGGGGACCACCCGCTCAGCTCACATACGTTGGCCCTCATTTTCGGGGGAAGCCCAGAAGAAGGCCCGCCGGTTTCAAATTCACCGCGCTGACCGCGAGTTGTTGGCAGTGCTCCAGCAGGTTTCTAGGCAGGTTCCGTGGGAGTTTTGCAGGAGTGTCAGGCTCAGTGACGAAAACCACAACATGCCGCTGCAGTTGGCCATACCCTCGTTCCTTTTGCATGAACACAAGGCTTCCCCTTAGGAAGAGATGTCCAACGCTTCCTGATGGCTTTCAGAGTTGCGCATGTTGCGCTTTATCAGAGCCGCCAGGCTGAGTGGGCTGGCAAGAACATCGCAGGCGACTGGGTTCAGGTCTGGTTATCCCCCCCCCCCCCCGACATGCCAGGCCAAGAAATGTCTGATCAAGTTTTGTCTGAACCTGTAGTGGCAGTTATTGGCGTTACTCCATGTACGGTATGCGGAAATCAGAGGCGACCATGTCACTTTTGGGTCATTTGGACGAGCGAGAAAGCTGCATCCAAAGTGGTCGGTGTCAAGTTGGGGTCCGGAGAATAAGAAGGCTGAGCCTGATTGACATGTGCCACATTGTGCCACCTTCAAAATTGGATCCCAGAACAGGGGGTCAGGAATTTGGACAGCCGTCCCCCCCCCCAAATACGGTGGCGCCGGGAGTATCCATTGACCAGGGCAAATTGGGATAATTCCTCATCACAAGAGCTGGTTTAGACACGCTGACACCATCAGATGACCCCTCCCGGTGGCAATCCCCAAGCAAGACCCAAAGGACATGGTTGGTTTTGGACGCTGCAGAGAAGCATTGGACGGCGAACTGGCTTACGATCTGACCATTTGCAAGCGCACAGCCCCTTGTAGGGGTCTACGTTTTGGCCAGGGGAGGGGGATTGCTTGATGAAGGCCCTGGCTGCTTGATCCCTGCCGCAGCACATACCCTTCATTTGAAATGAGGTGCGCGATGTGCCATTGCCTCAATGTTCGTGAATTAGAATTGTGTCTCCTGTCTCTTCGAGCACGGGCTACTGCACTCACAACCTAACATGGTTGGTGTCCTTATTGTTTCCCTTCAATCTATTGTACCCACAAAAAGGGGGTCCACCATTTTGAGAGGCTCCCATGTAAAACCAGCGGATTCCGCTGCCGCTTCGGCCCTTCCGCTTTCGGCAGGCCCCCAGATCCGCGGCGAAGGAGCGGCGAGTCGGGGGTTTCGGAGCGAAAGAGAGCGACACCTCTTGGACCTCATGCGGACGTCACCCCGGACAGGGGCGGTTTGCCCAGAAGTGATGCTCGATCCTTGGGTTCGACCAGGGGTTCCCATGGAGAGGCATCGACATAGTTTGGCCCAGCATGGCCTAGAGTTGCTGGGTGTGAAAGGGGAAGTGATCAGATGGTTGTCATGGCCATTTGGAGGTTTTGGACAGTTGAAACACATTGGCTTTGAAGATTGCCTTGGTTGAAGGACAGGGCAATCCAGCTTGGTCAGTAACATTAAAGATAGCTATCTACAGAGCAATGACTCTGTGGTCGGTTGGGACGATATGGACAAACCTAATTGCCATTCGGCGACAGGCAATTCATATCATCTCATCACGGGCTATGACTGAACTCCCCCACAAGGCATGACTGCATCCTGTTGATCCCTAGCTTCCGCCCCACTCGTTGGCTGGAGTGTGTGTGTGTGTGTGTGGGTGGGTGTGTGTGCGTGTTGGTTTCCTCGGTCCTCGCATGTGTCGAGTGCTTTCCTTTCGAAGTTGGTGCTCCGGCGAAAGCTGCCAGCAGCTCCTCCTTTCGCAGCTTCTCGCCGCGTGATCTACTCTTCCTGTGCTTCGAGGGATTCCACTCACCCCTCTAGCCTGGTAACCAAGCAGTTTTCCGTAGTGCTTTTGTATGTTTCTGTTTTATGTTATAGTTTTCTCTGATCACAGTAGCTGGATGCAACTAAAACCACAGGACGTTCGAACTGGCTTCGGCTCAACGTGAGTTCGACAGCCTAGTGTGTTGGCCCGCTGTTTCTTACTGACGGGAGCCCCCTAGAACTGATACACGAACTTTTGAAACCCCAAAAAGTCCCTCAGGGGGTCAAAAGGTACCGCCAAAGAAACCAGGTTGTTTGAGTTTCGTATTGCTTTGGCGTGTACCCCCCCAAAAAAAACACATAATACAATTAATAATCACAATAATAATACTAATAATCATAATAATAAGAACTATAATAGTAGTAGTAGTAGTAGTAGTAGTAGTAGTAGTAGTAGTAGTAGTAGTAGTAGTAGTAGTAGTAGTGGTAGCAGTAGCAGTAGTAGCAACAGTAGCAACAATAATAATACTTCGTAATAATAATACCCCGAGTGTCAGTCCCTGCCTGGAGTGCAGGAAGCAGAGGCGCGGGACCTCAATTCAGCGACATGCTTCACCTTGACAGCCAGTGTGCGTGTTTCTGTGTTTGCGGCTACCTTTTTTTCGGGGGGGTGCTTTCAAGGACCCATCATGGCGTCCCCTATTTTGACACATACGGGGTTGGTTTTGTCTCGGGACACTGGACTGCATGTCCTCTTGAGGGAGCCTTGCCAGCGTGCGATCTCAGCCCTGAAGGTACATGGGAGTTTCTGATGTCAGCTGTGAATCATGTACTTCACCCCATGGCCCAGTGCTAGAGTATACACAAACGACTTGACCTTGGAAGAGGAGCACATTCTGCTGGGAGCTTCAACATTCAGCACGATTTCTGAGCAACCACATGCTCTGGATCTGAGGAAGCGTCGAATATCGAAACATATCAACTCGTGATTCTCGATTCTGGGATGCAGAGGCAGAAATTCGAATGGCTTTCAGGGGCACACCAGGAAACCCGTCCGTTCCGAAATTGTGTGGCTTCTATCCGATGGCGCGGCATGAACGTGCGACTGGCGGATCTGGAGTGTTCCACGGAGACCTTGGCTCCCTGGTCGGCCCTTCGCGACTTGGGCCAAACCATTCCCATGGTTTGAGAAACAGCAGGAAACACGCAGAAACCGGGCTGGAAGGAACGTTTCCACTGGACACTGTGTTTGTTTCCTTTTGTTTGAGCCGGTATGCTCTTTGTGGGTGGTTTTCTCAGAGGGGTACGAAAAGGATCCTCAACCGTGTTGGGAGGGCCGTATACAATTCAAAGAAAAGCCCACTTTGCAAATTGGCGGAACGGTGGATGCCCTTTTGGTTGGCATTGAAAGGTGATCCAAAAGAAAACATGTGGCGTACCCCTTGCACCCCTGAGAATCCTAGCCCTTAAGTAGTATCTATATCCACAAGTGGTAAGCCTTTTGGTTCGGGTATGGGGTTGTCTCAAACCAAAGAACCAACATGTGTTTGGGGTTTCTCTCTTGAACCCCACAAATTGACAAAGGGGTAGCCGCAAAGCAAGACATACGCAAATTCAGTTTCATGCCCTGGGACTGAAGATCTAGTTCAATTTATTGGAACCAAGTTGGTGGTCCCAACTGCATTCAAACCACAATTTGGCCCGGATGATTTAGATCGGATGTCACTTGAAAGGACCCAGTTCGTGTGGGCCGCCGTCATGTGGGGCGAGCTGAATGAGTTACACTGGTCCATGTTCGCTTGGTTCATTGGCTTTGTGCAAACTTGTTCCGCACGCGCTTCTTCAAATGTGGCCAGCCTAATTGCGTGAGTGCACCGCCGGAATCAATCCAACTTGCCAAAGGGTTCAAGTAGGTGTGTCTCTAAATGAGAGATATTCAATCCTTTGATACCTTTTGAAACAGCAAGAAGGGTTAATGAATTAAAGACGGCAACTAGCCTCATGACAAGGGCGTGCCGAGCCGAGCCGCCGAGCCCCGCTCGCCGCTCGAGGCAGCGAGTTGGCGAAGCCCTCCGATCCGCCAGAGGATCTCGCCTATGAGCTGGTGGACACCCACCGCGTGCTCCTTGGCTTCCAGTTGGCTAGGTTGGGACTGTTGACCATGGGTGTCCCTTGTGGTGGTTTGGGAAAAATCGATGGCCCTGGTGGGTGGTTTAGTCATCTACCAGGGAAACCCATCTATTTTCCCCAAACAGGACACCCATACTTTTGACGAACCCCCGAGGCGCTTTTTGGGGAAACCAAAAAGACATGGCCAAATCTATATCAGCACGGTTTAGCAAGGGGGCCCAAGAAGGGAATTGACCATGTTGGCTGTGTCGCTTTTGTTTTGACCCTTTTTGCCTCTTGACATACCCACGTGCGTGATGTCGGAAGCAGCTTAAATGTGGCCCTGCGTAGTCTCCCGGTTCATTGGGGAGGAGCATGTGAATTTCAACGATCCAGCACCAGCTTCGGTCCACTGGTTGGCGCACCCAAAAGCTGATTCCTGTTAGCTTCGCCTGATGAAGGCCAGAGCCAAACCAATGCGGCGGGTCCTGTTTTGCGAAAGGTTTTCCTTCAACATCCACATATCCATTTGCCTTGGCACAGGCCTGGGTAGCAAGCTGTGGCTCAATGTTGCTCTTTGGTTTTGTGCTGGAAAAAACATGCGAGTTGATGATTTGTTTGCTTCTCCACTAAGCATGAAGCATAATATTATGAATGTATGGAGCATATTCTTGTGAAATGCGCGTAACGTTACAGTCACGAAAGACCGAACGTTGTCCAATGCTGTCCGCAGAAGCTCTCGGCGTATGCTAGTCTGAGCGGATATTGCAGTTGTTTCGCCAGGCAAATGACAGTTATGTTGAATGAAGAGACTGGCACGTGTTGAACAGGAGGGAACCCACCAGACTGCCAAACACGAAAACGAGGCTAGAACTGTGGTCACGGAAGCAAATGCCTCCAAACGCTGCAAGCTTATGTCTGCGGGAAACTCGCGGAAGGTTTTCAAACAAGACGCTTCGCAAAAGCTACCCGTGCAGGACACGGAAGCGCCGCAGAATGGTTGGCGGAAGTTTGAATAATTTCAGTTTCATAATAATTCAGTACCAACTCTTGAAAGGGAAGACAGCAACACCACTGATTTGGCTGAGTCGAAGATTCTCAGAACTCTCTTTCGAAGCAACCAAAGGCTTCCCTTCTACTTGAGTGCAAAGACAGATCATGATGGTGCCCTTCCTCCGACCAAACATGGAGCCCACTGAAGGCTCTCTCGTTGCGGAATCTGGCCTTCCAGCTGCAGACAGGTTCCATGGTGGAGATACCAATTTTCTTTTCTTAATGAAACGAGGTGTGTGTCAAAAAAGTAAGATCGGACCGAAGCTCCCAGAAGGCCTTTGTAAATGGAACCAAGTCTTCTAAAGGGATCCTGGCAGCTTCCATGTTAGCCTGGGGGAGGCTATCCCCAGGCAGCGGCAGGGTCACTTCTGCATCCGAGGCACGCCAGCAGGCTGTACGACCACTTCTGGGGTGACCGGGCGAACCTGGAGCTTGGAGATGCCTGGCCTTTCCAGCACTACTGCAGCGCGAACGCAGAAAGTTGTTCCAAAAGTGTGTATATGTATACATATTGGCATATACACTTATATATATATGTAGAGAGAGAGGGAGACGTGTAAATACATATACATGTATGCTATGTATACATGTATGCATGCATGCATGCACACATGCAAAAAAACGGGTCGGTCCAGATACATTTCACTTTAAAGGCACATGCCTGTGGACCTGCCACCCCTCCTCTGACTTATGTGTGCATTGCGTTGCGTTGCGTTGCGTTGCGTTGCGTTGCGTTGCGTTGCGTTGCGTTGCGTTGCGTTGCGTTGCGTTGCGTTGCGTTGCGTTGCGTTGCGTTGCGTTGCGTTGCGTTGCGTTGCGTGCATGCATGCATGCACGCACGCATGTATGTATGTATGTAATGTAATGTAATGTATGTATGTATGTATGTATGTATGTATGTATGTATGTATGTATGTATGTATGTATGTATGTATGTATGTATGTATGTATGTATGTATGTATGTATGTATGTATGTATGTATGTATGTATGTATGTATGTATGTATGTATGTATGTATGTATGTATGTGTATGTATGTATGTATGTATGTATGTATGTATGTATGTATGTATGTATGTATGTATGTATGTATGTATGTATGTATGTATGTATGTATGTATGTATGTATGTATGTATGTATGTATGTATGTATGTATGTATGTATGTATGTATGTATGTATGTATGTATGTATGTATGTATGTATGTATGTATGTATGTATGTATGTATGTATGTATGTATGTATGTATGTATGTATGTATGTATGTATGTATGTATGTATGTATGTATGTATGTATGTATGTATGTATGTATGTATGTATGTATGTATGTAATGTATGTATGTATGTATGTATGTATGTATGTATGTATGTATGTATGTATGTATGTATGTATGTATGTATGTATGTATGTATGTATGTATGTATGTATGTATGTATGTATGTATGTATGTATGTATGTATGTATGTATGTATGTATGTATGTATGTATGTATGTATGTATGTATGTATGTATGTATGTATGTATGTATGTATGTATGTATGTATGTATGTATGTATGTATGTATGTATGTATGTATGTATGTATGTATGTAATGTATGTATGTATGTATGTATGTATGTATGTATGTATGTATGTATGTATGTATGTATGTATGTATGTATGTATGTATGTATGTATGTATGTATGTATGTATGTATGTATGTATGTATGTATGTATGTATGTATGTATGTATGTATGTATGTATGTATGTATGTATGTATGTAATGTATGTATGTATGTATGTATGTATGTATGTATGTATGTAATGTATGTATGTATGTATGTATGTATGTATGTATGTATGTATGTATGTATGTATGTATGTATGTATGTATGTATGTATGTATGTATGTATGTATGTATGTATGTATGTATGTATGTATGTATGTATGTATGTATGTATGTATGTATGTATGTATGTATGTATGTATGTATGTATGTATGTATGTATGTATGTATGTATGTATGTATGTATGTATGTATGTATGTATGTATGTATGTATGTATGTATGTATGTATGTATGTATGTATGTATGTATGTATGTATGTATGTATGTATGTATGTATGTATGTATGTATGTATGTATGTATGTATGTATGTATGTATGTATGTATGTATGTATGTATGTATGTATGTATGTATGTATGTATGTATGTATGTATGTATGTATGTATGTATGTATGTATGTATGTATGTATGTATGTATGTATGTATGTATGTAATGTATGTATGTATGTATGTATGTATGTATGTATGTATGTATGTATGTATGTATGTATGTATGTATGTATGTATGTATGTATGTATGTATGTATGTATGTATGTATGTATGTATGTATGTATGTATGTATGTATGTATGTATGTATGTATGTATGTATGTATGTATGTATGTATGTATGTATGTATGTATGTATGTATGTATGTATGTATGTATGTATGTATGTATGTATGTATGTATGTATGTATGTATGTATGTATGTATGTATGTATGTATGTATGTATGTATGTATGTATGTATGTATGTATGTATGTATGTATGTATGTATGTATGTATGTATGTATGTATGTATGTATGTATGTATGTATGTATGTATGTATGTATGTATGTATGTATGTATGTATGTATGTATGTATGTATGTATGTATGTATGTATGTATGTAATGTATGTATGTATGTATGTATGTATGTATGTATGTATGTATGTATGTATGTATGTATGTATGTATGTATGTATGTATGTATGTATGTATGTATGTATGTATGTATGTATGTATGTATGTATGTATGTATGTATGTATGTATGTATGTATGTATGTATGTATGTATGTATGTATGTATGTATGTATGTATGTATGTATGTATGTATGTATGTATGTATGTATGTATGTATGTATGTATGTATGTATGTATGTATGTATGTATGTATGTATGTATGTATGTATGTATGTATGTATGTATGTATGTATGTATGTATGTATGTATGTATGTATGTATGTATGTATGTATGTATGTATGTATGTATGTATGTATGTATGTATGTATGTATGTATGTATGTATGTATGTATGTATGTATGTATGTATGTATGTATGTATGTATGTATGTATGTATGTATGTATGTATGTATGTATGTATGTATGTATGTATGTATGTATGTATGTATGTATGTATGTATGTATGTATGTATGTATGTATGTATGTATGTATGTATGTATGTATGTATGTATGTATGTATGTAATGTATGTATGTATGTATGTATGTATGTAATGTATGTATGTATGTATGTATGTATGTATGTATGTATGTATGTATGTATGTATGTATGTATGTATGTATGTATGTATGTATGTATGTATGTATGTATGTATGTATGTATGTATGTATGTATGTATGTATGTATGTATGTATGTATGTATGTATGTATGTATGTATGTATGTATGTATGTATGTATGTATGTATGTATGTATGTATGTATGTATGTATGTATGTATGTATGTATGTATGTATGTATGTATGTATGTATGTATGTATGTATGTATGTATGTATGTATGTATGTATGTATGTATGTATGTATGTATGTATGTATGTATGTATGTATGTATGTATGTATGTATGTATGTATGTAATGTAATGTATGTATGTATGTATGTATGTATGTATGTATGTATGTATGTATGTATGTATGTATGTATGTATGTATGTATGTATGTATGTATGTATGTATGTATGTATGTATGTATGTATGTATGTATGTATGTATGTATGTATGTATGTATGTATGTATGTATGTATGTATGTATGTATGTATGTATGTATGTATGTATGTATGTATGTATGTATGTATGTATGTATGTATGTATGTATGTATGTATGTATGTATGTATGTATGTATGTATGTATGTATGTATGTATGTATGTATGTATGTATGTATGTATGTATGTATGTATGTATGTAATGTATGTATGTATGTATGTATGTATGTATGTAAGTATGTATGTATGTATGTATGTACGTATGTATGTATGTATGTATGTATGTATGTATGCAGTGCTTGGAGTACTACGCAAGGACGCCAATGGTTGAGGAAAGGGTCCCTTCACTGGGACACCCTCTAAAGGCAGCACGAAACATCTCCAGGCATACGGCAAAGTGGCAGTAGGTATTTTGGGCCACGTCACAGCCCTCTACGTGCTGGCATGGGCGCACGCGAGAAGACTAGCTGCTGTGCTGCATCGAACTGGGGGGGACATCCTCGCGTTTGGCCCTATGATTGCTGTGGATATCAATAAAGTCCGGGAACTCGTGTGGATGTTTTTAGGGGAAAGCCAAGGGAAAGTGCAACACAGTGGTCTACCATGTTCAAATCGGGACCTCTAGAGGGAATCGTTGCCTCGTTGAGTTCCATTAGTATGTTGATCATCGTTTGATTCGTGGAGATCCCGGGACTCTTCAGACCGGCCCTGAACAGTAGAGTTGACTATAGAGAGAACTGCCGGCTTTTGCTGGTGCCTTTGAAAATTGACGTGTGCATTCAAGAGTTGCAGCAGATCAAGGAACGCAGTTGCATGTCGAAATTCTGCTTCTGGAAAGGGACATAGGCATGTGGCAGTTATTTTTGTTTGACCGTGCTGATGGCTAATCCAGCAACTTTTGAGCCAGCGTGCAGTGAGTCTTTCGAATGGGACATACAACCAGAGCCCTGAAGATGTAGCCTCCCAGAATCAAACGGACTAAGTAGTTTTCAGGGCATGGTGCCTCTTCTGGGGTCGACAGTGCTTATTGAGCATGCCCTGACCTTTATGGCGGTTGGTCGGATCTTTGGACTTTAACTTTTTGGGAAACAATGGATTGTTCATTGGCCCCGCAAAAGGCTGTTTGCAAAGGGGTCAACAGCCACCAAGTCACTTGGATTGGCTGCCATCCTTTAACGGCCACCTGTGGTTTGGTGGATTCCCTTAAGTTTGGTGCATTTTCCTTGGATGTTAAGATTTTAACTTTTTGCCAACTAATGGGTTTTCCACCAAGCCACTAAAAGTTAAACTTTTAGCAGTGGAGCAGAAAGCAACCGAGTTAAGGTATCTCATGAAACCCGCATCCCGCTCGCAGGACACGCAGCAAGCGGAGCGCTACTTGTCAGCTGCCGTGATGATGTTGAGGACTGCTTGGAACGGGTTTTCTTCCCCAGAATTAGCCCCCCTTTTTGTTCTTTTGCTTTTTTTTGGGTCCCTTTGTTTTCCACTAACCAGGCAAAAAGATCTTTTGCTGGGCTCCGAATTCCAGCCTAGTTTTGTCTTCTTCCTAAGGCAGTCCATTTGTCTGTCCTGCTTCGATGGCGTTGCGAACGTGAACCCCAAAGCTTCGAAGGGTCAACTGGGACGAGTCCTTGGAACCGGCCGAAGGGGAAACAAGCAAAGCCATACCAGACTTGGCCCCGAGTCGATACTCAAACCGATCAGTCGATACACAACTAGTCGTGCCGAATCGCCAAATCCAAGCAACTGCCCAGCACGCTCTGCCTTTGGTTTGCTATCTTCACCAACTTGAGTTCCGCTTCCTGCTGACCGAAGCTAAGTCCGTGTGCCGCTGCCTGCTGCCTGCTTTTCTTATACGTGTTACGTGGCCACGTCAACGACTTGTGGTGCACTTGTGAACCGACGCGGAGGCAAAGTATCGATACAACCCGATACTAGGGTATCAGGGTACAAAGGTTTCATACGATGTTTGCATTTCAGCCCACAGAACTGAACGCTGGAGCAGTCGCCTGAGAGTGCAAAGCCATTCCAGCACCAAAGCGGCTACATTTGTTTCTCGCAGAACAGTCTCAGAAATAGTTGGTGGACACAACACCCCATGTAAAGGATAGTTACCTCATCAAACAAATGTGGTGCCCAAGTGAAGGTATGAGCACACTGACAGGGTTGCAGTGCTTCCAAATCCTTCACTCGGACGTCCGACCTTAAGACATGGGTACAAGTAGCTACCCTGGTTCTCGGAATTTCTTATGGGTATGTGTCAATCCCCCCAGCCTGCTGGTTGTCTTTTTTGGTTCCCCTTCAACCAACCCTAAAAACGCTTCCCTCAAAACGCACAGTCATATGGTCCTGTGTGCTTCCCCGCACAGCGACACTCATAGCTGAGCCAGGCTGAGCAGATTCTTGTTTCTTTCGGCTACTTTAATACGAGAATGCTCCCGCAATCAGCCACTCAAGAAACCTCGCGAATAGGGGGGTTGTCCCAGTTAAGAAGGAACCCTTCACTTTCTGCACCCTTTGTGTTAAATTGCAAGGTCGGTTCACCCGGGGTCGACAACAACTATGTCCAGGATGGATGATCACGACTTCTTTGAGCACACCACTTGGCCATTCTCGCTGCTTGGCCCGACATCATCGTGGGATTTCGCATGTGAGCTCGCGATGTTACCAGGGTCTCAGGTTTGGGAGATCCCCATTTTGCAGGGCTCGGGTTGCCATGAATCTTTGCCTCCTTGGCTCTGGTTCTACGATTTTATTTTTTTGTTTTCTTGCTTGAAGCATTCGCACCCGGAGACTCCTTTCCCTTTCATCGGCGATTTTCCAATTGCCAGCCGACTGTGAGTCATCCAACATCTCTTAGGTCCTGGGACATCCTCTCGAACCTCTTCTTCTTGCGCCAAGGTGGGTGTGGTTTTTGAGTGTACCCTTCAAGGTTGAACCAAAGGTGAAACGAAAAGGAAAAGCCTTTTTAGGTTGTTTGTTTTTCAGGCTGGCCTAGGAAACCAGGGGGAACACCATCGGGGCGTCCAACTCTGCATTTGTCTGCGCAATGTATAAGGAGCCCCACCACTTTTGTTTGGAAAATAGCGAGGTGAGCGAGGTGATTTACCAATAAAGAGGTGAGCAACAAGGTGATTTAGTCCCTGTAAAAGCAAATAAGTGGTTCCCCGGCGTGGCGAAGCATTCTTTATGATTTGGAAGCGCAAAAGCAGACTTAGCGTGTTTGATGATACTTTAACTTATCGGACTACGGACTTTGGCATTACTTTCTCTCTCGTCGACCCAGTGGCACATCTCTTTGGTCTCTCCCACGTCCCCTCTTTTACCGTCAGGCACTTTTGATAGGTCTCATCTCCTGAGGCAACCTTCCTAAAATTCGCTTGTCTTTTTAAGAAAAGCTGAAATTATTGGATTTGTTAAAGACGGACTACTGCGAAAGCATTGCCAAGGATGTTTTCATTGATCAAGAACGAAAGTTAGGGGATCGAAGACGATTAGATATCGTCCTGGTCTTAACCATAAACGTCCTTAATTGCACGACTCCTTCAGCACCTTGCGAGAAATCAAAGTCTTTGGGTTCCGGGGGGAGTATGGTCGCAAGGCTGAAACTTAAAGGAATTGACGGAAGGGCACCACCAGGAGTGGAGCCTGCGGCTTAATATGACTCAACACGGGGAAACTCACCAGGTCCAGACATAGTAAGGATTGACAGATTGATAGCTCTTTCTTGATTCTATGGATGGTGGTGCATGGCCGTTCTTAGTTGGTGGAGTGATTTGTCTGGTTAACTCGTTAACGAACGAGACCTTAACCTGCTAAATAGTTACATGTAACCTCGGTTATATGGGCAACTTCTTAGAGGGACTTTGTGTGTCTAACGCAAGGAAGTTTGAGGCAACAACAGGTCTGTGATGCCCTTAGATGTCCTGGGCTGCACGCGCGCTACACTGATGCGCTCAACGAGTTGTTGATCTTGCCTAAAATGGCTGGGTAATCTTTTTTGAAATGCATCGTGGTGGGGATAGATCATCGCTCCTACCGATTGAGTGATCCGGCGAGTAATTCGGACTGACGCAGTGCTCAGCTTCTGGACGTTGTGTTGGAAAGCTTCACGAACCTTATCACTTTGTAGTAGGTGAACATTTTGCAAAACTATTTCACCTTATCTACTTAACAAGGGTGAATCTGTGGCCGCAGTCTTCACCTTATCCTTCATCAGCCTGTTAAGGTGAAGCTTGCCTAGACTCTAGCAAGCCTTCTCCTTCTGTGTAGCCGCTTGGCTAGAGTTTATAAGGTGAAAGGTGCATATCTGCACGCAACGGGGAGAAACGGGAAATGGGTTCTTTTTGGCTTCAGGTCATGGAATCCCCTGACGCAAAGTATGCACCCTTTGCCAAGCCCTTGAAGACAGCGGCATGAGTATTCCTGGATGCTTGCCGATGATCCGCCTGCCGATTTGATTCCCTACTTGGAGAATCAGCTCGGCCCGTCTAGAAAAAGACGCTCACCGTAAACAACAGATTTGTGAAAAGGCAAATAGGCTTCAAAAACTTGGGTGGGGTGAACACCAGGATAAGGTGAAAACCAGCCACTGGAATTGGGGACTCCAACCAGGAAGCGTGGGTAGAGGGCAGCACGGGGCCGAGGTGCCCAATGTAAGGGACAACCCCAAAATCTTGGATTGGAGCATGGCATGACGCAAATAGGGCTGCAGACCAACCCCAAAAAAGGACACGGATGGGCACTTTTGGCTTGTGCTGCCACCTTTGCTTGGCTTGTGAAGTCAGCTGACGCAGAGGTGCAGGGCGGGAGGTGTTGAGTTTCAGAGTGTGACCTAAAAGGGATGCAAACTACCCGACCTGAAAAGGCCACCCAGCGCTTTGTGCTGCAGCTTGTGTTGGCTAGTGCAGAAGTGCGGAGGTGGGAAAAAAGCTGCCGCTGACATCTGGAGTTTGGGCCATTTTAGGACGCCTTTGGACCAGTTTCAGCGTGTCATCGCCTTGGTTCTTGATTTGGTGGTGCAAGTTTTGAGCTACTGTAGGACCACTTTTATAATTAGTTCCTGGAAATTTATAAATATTTCTGAAAGATGTTGACAGGCTCACAGACAAAGAGGCCAATGCCCGTCCCAAGGATTTGGTGAAAAAGACAAACGGGATAAGGTAACAATCAGGGCATAGAAATACCGAAACACAGGATAAGGAGAACCCTTATCAGGAAAAGCAGGCTCTGGGTGACACGATTCAGAACTATGCCAGTGAGATCCAAAAGAGGCTGCCGGAAAAGACCAAGGGCCCCATCGTGGAAGCGCTCCCTCTCACGCAACAATCGCTCGAGATGCTCCAACTTCAATACTCGGTGGTGGTCCGTCCGGATCAGTTCAAAGAATCCCTTCTCAACAAGCTCCGCAAGGACTTCAACGATAACAACATCAACTCTCACCTTGCGTCCCTGTCGCTCACGCGGATCCCAGAGCCTGACAACTCTTGTCTCTTTCACGCCCTGGCGCGCGTCTTGGGAATGCCTGATGCCATCTGAAACTACTTGCTGGACAACGCGCCCAGGCACTACCTGGAAGCAGGGCTGGAGCAAGTGGAGGACTTTCCCCTGTATGTGTTGGGGATGCGGGACGACTACACGTGGGGTTCCATGTTGGAGGCGCGGGCCTTTGCCAACATGTATGGCAAGGAAATCATCATTTTGCACTCACCCCAACACTGGCCTCTTCGCGTTCCAAGCCTCTTGCGTGCCTGAAATGGGGGAAGCCACGTCAACCCACATCCTGTGCCACGCTGATGCTGTTTTGCCACCTGCGGTGCTTGCTGTGGACGACTCCAACCTGAAGGGCGCAAAGGGTAAGGTGAAGAAGAAGCTTGCCGCAAGGGAGCCGGTGAAGGTGAAAAAGACCCAGTTGAAGGAGAAGGGGCACGCCCAGGGCCGATCTGCCAAGCTCGTTTTGGCGCCTGGCCAGAAGCTGGCCAGAAGGAGTTCTACCATGACTCCGTGACGTTGCTTCCATAGGCAAAGTTCTGGTCGCTCGCGGCAGTGTCATTCACACCTGGGCCCGACACAGCAATCTGCGATTATCGCGATGTTGGAATATCTGAATGTCTGGAGAATCAGCCGTCTACACTCCCGAGTCGACACTCCTTAATTGGGTACCGTGCCCAAGAGATGGCGATCTCGACGCTCAATTGCAGCAACATGACTTGTTCATAAGCGCTGATCTTCCGAGGTATGACTTGTCCTTTTCCGACATGGCTGCGTTGCTTGCTCACGCAACAGCTCGTGTGGGCAATTGGCATTGTTTTTTGCTCACTGTGTTAGCCATCATTGTCAACTCTTCATCATCAGTATCACGCTCTGCCTATTGATTCGTCCGGGTGGCGCAACATTTTCCAACCGCGGAGGATTGAGTAGTGGCCATACCGGAGTGTCGCACACTGTGGCGGTTGATTGTTTGCTCAAGGCCTGTGTACGTACTTGAGCTTTTGGATCAAGAAGATTTGCCCTTGTTGCTGAAACACTTCTTGCAGGACTTCGCCAAGATTACGGGGATTGAATTGAAGGAGGACGCTGTGGACTTAAGCCTCCAATTTCTGCGGAAGGGGAAATCAAGCGCGTTGGTGCTCACATATTGCAGAAGTACTTTGGTTTGGGTCCGAACTACCCCTGGCCGTGACCTTTGTCTTGCACCTGCTGATTCGCATCTGGACACATCCGCAACAATCCCACCAACGCAGGGTGCAAGCTGAGGCGCATGGCATTGTCGGGTGCGTTCTAGCGAGCTCGAAGCTCTGAAGCGCACTGCGTAAATATGATGAGAGGAAGCTGCACGGCCCCTTGAAGCCCCTTGTGCGCCACGCGCGTCATCAAGCCTTGCCTCCTGGGACGAGTTGAAGGAGGCTGAAGGGCTTCGACATCTGAAAAGACATCCCATGACGTGCTGTGGCTATTTGTTTCCTGCTGCTGCATGATCAAAAAACGGCAGGTCCTGAGTAGACGCGAGAGCCTTTTTCGTCTTTTTCGCTTTCTCTTCGTTTCCAAGTATGTCCTAGGAATTTCTCATCAATCCCCTGTCGTGCCCCCTGTCACTTCCCTGCACCGTTCTGCATTTCCGTACATGTGCACTGTTCTGCATTTCCATGTCCAAATTGAAAAAAATAAACACTTTCGTGACAGCCACACAAGGTATGAAAGTTCAATTGTGTAGTGGCAAAGGTCGTGCTTTTTCACCCAGGCTCCAGAGTTTGTTTAGTTTAATCTAAATTCTTGGTGCCCCGCTTCCCACACTGCCTGTTGCTAGTTGAAGAAGAACAACGTGTTTAGAGTTAACAGGAAATGCGCAGGAAAAGGGTTTTGTTGCGAGCCCCGAAAAGTTGTTCATGGGACTTCATTTGTTCAACCGGGCTTGGAAAACAACTTTTCGAGCCCGAAAAGTTTGTTTTGGGACTTCAGTTGTTCAAGTCTCGGGCTGGGAAAACAACCTTTCGAGCCCCGAAAAGTTTGTTTTGGGACTTCAGTTGTTCAAGTCGGGCTGGGAAAACGACCTTTCGAGCTCAGAACAGTTGTTCTTTTCCCCTTCTTCACGTATTTTTTAGCCAAAAAAAACTCACAGCTGTGGAGGCCCGAAAAGTTGCTCTTAGGACTTTGCTGTTTTTCGGGCTCGGAAAACAGGTTTGTGAGCCAAACTTCTTTTTTTGGAATTAGTTTAATGCTTAAACAAAACTTGGAGCTGGGAATCAACTTTTTGAGCCCCGGGAAGTTGTTTTTGGGATTGTATGTTTTTTTGAACCCCCCCGACCAGGCTGCCGTGTCCGCGCTGAGAGGCATTGTTTTTTTCCCGTTCCCCAGACGGCATTGTGTTAATAGATGAGGCTGGTGTAGAGAAGCCAGATGCTAATTCAGTCAGGGATTTAACGAGGTGAAGCGAGACAAGATACTGAAACTCAAGCCAGATGTAACGAGGCGAGGTACTAAACCCAAAAACAGACTTAAGCAGTGAGGTGACGAGTTAAACATTATTCTACATTGCCTATGGAAGGTGCCACTTAGCACTTTTTGTGTTGTTTAAAGGAAAAGGCAGACCAACAGGAAACCCGCGGTTTGGGGGCGGTCCCTGAAAAAAAAACACGCCCATGTTGACACATATCAGGCTGGCCCTTCGTCCCCAAGCACCAGAAGGTTCCGGACAGCCAGTGGGTGCGAAGCCGCTTGCCGCTGGTATACCCGCCGCAGCCTGGCATAGGCGGCGCTGCGTGACTTGTGCCCGGTGTTTCTAGGAAGATGGGTATGGCTCAAAAAACCGGTACCAAAGTGGAACCCTGGCAAGTGGAAACATGGACCAAAACCTGCGTAACCATAGCTCTTTAATTTTGAGCCACTGCCACATGGAACCTGACTGAAAATTACGGGAGGCCATGTTCATTAAGGGACCCTCTGGTAGGTTCCACGGAGGGCCTCCCTGGGATCATGATTCTGAGTGTTCGTGGGAGTTTATCAAAGTCGGGCATATCCCTGCGTCATTTTATGTTGATCGTTGGAGGTGATCAAAGTCGGAGTTTCCGGGGTGGTTTCCCTTTGTCCAAGCACTTGGGGGAAACGTTGGAGGGAGCCAGCTACTAGATGCTTGGATCAGTCTTCGCCCCGAAAACAACCTATAAGACGAACGATTTGCAGTACCGCTACGAGCTTCTTCCTGTTTTTGCCCGGTCAACGTTTTGAGACACTTCATATCATCCTAGATATTCTTATATCGTTGTATGTCTTTGACTTTTGCTAAATGATGATTGCTGAACATATTTAGGTGAATGGGTCCCCTCGGCCGCTGGCTGGTGGCAGGATATCATGTGTTCTGCTTGTTGAGTTGGCACCCTTTTTGGGCTTGCTCTTAAAGGAACACCCAACGCAACGGCGAGGGGGAGGGGGTGTTTTGAGACATGGGTGTGTCTTGAAATAGGGGTACCACTGAATGAATTCTGCTTAGTGTCGCTCACAATCTGATGTTTGAAGTCCAGGCACGGTCCGCGTTGCTGGCCCCGCTGTGCGGAGGAGCGACCGTGTTGGTTGTGGAAAATCGGAGAGATAGGTTTGGTGTATTTTTGGGACCTGACTTGGGGTTGGTTTAAAGGGGAAAGAAGCATTGAAGCCCTCTCCAAACCTGTTGGATCGCCAGTTTTGAGATGCCCATGCTGGGCTCTGAAAAATAACGAGACCCCTTGAATGATACTGCGGGGTCATTCGCATGACTGCGCTATCAAACAAAAACATAGGGAACTTGCAGGGCATTCCCTTGGCATCGCTACCCCAAAATGTCCACCCGCCCTTGGGAAGAGATCCGAGCTGGGGGGGGGTTCCGAGAAAGCGTGCGTTGGGATTTCCTGTTCTGTTGGTTCCCATGCAGTGCCACGGGAGTTGACAGGCAGGAAACGACATGAGCCGACCAAACTGGTGGCCATGCCTAATCCAACGCTGCAAGAAGGGTTCCACCAAAGTCCACTAACTTCTTGCAAGGGGAGCGTCAGACATTGTACTTTGGTTATGTAGTGCTCGGTGGAACTCTCTTGCAGACGTTGAGTCTGTTGTGAAGAGGACATTGGACTGAGTCCCCATCACTTCCCCGCTTTTCGGCGTCCAAGAGCAGGCGGATCCGGATGCAGATGCCAAAGGGCAACGGAAGGAAGCATTAGCCTCTTCACTTGCTTGATTACCTTCGTTCGTGTTTTGAGTTTGTCCGTTAGGTTGTGTTTCTCTGTTGTCTTCAAGGGATGCCACTGGGAATTCGCCTATGGCTGTCTCAATCGGAGACGAACCTAAATTAAGACTTGGCAACAGAATTGGATCACAGCTGGCGTCGTACGAATCGGGCATCGCTGCCAAGCCAAAACTAAGATAGTCTTCCCAGCATTCAAACAGCGAAGACTGACAAGCTGGCTGGAGCACATACCATATCATACTGGCCCGAAAACGAGCACGCAATTGAAAAAAGTTCCCCAAGGGCAGATCCCTCTAGTAAATAGGTGCTTTAGCAGTTCTTTGGCGGTTACAGGGTTCCAAGGTCTTGTATGAATTGGGCCGGGACCCTCGAATTGCCTCCCAGTTGTCTCCAATTTGGAGCCAACTGGGAGATCCCGGGCCCAATCGATTTGATTCATTCCAAGCGGCTCAGCGCGGACAGGAGGAAGCAACTCCGCGGGTAATCAAGGCGCCAGGGCCTTGCATCGGCTGTTGAACCCGAACCTTGAGTTTCTTGAGGCATGTGAGGGTCGGAGAATGTTTGGAGAGCAATTCACAACGTGGGACCCCTTTCGGAAGCTGGAGGTCGGAATCTCCCCTGCAGTTCCAGTAGCATGCTTCGGGCAACCAGTTGGTTTCTTGGTTGCTTCAGATTTGGGCATGGAACCACAAACAGGGCCCGAACAGTAGACTCGTTTTGGACAATCAAGGCACTCGGCTGTTGGAGGCCCTGGGTCTCCAGAGGTGGAAAAACGGTTCTGGGGTCTGGGAAGGGCGCTGCTCGGATATGCTCCAACGCGCGTCCTTTGATTCCTTGTGTAGTCTCCATCCTTTGAAAATGAGTGGTTTTTGGTATACCACCCCATTTTTGAAGGGTCATGGAGACTCCATGGATTTACTTTGACCCCCATGGACCCTCAGGGCAGCACGAGACAGAGGGAAATCAGAGGTGGTTTCGCAGTTTGTTTCCACTGGAAGCAGCATGTGTGTTGTTTTCTGCTCCTGGCTGCCGAGCTTTGCATTCGCTTGGTTCGGCCAACAAGCGATTCTTAGGGTGTTGTCTTCATTTGACCAGTCGCAGTCTCCCAGGCGTACATGTTGAAGGCAGTGAGAACCTTGCATGGAGAGTGCTCCACTTGAATGAGTATGGTCTAAGGACTGCAACATACTGCGGGGGGGGGGGGGGGGCGGCGGTATCAACAGCACTTTTGGATTTTCGGGGGGATGACACATTGCAGTTTCACTGCGATTTCAAACTTTCCCTTACACAGCGCAATCTCGGTTGCAATCGTCTGCGCCCAAGCCGTTGGCTTTCCGGACTGGATGCTGTTGACGGGCGGCAATCACTGGCCAGAATCCCGAAAGGCCAAGTTGGTCAAGTACTCCCCTGGGTCGACAGGGATTGGGCCGATATTGACCTATGACTCTTTTTTCAGGACCGAAGGATGGGTTTTGGGGAGGCTTTCGCAGCTGGGTCTTGCCACGGGAGCCTGCATCTTCACACTGAAGAGGTTGTTCGCGTCTTTGTCCCGGGACCTCACTTTTCCACGCCAACCAAAAAAGAGGAGGTCCCCCAATAAATAGGGGGGCCCTCCACTCGTGGAGGTTTGGTGGACTTCTAAGAACCCGGGGCCCTTCGTAGACTTCGCGACCATCCTGGAAGAGTGGGTCAGCGACCGCTCCCAGACAAAAATGGAGTCGCGTTGAGTCGCAACAGATGTTTTGAGCATTCTGATGCCCCCGATATCTCAACCATTTTGTTCAGTTTCAGCTCTGGGTATGTTGTGATTTTTTGAAGGGTAGCACAGAACAGGGGCCTCTCAGCTGCATTGACTCGATTGAGACTTCCTGGAATTTGTTGGCAGCATTTGGCAGCAAAAGCGGCTTCTGCAAATGTGAGTTGCTGTGTCTAGGCTGCGTGACCCAAGCTCTGTACTGAGGATACGTTGTTGATATTTCCCACAACGCCCTGGCAGATCATTGCGAGTATGCGCGCTACAAGGATTGGTGGCTCGGTGGAAACAGTGCGACTGCTGAAATTCGTTGGCAGGTTTTGGTCGGGTGTCCCAATGTATTCAACCAACCAAACAGTTTGTTGCTTGTCCCGTGGCCAAGCAAGTGTCCAGTTTCCTTTCCCGAAAAGGCTGGTTGGTCTGAATATTGGGGCGGTCGGCTGGAGCTCGGTTTTTCAGATACCTGTCCGGTTGCAAGTGCCCGCCAGGCTTTGCTCCAAAGACGTGCGCCTGAAGGAGGCGTGCGGCTGTCGGAAATCCCCAAAACTAGTGACCCAAAGAACCTGTGCACTAAAATGAGGAACCTTTTTTGTTTGACTTAGGGCAACCAAAAGGAAGGCTTGTCTGGGGGCTATGGGCAAAGCACAAACTGCGGATGATGCTAAACGACAGATGGTCAAGCGCCGAACACGCCTTTTAGAGTGTCTTCAACAAGTGTGGTGATCCACCGAATGCTTTTGAGCAATCACTTACATACCTATGGGGGCCACAATTTCCAAAGCGATGCTTCAGCACCCCAGGCATGGCTAAACTCGCAGCTGAATTCGCAGAAACTACGCAAACCTACACTGTCAGTCGCCGGCTTGGCTTGTAGGTTTGGCTCCGCAAAAGCCAAACTGTGGACATGCCAAGCTACATTTCCTTGCAAAGGTGAACGAAAGGGGTGAGTAGCTTTAATGCCCGCTATCAGGAGTATCAATAGGGCAACGCCCGCTAAGCAGCCGATTCAGAGAACCTTTCCTAGGAGGGTGGGGGCCATAGTGAGACGGGGGGCACGAGAAGAGAACAGGATTGGTTGACGATTCAGCAGCAAAACTGAAGATCCAGCTGTGTGTTGCGCCATTCATGGTATTGGAGACGCGGTGTTCATTCAGCACACCAAGAGCATTGCCCCTGAGCAAGTTTCCGCCCGGGGTATCCCCAAATCAAATCAGTTTGCCTGGACTTTTCTTGCCATTCGCCAGGTCTTACGAGAGCAGACCATTCTCAGCCAGATGTCACAAGCCGAGTGTGGCGAGGACTCTGCCATCCGGTCGGATCCATCACCAAAATGTTTCTACAGCTGGGTATAAACCGGAAAGCTTCCCTTTGTGCACAGACAACTTCAGCAACACCTTCTTGAACACTGGCCCAGTTGCTACCACTGGGAGCAAGTTGGCGTTGAAACTGTGGTCAGCTCATGCATGTTGGGCTCGATGGCACAAAGGGCTGAGCCGATTGGTGAGACTTAAGCCAAGTTGGTTCAGTCTCCGCAGTTGTCCATACCCACAGATCGCACATTGGAGATGAGGCGTGGGAGTTTTCCCTCACCAGCCACTCCCATGGCGAATCTTTTCACAACCAACAAAATGTATCGTGTTGCCAGGAGCGAGGACAGTGGCTTGCCTCGGATGGGACTCGTGGCGCTGCAGACGTCCAGTGGATTTGTTTGCCTTTGGAGGGGGGATCCCTTTAAAATCGACCAAGAAGATTCCTTGTTGTTCCGCCCTGGGCTGGGTATAAAGCGATCCTGCGTTGGTGTACTTTGGGTTAAACATCATGTTGTTTCTCCTCGGCGTTTTTGACAAGGGAGAGGATCCCTAGGTGGTCTTTGGTTGAACAGGGGCCCGGAAAAGCCGGCCAAAAGGGCCTAATCCGCACATGGACTTAGATTTACGCCAAGAAAGCTTATGTGCAGACTGCTGTCAAGGGTTTCTTAACGAATAGCCACCTACAAGCTCGCCATGTGCTCCAACATCCTGCATGATGCCCAGACATGTATGTATAACACATATTCGCCATGCTTGCTTTTGACAAGGTCAGGCGGCACTTGGCGGCTGGCACGTATCAACTTTGTCATGTTTCTTCTGACAGCCGCGCTTTCACAGGTGGAGAGTGCAAAGTTCAGGCAGTGTTGATTGCTATTTGTGCATTGCACATGACAAGCAAGCTTTAAGTAAGTGCAGGTGTGTCTTTTTGGCAGCGTTGTTCAAGGGACACCCAAAGGAAGCCGACCGTTTTGGAGCCCGCACAATTTGAAGACCAAGCCTTCAATTCTAGCCAACGACGGCGGCTGCCTTGCGCCCTCTGCTTGCAAGCTTTTGTTATCCGCACTGAGGTTTATTCTCCTGAAGAGCATGTTTTGTTTTTTGTTTTTAAACCAGTGCCACACTCTATTGCCCAAGGTGCTGTAGCAGCCTTGAAGGTATCACACCACGTGGGAACAGAGTTGCACACACCTTGCATTGCACCTGCCTACAGCGCCCGTCCTGACTTATATGTTGCAAACAGACATGAGTCATTGCTTCCCCACATTGGCCCGCTTTTGGTCGACTTGTTCTCGAGGGTGGGACAAAAGCAAGTAGACACACACAAACAAGACCAATCCAGCAACCAGGCAATAAGGCAATGAAGCAACCAGTCTATCAATCAGTCAATCGAACTATCAATCATTTAAGCAAGCAATGCAAGCGAGCAAGCAAGCAAGCGAGCAACATCAGAAAGGAAGTCGAAGGACGGTAGGACCGAAGTGGACAGCTACGCAGCCCTAGACTGGCAAGGGCGCTTGCTTGTAGTGTGTCGTAAACTTTGTAAATCAACACAAGCCGCTCACTCCTGCGGCTTGTTCCGCTGTGGCTTTGCACACTAGATCAACCGTAAAAAACTCAACTCACTTCAGCTCACCCCGAGATCAACCCCCAAACCGACTTGTTGTTCGCGATTTAACCCAACAAACCAGCCTTTCTTGAATTTATCCTTTGCGTTAACACCCAGCCACCCCTGAATCCAAGCCCCAAGCTCCGAATCACACCCCAAATCAACGGGCCAACCACCGACTCTCCCTACAACTAATCACATCCAAGTCACCCCAAGAGCTTTCCCGAAAGCAACCCTAACTCAATCCAGAACTAAACCTAAACCAAACCAAACGCCCCCGTGATCCAGCAACACCAAAACCACTCTAAGCACACCCTCCCAGAAGGAAAGTGGAAACATGAACCACATCCGAAACAAAGTAAACAACACTACCAAAGAACAAGCTTACACAACACAGAAATCCACTGTCACCTGGCCAGCACCTTTGGGGTCGTCCTGGTGAGTCTCGTTGTTTCCCCTCACTTTTTGCACTTGTTCCTCTCTTCTTTTTGGGGGGGAAAGGGGGTTTCTTTAAAAGAAAAACAAAAAACAAAAGGATGCCTTCTTGCAGATTCTGACCAGACCGCCAAGGCTTCCCCTGGGGAAGCCTTGGGGGTGACCTCGGTTTCTCCGAAAGCCGACGCTTTGACCCGACTTCAGCCCGGTGTTCGTCTCGCCGCATAGGTGGTGCGGACTCCGGGAGCTGCACTTGGACTTCGAAGAGGTGAAGCGGCACTTCGACGCGCCTCGCCATGTCGAAGCCTCGCCTCGCCGTGCGCGTACTGCGCTCATGGCACCCGGGGGGGTTTGAGGGTTGCCCCACCCAAAGCGCCATAGTGGCGGAACATGGAGCTTTGAGATGCTGCTTGCTGTGATGTCAAATGGCCATGGGTCATAACCTATGCCTCCATTTTGCGGATGAACACCCCTGTTCCTAATTTGATGTTCACCAGGGGTACGTTTTGATCCACAGCCAAATGGGTATGGGTCAAGATTATACCACCTAGTCCTTGCTTCCATTTAGCAGGGCAAGCCATTCGGGCAGCGATTTTCGACCCACGGCCAACAAAAAATCCCCCCAAAGTCATCGCATCGTCGCGAGCCCGGCCTTCCGAGGCGCGCCTCTCCGCAGACCTGCGACAGATGGATCTCTTCGCATGCGGCCACCCGTGGGGGCACCCAATGCTTCGAGACGAAAGGTGCCGAAGATCAAATTTGGGCGTGGCTCAAAATTAAACAGGAGGGCTTACGCAGGTTTTGGTCCATGTTTCCACTTACCAGGGTTCCATTTTGGTACCGGTTTTTTGAGCCACAGCCATTTGGGTCTGTGTTTGTTCAGCAGTTTTGCCTTTTTAGGGTTGGTTTATGTTGGTTTAAAGGAAAACCACAGGAATACCACCTGTTTTTTTTTTTGGTGAAACACACCATGCAAATTTACAGACTTCGGGCTTCTTATTTACAGACCCGAATTTGACATATTAGTTCTCAGCTTTCCTTTGCAGCCTTTGGATGTTCTTTTACTTTCTCTTGCAACAAGAAAACAGCAACTTTTCGCTGGTGCCCAAAGATGGCGGGCGACGTTGCCCGAAATCAATGGGTGAGCAAATGATGGGAGCAGAGATCTCAGATAACAGGGACACCTGACAGCGGGGACGTCCACAGACAAACCCGAGAATGCTTCAGCTTTCCCAAGTTTTGGACACAATGGCATAGATTTGTTCTTTAATGCAGACTTCCTGTTTGATATTAGCAAGAAGCATTGCTTGATCCAAGTGTTGAATTGACTTGCAAGGATCACCCAAGATATCCGTGTCCAAATGATCAAATGGTGATCTTACTTTTGAATAGTGTGGTTTCTCCATTGTACTTGCGGACGACCATTGCGATTGAGCTTTGCTCTTCCAACTCTTGCTGCATCATCCTGTAAACCAGCTTCTATAATATGGTACATACAGTGATACAGTTGGGTGAACATATATGGCACAATTTCCCCCAGTGTCTAGTCATTCCGTTTACTCCAAGGGAAGTTTGTACTGTAGCATCTGCTTTCAACCTGCTAGGTTTCTTTGGGGGGTTGATCAAAAGGTCCTTTACACGGGATGACCATTGAGGAAAGCCACCAAAAAAGTGATATGTTCCACATGGAAAAAGTTATCGGAAAATCCAGAACGGGGGCAGGAACAGGTGGAATCCACAAAAAAACACATCCAAAGTGTTTTCTAGATCACCCTATAGAAATGTTTTTTTCAATGGCCCAAAGGTCACCCTAGTAGGTGTCTTTTCCATGGCCCACATGTTTCTCTTGCCGAAGCATCACACGACCAGCGCCAGCGCCACGCGCTCCGAGGCTTTTTTGGTGCCGCCTGGTGGAGAGCCGCTCGAACAGAACGGGAGCCCAAATGAGCCCAATGAGTCCATTTGCTGAAAATGAATATATGTGTTTATTTTCCTTTGTTGGTTTTAAAGGGAATGTATTACTACCGGATTTGTTTCCAGGGTTAAGAATATGTTATTGTCCCTTGCTGATTTAAAGGGAATGTATCACTACCGGATTTGTTTGCAGGGGGCTTGAGCAAATGGAAGATTCGGCTTCAATCCCGACTGGAAGAATCGACCCAATTTAGATGACGCAACTCTTTAGCTCAATGATGGTTATAGTCACCCATCGTAATGGTTGAATTCCCAGGGTGCTCATTGGCTATTGATTCTGGAGCCAAGGAGCCAGGGATTGTTTGTTTGGCTCCGTTTTATCCATTTCGCCTGGTGAAAGATGGTGAAAGGACAATGATGCGCGGGAAGGGGTACATGAATGCCATTTGTTCGTGTGGGCATCAGCGCTGCAACCTTCGTGTAGGTTACGGGGCTCCCATCCTGGGGATTTGGGACATGAGCCACTCCTTCGCCGTGCCGGAGATGATGCAGGAGGGGCGAAGCAGACTGTGAAAAACCAGCCCAAACCCCCCTTTGCGGATGTACGGTGGGTTGGCTGCTGGCTTTGCCCCTTGGAGCAAGCCTTTTGGATCCAGACACTTGGATCAAGCGGCAACCACCACCCAACCACTTAGATCCTGTTGGTTGGTCACTGGTTGGCTTTACCCCCAGCCAGCCAGCACCCAACCACCACCCAAACGCTTAGATCCCTTTGAATTTGATATGACCTCTCACACCTTCCGCGAGCCTCTCCATTTTGGCAGGAGGCGTGGACCGGTGCCTTTCTGAACCTTTTCGCCCAAAAGCAGCTGGGCCGCCTCAAAGGAGCTTATGAACATATAGCTTCCTTGAAAGGGAGCCATTCATTCCCCAAGCCATTGTTGATTCTCCACTGAGCGCCAGGTTGACCTCAAAACGGACCCTTTCTCAGGCACCAAGATTCGAGCAGGACACTGGAAGGACGCCAACCCTGCAAGGGGTGTCCTTTTCTATTCTTCCCGGCCGTCCTTTTTGAACAACTCGCCGTTTTCCTGGGATCGGGGTCTCAGGAAGTGCGGCTGCCAGTTCAAGTCTTGAAGCATCCTGAATTTCAGATTTTTGGAAGCTAGCCTGAATCTAACTGGTTGGGTGCAACTTAGGGTTTGTGGGGCGTGGCTCCATTCGCATGCTTGTTTGTTTAAACGAAGGCCCTGCTGATGTTTTCGAGAAAAGCAAAAACAGTTCAAGGTACATGAGCATGGGGATGAGTTTAAAGCATAGTGGTAATCATATGATCATAGACAAAGAACATGTCTCGTTTATAGTTTGCTTCAATGGCCGGCGAGAGCTCAAGCAAATGGACGATTTAAGAAGGTGAACCAAAGGCAAACCCTTATCCCATGTGGAGACTACCCAGGAATAGGGGCCTCGGAAAGAGGGGGTGCGTTTTTCTCTTGGCTGTCTTTTGACAGCATCCAGCAAAACCTGTGGCGTTCGGTTCCTTTTTATATCCATTTGGCTTACTTTTGAACGCATCCATAACAAGCAGTGGCCATTTTGTTGTAGGTTTCTTTGTGGTTTCCCTTAAAACCGGTGGGCCTCACGTCTTGGGCCCCAGGCAGAATTTGCTGGTGGCCATGTCTGCCTACCACAGCTTCCAGGTGCGATGGCTTCTTGGCTGGCGCTGCTCAGCTGCACCTCAGAAGGCACCCCCAAAACGGATCTCTGAAAAAAGCAACGACTGGACGCCTGTGATCTCGGGGTAGCGGAACTCCCCCACCTGTGAAAAAACGTATTTCTACGCATGGGTAAGGGGAAAAAAACAAACAAAACACGTCGGCGTACGTATTTCAATGACGCATACCGGCCGCCAGCCACACGGCTCTTCTCGGTTGCTTTGTCACGTCGCAAGAGGCTGCCGCTTGCTGCCGATCTTTGGAAAGGAGAAGTTGTTGTAAGAATTGCGCGGCTTTGGTTGTTGCGCGAGCGAGCTTTAGACTGGTAGGTTAGGAGCGGTCGACTGTGGGCTGTGGGCTCCTTTTGTGGCAGGTGCAGGACTTTAGGACCTTGTGAATCTGGCTTGCGTGGCAGGCGCCTGACTTTGTGCACGCCTTTGTTGCTTTGCGCGGCACACATACTTGCTCTTAATCACTCAACTTAGCCTCGCTGACTTTCAACCATTCTCATTCCCACTTCATGTGGGGTTATGCGGTCCTTTATCTGGGCAGATAACATCTAGTTGGGCGAAGGACCCTTAAAAGCTTGTTTCGAGCACGAGCGAGTGCCAAGAACCCCTATAAGAAAGTTATCATATCCAACACAACGACGCTGAGCGCCGGGTTGACAACTCAGCGTGCCTTCGGGGCTGGAACCGTTACGCTTTGTCTTTATCCGCACGGCAATGCGCATACCTGGACCACCCAAATCGGCAGAAGTTTCTGCCTTTTTGGAAAAAGGCGCCTTTTTGCTGTTGGCGGCGTTTTTAGTTTCCCTGGCAGCGTTTTTTTCAAAATCAAGTTCTGTGCAAAACAGGCAGCAGGACATCGGCGGAATTCGGCGGGAAATCGGCGGAATTCGGTGGGAAATCGGCGGAATTTCGCGGAAGCAGGTTTCAGCATGTTGGAGTGTTTGTTGCGGTTCGGCGTTTTTTCTCGCGGGCGGCGTTTTTCTTTTGCTTTTCGGCGGAAATTTCTGCCGCCGGGGCCTTTCGGCAGAAAGTTCTGCCGCCGGAGGGTCCAGGTATTGCTTCAGGTCGGGACACGCCAAGGTTGCTTGTCGGACATGGGCCAGGAGATCAACCGACCGACAGGCAACGTGCTGGCCCAACGAGAGAAATACCTCGACGCGTGACCAGCTTGCACAACGAAGTGTCCGGGACCTGCCGCGTCGGCGAAACCGGGCATCTAACCACGAAAGTCACTACATGCTCAAATGGTATGTAACGACGAAGCGCATCTGCAGGGCTGTCCCCAAGAGAGAACTGCGCGTCTAGCTTGCGGACACGTTTTAGAGAGCCCGGCCATTTGGGGACACCGTGAGCTGCAACAATGTGCTGCCAAAATGTGGCTTCTTTGTTGGTGGGCGTTGTGCCCAAACCCAATCAGCACATCAGTATCTGGGACGAAACGCGGAAACAAAGTCGTCCTTTCGCATCCTCAGCATCGCCAATGACCGCTGTAAGTCAACACGTTGCCAAACTCGGATGATGCTGGGGGTGTCGGATGAAGGCGCCAATGAGCTGCCAACACAGCCGGTGGATTGACTTCTTACATGAGTGGCTTGTCTTTTTCTGAAGTTGGCCTCCCGAAGCATGCTGGGTTTTCGAATACACTCCCACATTGGTGATTGTTGGGTGCTGAAGTTGTTGACAAGAAGACACTCGAGCCTTTTCGGCACCTGTCCAGCAACACTTCCGGCGTTCCCCTCGTAGTCTGAAACCTCAGGTGACACACCGCAACCGCAATGTTCGGCTGAGGGGTGCCCTACTTCCAGCCGATCACAGCTGATGTGTCGCTGCACGCACGTTACCAGCCGCTGCGGGCGAAGGAGGCGACGGTGAGACGAGAGAGCTCGCCAAGGGGAGGGAGACAGAGAGAGAGAGAGAGAGGAAATCGCAAAGTTAAATATTATTGAATACACTCCAACCAACTAACATGGAACCTGAAAGAGACCCACCGCAAGAACCTTTTCCTCTAGCAGGGAGCTTCTTCGGGTGTCATGTTTCTTTTAGTGTATCACGTGTTTCTTGCTTTTTGTTATCTATATTTGTTGTTAGTTGTTTGTGTTGAGTTTGTTTCCTTTTGGGGCGGCCTTTGAAGGGGAAATAAGGTCCTTCGGGTGGGCGAAAGATAGTTCTTTGGACAAGCGGAAAGATGACAACTCTAGGTGCCTGGTGTCATTTTGGTGAAAATTCACGCAAGGAACCAGGACATTATGTTTGCCAGTGCACAATTTTCCCACAGAGAACAAGCTATGTTCTCCGCGGCTGATTTCTTCATGGCTCGGGGTCCCTAGATGTTGAATGCTGGGCTCTAGATGTCTACCAGGGGATGCCTTCTTTGCCTTATCTGCCAGTGAATTGTACCAATCTGCACAGAAAAGCTTGACAACCCCAATCTCCTCGTGGGGCATGAAATAACCCAGCAGGAAGCTTCCCAGCGGCGACCGTGCACCGCGCGCCAAACAACCCACGATCTTCGACTTTCTCCCCAAGTGACTATCTGCCCGGGGCGAAATATATGACAATTGTCGAATTTCCTTCCAACAAAGTCACCCTTGCCCCCATCCGCCCCCAAAGGAAAGACATAACAACGCAACCAAAAACAATCCCTTTCTGACAACCTGCCCCCCACCCCCCCGCAAAAAAGAGCACCAAAAAAAACACATCCCGCAAGATGGTGCCATCTTCGCTTGCCCCGATATCGAGGTTCTGCTGAGCAAGTTCCGGGGACCCTACGACATCCAGCTCCTGCTGCGGATGGCAAAAGAGGCGTTGGAGTTCGGGGCCGGGGTTCACGGCAGTTTCAGCCAAAATATATGTTTTTATCTCCGCTACCCTTCTTGGGCCTTGTTTCCGATGCGAAGCAATCGCATGGTGAACTTAGCTCACGTAAGGTTCAGGCCATTCACCCGTTGGCAGCTCCTCCCTGTTGTACCATGCTAGGCACGATCAAACTTTGTGCCAAGCTGGCAGTCAAGCATGGCGCTTTTGTGGTATACCGGCAGTGTTGATTGCTTCTCGCTGTTTTCTCACTTGAGCACCGCTAGGCTGCATTCATTGCATTGCGGGTTTTGTGGTTGCACACTTTTTGTTGACACGCCTGGCAGGCGTTGGAACCAGCGTGCAGTGCGTGACTGTGAGCTACACCTTGAAACGCGGACGGAATAACATGTTGACTGGTCAACCGCAGGTTCTTAGCATGCTTTGGCCGCTTTCACGTAGTTGCCCCTTGCTGTTGTGGCTCATCTACACCCACAGTTTTTGGGTTGCCATGCCAATTCTCGTAGGTGTCCTTTTGTGTCAGTCTCACTTCCTGAGTTCCTGGACTTTGAACTTTTGGGGAAGACCATTTCTGTGGTAAATACAACAGTCTCAAAAAGTGAGCAGTTGGAAGATAGATGGAACCAGTATCACTTTGGTTCCGACCCATTTGCCAGCACGTTTCGAAGAGACACCCGCGTTCCACTTGGCAGGCAGGTGATGACTTCCCGCTGCGCTTTGTTCCGTGGGATGCGCCTGGGATCGATTCCAAAGCACGGAAGATGAGTGGCACGTGTTTGAACATGTATGGCGGGTAGTGCGATCCTAATGATGAAGCGCTTTTGTAGATCTCTGATAATTGTAAGTGCATTTTGTCCATACTGCGGATGGACACAAAACAACTTCGCACCAGCTGGGATGGATGAAGCCTCTGGATGCTGGGTGAGCGCAGTTTTTAGTGATTGTTTCTGTAAACCCAGGTTTCAGCTACGCGCCCTTTTTCTTGAACACAAACGGCTTCCAGGTATTCCTAGACTCCTCCCAGTGCCTTGCCGCCAGGCTCGCACTGCTACAAAATGCTGCCCTCTTTTCGGGCTAAGGTCAAAACGTCGCCCCTTTTCGGGGCTAGCTCAAGCCGCGCTGAACCTCTCCTCTCCTGCAATTCGCGCAGGGCTGATAGGTCACTCCCCGCCCAGCGCACGTCTCCAGCACATGCCACAGGCCATCTCCTGTGATGTGCACTGCTCCCGGATGAACGAAGAGCAGCCGCCTGAAGTCCGGTGTCGTGCACACCGGGCATGGCAGGGTCTCCATGACCCGAGTTGCCCTCCTCAAACCATAGCAATTCTCGCGGGCATGGTACTTCTCGCCCGTCATGGTGTAGAACACGCTAGGCTCCACCGGGATTCCGTCGTCCTCCGACTCAGGCTCGGGAATGTCTTGGTGACCACTCCCTGCGGCCCTCGATGCTGGGTTGACGTCAGCACCGGCTCCGCGCGATCCTGCCTGGGGTTCCGACCAAGGCCGTAGGTCCCTGCCAGGATCTGTCGCCTGTTTGCCCGTTCCTTTGTGGTAGCCCTTGCTGTAGCCCTTGCTGTAGCCCTTGCTGTAGCCCTTGGTGACCGCGATCCAGTCCACATTCCGTGCCGCGGTTCCCCTCGGCTCCACAGGCGTCTTTCCAATTCCCTTTGCCATAGATGGTGCCGCCGTCGTCCTCTTGGCTGTAGCCCCCAACTCGCCTGAGCCAGTCCCGGCACCAGATGAGGACCTCAACGGATCCTGCTCAGATCCCACATTCAATCTCGGCGTAGAAGGCCGTCTTGCCGTAGGGCTCGGCTCATCCACCACCGAAGAGGTAGGCCTCGGGGTAGTCCTCCTTGTGGATGACCCTCTAGCCGTTGACGATGACGCAGCCACCTCCTCTGTCTCTTCGACTTTCTCCACTCGCATGCTCTGGATCCTCGGTCCACCCCATCGCTCTTGTACCTTTGCCGCCAGCAACTCTAGCAGCTTCATGACCGCGACCGTGAACACCGCCACCAGCATGCCGAAGACCTTCAAGTGGTCGTAGTCCCCACTACCATCCTTCTTCTCAGGATTCTCCTCCATGGCTGCCGCACCTTGAACTTGCATGCAGCAGCCCAACACCGCCACCAGCCCTCGACACTTGTTCACCTCCAGTCTCACCAGAGCTGACTTCTCAATGTCCTCTTCACTCTCCCCTTTCGCCTTCATGCCCATCAACTTCATGAGCTCCTTCAGCTTTGCCCCTGTCAAGGCCTTGGTGCCCACGTCGGCGATCATCTCGACTCCAGGCAAATGCCGAACTCGCCATTCATCCGCTTGGATCCTCCACCGAAGGTGAAAGGCACGTAGGCGCAGATGACGTGTGCGCCAAGCTCCCGTGCTTTCTGCACACAGCTGAATCGCTGCCTGATTGTCACCGAAGAGGTACCGCATGTAGTTCGCGCCCTCCTCAATCTCGTTGATGAGAACGTCTACCGCGTCCCCCATCACAACGCCTTCGATCATCTCCATGAGCTCGCACTCGGCTGTACTCAGCGCCGGAAATCCTTGTCTGCTGGACTTCCAAGCGATCACCGAGTTCTGCCACTTCACCATCACGCAACCGTGCGACAGAGCTCCTCCTGGCGCGAAGCTCGAGTCCGTGTAGACCTGCAAACCTGCCCGATCAGCTCCGTCCCAACCCACGCCGGTGTCCGGGGTGAATGTGAGTCCCACCGCCGATGTCCCGTTGAGGAACTTGAACGCCTGGAGGCCCACCTTCTGCACCCACCTTGGCGCTCGGGTCACGTGGCTTGCCAGCCTGGAAGTCACGAACGCCAGGTCCGGTCTTGTTCTTGTGACCACCCATAGCAGTTCTCCGGCTACCTTCTGAGCCGCTTGCACTTCCTCCGCCGTGATTTCGCTCTCCACCTCCGGCTCGGCCATATCCTTGGACATTGGGATTGCCGACTTTCCCGTGATGCCATTCCGCTCCACGAGGTCCTTGATGTAGTTCTCCTGAGTGAGGAGGTAGGTGCCGTCCTTCTCGAGCCACAGCTCCATCCCACAAAACCTCACTCCCGCTTCACTTCCGACCTCCTCCGGAGCCGACACTTCCCACACTGACTTTATCTGGCCACACAGGCTTTTCCTCACGGAATCGCTGGCCAGTATCAGCATGTCGTCCACGTACACGACAACCATGCCCTTCATGACCTCCGTGCCATTCTCCTCGTAGATGACCTTCCACAAGTTGGGTTCAGACTCCAGCTGCCGCAACTTCAGCCATCCATCATCCCACTTCCATCGCCACTTCTCCATCGTGTCGTCCCGGTAGTCCGACCACAGCCTCGGCGATTGCCTAAGTCCATATAGTGCTCGCTCCACTTTCCACATCTCGCCGGGCTTGACCAATCCCAAACGAACCAGCAGCTGCGGGGGCTTCATCACAATGACGACCTCCCCTTCGTCATCAGCCGCTGCCAGCGGGGCATTCAGGAAAGCACACTTCACATCCAGTGTCGTAGCCCCCCATGATCTGACCGCCGCCGTCTTCACCGCCAGTCTCATCGCAACGCTGTCGCTGCCTCCGGCATACAATTGTCGCTGATCATGGCTGTCTCCATAGTTTCCGCACACCACCAGCCGGCACTTCTTCCGGGCCTCCAGACCCGGCTTCAAGGTGTACACCGCCTTTCCCGGCAGCACTTGCACCTTCTTGTCCGAGTTCACCAGCCTCTTGGCCTCCTCCGGCGATAGTCTCGTCAACGCCTTCTTTTCCAGCATGAGCGAATCCATCTCCTTCACGATGGCTTCCTTCCACTCAACGAAGTTCTCTTCCACCTCCCGACCCGATACAATCTTGGTCTGCAGCACTTCCTGGTGCAGCTTCGCCTCCGGGGTCTCATCTCTGACTGTCTGCTCCTCTGCCCGCAAACTCTGGATACTCTTGACGATGATATCCACGACCTCAGGCTCGTCCTTGAGCAGGTTCCTTTCCTCCTCTTCTGCAAGCTGTGCCAGCCTTCTCACATACTTCAGCGCTCCATCCTCCTCTAACTTCTCCCTTGGAGTCTTCTCTCTCACCCTTCTCCTCAGCTCATATGGCTCCTCATCTTGCGGGGGCTTTTCTGCTCCTCTCTCAACCAACCTCCAGTCTGGCCCTTCCGTTGGCATCGGAGTCCACTTGTGCAGCACATACGCCGCTGTTTGGATGGATCCATCATCCTTCACGACCGCATGCCCACTTGGCACCTCCGCGATCGGGGTCATGTAGTAGGCCTTCTCGTTCAATGGATCCCACTCTTTTCTCTTCCACGTTCTCTTCTTCACCAACACCTCCTGACCAAATCTCGGCATATCGGCAGGCTTCCCAAGACGGATCCTCTTCTCCTTCTCGACTGCATATCTAGCCGCACATGGCCAGTATTCTCCTCCCATCTCAGCAGAGTGGAGTAGACGTCGGGTCCGATCCTTCAGCCCCCTGATTGCCCTTTCCGCACGGCCATTCTGGCGGTAGTCATCGCCTGCAGTTGATGTCTTGGCGATGTCTCTTGCCAAGCACCAGCTCGCCAACACCTTATTCTTGAACTCGCGCCCGCAGTCCGAGTGAAGTCGGGCTAGAGGAAGATTCTCCCGTCTTAACTCGAGGTACATCTGCTGGATCGCCTCCAAAACCTCTCGCGAGCTCTTGCTCACCAAAGGTATCATGAACCACAGCGTCTTCACTGGTAGTGGTGGAAGGCCTTCTTCGTCTTCTCCTCCCTCCTCTTCTTCTTCAGCTTCAGCCGGGTTCATCTGGGCGTCCTCCAACTCCTTGGCCTCATCTTCCAGCTCAAAGTCCCAATCTCCTGCTTCCAGAGGTGGCAACTCCGGCTCGTACTCCTCTTCTTCTATCACCAATTCTGGTCGAGGCGGTGGGTCAGGCGCTCCTTTGATCATGAAGATTGTTCTTCCTGCCCATCTTGAATCATCCTCGAACAGTCGCTCGCCAGCTCCTGCAGTTCTCCAATCATCGGTCACCGTCTCATACGCACCTCCTTTGGCCTTTCTCGCGACCGTGCGCCTCACATCCGCCAGCTGGTCTATGGGGACCGGACACTCTTCAGCCTCCTCCGGGAAGAACTTCCCTTTTCGGTGGGACTTGTGCACCCTGATGACCATTCGCCCATCGATGCTCTTGGTCCAGTAGTCCGCCAGCCTCCCTTTCTCCTCCTGGATCTCCCCCTCCTGGCCCTTGGTCCCCTTTTCGTAGAACAGGATGGTCCTCAGGTTGCGGGTCTTGTCCAAGAGTCGATGAAGGTCTTCCTCTTCTAGGTTCGTCACCTCCACGCTTTCCAGAACCTCACCGGTGTCATTGTCCACGGTGACTCTCCACTTCACGCTCCTCCAGGGTGGTCCTCCTTTTCGGGTGGTTCGGTAAGATACCGCATTCTCATCAATCCTCTTCCACCTCCGCATGGCTTGCACCCGTTGAGGGACCTTCCAACTCCCCGGAGCCAATCCGTCGATCTCCTCGTCCCAAACCTCTTCCTTTCCACCACGAGGTAGGGTGTAGGCACCCATGAGGAAGTACCTACAGCTCTTGCCGTCGATGTCGTGCCCTCGACGCAGAGGTCCCGCCAAGTCCACAGACAAGATGTGTGCCTGGGGATGAGCAATGCGCCGATGTGCTCGTCCCTGTGCGGATGCTTCCTGGCATACACGACAGTCTCGCCTGTATGGCGTATGGCCGTTGGCCAAATGCTCGGCCCACGACAGCTTTCTCACTGCTGTCTTGATTCCTGTTGCTTCCAGCAACGCCTTCGCGACGGACCGCATCAGTCCCGGCGCCCATCTCGCAAGCTCCTTCGAGCCCTCCACATCTGCTGCAGCTCTGGTCGTACGGGTAGACCTCCTTTCTTTGCTGCTTTGGCTCTCCTCAGGGATCGCCAACTCCAGGTCCGTGCCCATCGTCGTAGGTTTCGCGGCCTTTCCTCCGAACACACTCTGAAAGAAGGTGATTTCACTCAGGCCCTCCTTCTCTTTCATTGCCCTCCACTGCGGCGTTCGCCACCACGACCAACACTCAGGCATATATTTCTCCGGGCTGGCTGGGTGCTCCACGAGGAAATGGGGTTCTTCACCTCCCTTTCGTAGTGCTGCCTTCTTCGCCGCCAGGTAGATGACCATCATCCTCCACATCATCACGTCGTCCTCGAACACCGCCTTAGCTTCGTGCTCGGTCAGGTCTGCCTTCCCGAACTGCTCCTGCACCGCGGGCCCCCTCACCGGTCTCGGGCCTCCTCCAGCCTCCGGCAACGGGTAATGCCTCAGCACACTCCTCGTTCGACAGTTTGGTCCTCCAACCACTGCCGCCAGACGCCCATCCTGTGCCAGCCTCAAAAGCGTGCCGTAGAGCGGGCCTCGCACCATGTCGTGCTCCTTTCCTCTCTGGATATCCACCTCCAACAGGAACCGATTGTCTCCTCCTAGCTCCTTCACTGCTCTTGACAGAGTATAACCTTCTTCTGCGCCTGCGTAGAGGTGCAACCAGAGGGGATCTCCTCCTTTCTCCAACAGCCTCCTCCTCCTCCGGTTCCAGGGTAGATGCCGAAGATCCTCTGCAGGCTCCTCCACCAACATGGCCTTCACCTTGTCGGGCACTCCCTTGAACACCGGGTGAGAATCCACCAGCTGCTGGATACTCTCCTTCTCAATCAGCGCCTGTACCAGCACTTCACCTTTATCCTTCTCTGTCTTCAGCTCCTCCAGCTCGTCGAGAAGCTTCATCGCCACGGCCCTGTCCACATAGGGGCATTCATCTCTCATAGTCACCTTCAGCTTCCCTTTTCGTGGGTGTTCCACTGAACATTCCACGCCGGACCACTCCACCTTGCACCCAAGGGCTTTGATCAACACCCCCAAGGGAATGATCGGGTCCACGTCCGGGTCGTCATGGATGATGATTCCTCCCGGGCTCATTCTCATCCACCGCTCTTCACCTCCGGCAAGGGTTACTCTTACCTCGTCCATGGTGTCAAGGTCTTCCGAAGGTTTGCATCCTCTGAGTGGATGAGTGGCCCCCGAGTCCAGCAATCCACCAACGGCTCGGCTCAAACTCGACACCTGGGCCTTATTCAGCCTTGGGTCTCCTCGGATCTCGTCCAGCTGCTTCTGCAACATCTCGAGCCGATTTTCCCTTTCTTTCCCATTCTTCACACCGCTGGTCTTGTTGAGGCTCCTCAACATCTTACCCGCCTCCTCCAACACCTTGGTAACGGAGCTGGCAGCTGTCTCCTCTACCACCACCTCCTTCTTCTTCTTGTCCTTGTCATTCTCCTGGTCCACCACCGACTGAGTTTCTGCCACTCCTCTTGCCTCCTCAGCTTTGAATGGCTTCACTGCCGGTGCCGTTGTCCGTTCTCCTCCTCCAGGCTTGGAGACCTTGCGCGGGCAATCCTTCCGCATGTGCTCCGTCGACCCACAGTCCCAGCAGCGTCCTCGAGCCGTCTCGTCCGTCGGGTGCAACCAATCACATCCTCGACCTCGCCGGCAGCCGCTGTCGGACATGTAGAACCGGCAGGGGGTTTTCCCCTTTGCTCCTCCTTTTCCGTCGCCCTTCCCTTCTTTGCCTTCTTTTCCTTCCTTTCCATCGCGGCCTTCTTTGGACTCCTCCAGCTTCCGGACCTTGGTGTCTCCTCCTGCCGTGCTGGTTTTCGTCGGAGCCTTCTTCTCGCTCAAAAAGGCCGTCTGTTCCAGCTCCGCCAGCAAGTGTTCCGCATACTGCAGCACCGTCGCATGGGTCGGAACCGAGTCCACCTGCAGTGTGCTCCTCGCCAACGAAACTCGGAAAGTCAACTCCCGGTTCGCCTCCAAGACCTTCTTTGTGAGCTTCGTCAGGCCTCTCATCAAGATGCTTGAGTCCGGCAGGGTCAACCCAACGTCTCCTGCACGTCGCCGCCATCTGACCCAACGTCTCAGCCCCTTCACCGCTTCCGCCACCGATAGAGCTTCCCCTGGCTCCTCCAAATTCCTCAACACCACGGCCTTCTCCGCCAATCCTCCCGGCTGATAAGCGATCATCAGCTTGCACAGAACCGCAAACGTCGTAACGGCCTGCGACGAGATCAGCTCATCACGGATTCCTTCCGGCACCGCCTGGATCAGCATCGATACCGCTCTTCTTTCCACCCGACTCCACTTCTTCACCTTCAAGGATGTAGGTGTCTCCGGGATCATGTTCATCCGCTTGATGGGGACTTCCTGCAAGTAGCGGGCATACCATTCCTTGGCCTCGGTGACCATGAGCTGCCACCACTCAGCGCTCGAATCACTCAAATCAGCGAGGAGCGGCTCTATGATGATCATCCAGTCACCCAGATCAATGGGGCCTGACTCCGCCGTAGGTTCACTCAGCTTCGGCAGCTCAGTGATGCCAGGGCGAACCACCTCCACCGTCTCCTGATTTCCTTTCCCGGCACCACCCATCAACTGCTGTTGCATGGCCTGCATCCCCTCCAGCAGCTTCAGAATGACGTCCATCTGCTTCCCGTTCTTTCCACTGCCCGCCACCGATGCCGGCCTCAGCTCTGATGAAGATTCATCATCATCTTCATGTTCACCTCCATTGTTCTTGCCGTTGGCCATGTCCGGGTTCATGCCCTGGTCGCGCACATTCTGGCCATAGCTCACGTCCACGTTACCTCCCATCACCTCCATTGGCTTCCGGCTGTTGTCCCCACTCTTCTTGTCCTCGATGCTAAGCACCTTGCTCTTGTCCCGACTGTCCGGGGTACCATAGCTCTCTTCCACCGCCTTGCCGTTCTTCAGGCTCTCAATCTCCCTCATCAGGCACTGGTTCTGCGCCATGAGCTCGTTCACCAGCCGCATCACGTACTCCTGGTTCTCCACAGGCATTCTTGCCGCCGGCGACATCCTGCTCGTAGCGCCCGCCAGCTCCATACCCGCCTCCATAGGTTCAGGTAGATGCCGAGGTCTCTCTTGGTCCATCCGGGTGCCATGAATCAAGGGGGCTTCTCTCCGCCACCGAGTCAGGGTCTCCATCTGGGCCTCATTGAACAAGGGTTCCAGAACCACAGGGTCGCCACGTGGCCCACCTGCCCATTGTTCTTCTCCGTCTCCTTTGCCTTCTCGACCGCGGGAGCCTTCTTGAAGGGCCGTTCTTCCCGAAGTCGACCTCCTTGGCGTGTCGAGCTCCTCCGCGGATCTCTTCCCACCGGAGTTCCCCTTGCCCTTGGCGCCAACCGGCACCAGCTCCTGCCCAACCAGCTCCAGGCTCTCCTCCGCCTCTTCCGGTTCTCGCCGTCCGAGGTCTCCTGGAGACGCCATGGCTTCACCGCGTCCTCCTTGGGCTCATAACCTGTAAACCCAGGTTTCAGCTACGCGCCCTTTTTCTTGAACACAAACGGCTTCCAGGTATTCCTAGAGTTTCCATTTACCAGGGCTCTATTTTGGCTACCGTTTTTTGACCCACACCCAAATGGGCATGTGGGTTTAAGGGAAATTCAACAGTTGGGTGTGGGTCAAAATTAGTCCACCAGGGGACCACGTGTTTTAGTCCTTGTTTCCATTTACCAGGGTGCCATTTTGGGGTTGCCCTATTTTTGATCCACAGCCAGCTGTGTCCCACTACTTTCGGTCTTGGAACTCCATGAGTCTTATGCCGCCAAGGACCTGCCCTGCGGCCGGGACTGCTCCAAGGCGGAGTTGGGCCACTTCCGCGCCTGCGTGCTGTCGGCCTACGACACGACGCCCGTGGCGCAAAGAGCGAAAAACCCAGGGGGGGCGGGGGGGGGGGGGGGTTGGGGGTTGGGGGTCAAAATGAAGCGTGACATGTTTAGGAAGAACACCGGTTTTTCCAGACACAGAATCTACACTTCAACTTCACCGTGTTTGGCATATTGATTTTGTTGTGTCTTTTGGCCTGTGAATCGGTAGTGGGGGCCTGCACAACAACCATGTTTGCTACCCATACCAAGGTTTGGGAATAAATTAGGATTTCTGGCTAGATTTGGACCCCCGTATTGGTCTGGTTGTCCTGTTGGTTTCCCTTCAAACCAATCCCAGAAAGAGTACACTCAAGAAAGAGACACACCCACCTGGTGTTTAGAGACAAAACCCTGGTGAAACATAGGAAAGACCTAAGAGGGAGATGGCTGATGTGGCTCTAAGCAAATGTGTGCCAAATATGATTTCGGTGTGTTCTTAAAATGGGGACCCCCAACAAGGTGCTTTCAACATCGCGCCATGGGAAGCACCCATGTGTGACACCTGTCCGGGGACCCATTTAATGGGTTCCTATGAAACGGGTTTTATACGGTCATGTTGTGATAAGAAATCCATTTTTGCTGTCGAGAGTCTTACAAATTTCTAAGTCCCTGAGGTTTTGCCGAGACTCTGGAAGGTAAATTTGCAGGGGGTCATATATAGCTTTGTCTTTTTCTGCTCATATAGTAGCGGAAGAAGAGGTCTGAAACCCGTCTCAAAGCAGTCTGATCAGTGAATTGGGTTCTATGGGGGAGTGGTCTCCATCCGGCCAGTTGTTGTGCTTTTGGTGGGCTGCAAGTGCTATTTTGGCGGCTTTTTTCCTCAAATTGTCCCATTCGCCAGTCGCACCCAATCGCACCCGTCACCTCCAACCAAAGCGGGTTTATGCAGCCGTCGAGACTCTGAGAAATTTACTTGCCGGTCAAGCGAGAGTCTCATTCTTGTTTTTAAGATTTCTTAGCACACTGAACGACCGTACTGCAGCAAAGGGCGTGACGTGCGCATAGCGTCCTACCCATTTCTTCGAACATCTGGCGTCCAGACCTGGGGCTATGTTGGGCTCTGCCCTTTGTTTTTTTTCTTCACTTTGAGCAAGAGGATCCGATCCACAGTCCAAGCAGCAAGATTGTTACCCTACCATCCAACATGGGAGCCCGACTTGGGGACTTGGTCGTGGGCCATGTACAAGGAACCCTCTGGTTCCATGTCAGTGGACTGGAATTGGTCTATCCCGCCTTTCAGCTGAAAGCTATGGGGCTGAGACGAGCTCCGCGGGCCGAACAGAGCAGCTCCAGGCTCCAGGGTCAGGTTCCAGCGGGCTCTGGAATTTCCACGGGTTCCGGAAGAGTTTCAGAAGGGTTCCGTGGTTGCTGTCGCCGATTCCGGGCATGTGGGTATGGGTCAAAATTAACCCCCCAGAAAACCGCAGGTTTTAGTCCTGGGTTCCATTTACTAGGGTTGCATTTTGGGGTTACAGGGGTTCCTACCAGGGTTCCATCTACTGGGGTTCTTTTAACCAGGGGTTACTATTTTTGACCCGCCATTTCACGACTTCCGAGGAGTCCCATGAAGCTTACGGAGTTCTACGCGCCTCAGGCCGCAAAACAGAACCCTCAAGTCCGGATCGGTCCGGACCGGTGCTGGTGTTTGTCTCCGGACAGGTCTGGCAGGCTGTTGATTCGGGGCGTGTTTTTCCAAGCTGGCTTTGAGCTTTTTCAATAGAATGGTGCATGTCGGGATTCCCGATTTTCGTGGCTTGGACCAAATGCCAACTGGGGTCTTTATGTGGATTCACGTGTTTTACCCTGTTCCCAGTTCATGCTTGACACCTCACAGGTCCGGCCGGTCTTGTTCTCAGCGCCAGGCCATTGCTGTTGTCCATGGTTTGTGCTCGGCATGAGAAGTATCGGTTGCATCCGATTTCCAAAATGGGCTTGGTAGATGTGCTTGGATTTTCGTGCCTTGACTTGCCCATCCCAGAGGTTGGCCGCTGCACCTCCTGCCTGCTTGCTCGCCTGCCTGCCTGCCTTCGGGTGATGGCAACTCTGGTCTCTTTGCCTGACACGTTTACCCCCTGTCATCACTCGCTCGAAGTTAAGGACACCGGCCATTTGAAGATTCTTGGATGCCGAAATCAGGCCATACCAGGTGAAGTTCTGCCTCCAGTTCAGCTCAGTTCAGCTCTCCCCCGCGCAGTTCCGAGGCTTTGGCTATGCCTCTCTTCATCTTCCGTGCGGGGCTCTGGCGCACTGCCATGCCACGCGGCCAAATGCTGAGATGGTGGAGGGGTGTATTGGCTTCCAAGTGCGCGTGCGTGTAGGTACTTTCGGGATGGGGTTTAACAGGATATCAATAGGGAACCAGCTGTTGGGGAGGGTCCCATTCTTGGTCGAACCGGGTTTCTCTTGGTTAAGCGATTGCTCAAACGATTCCTGCAATTCATCGAAGCGGATTTTGTTGGCTGCTGGAAGATTGGTCTGACGAGTGGGAGTTCCATCCTTTCTTTGCGGAGACCAGGTGTGGTTGGCAGCGTTTCAGATCGCTGTGTCCAACCCCTTGTCCAAAACCAAACGCGCAAACTCTCGCCCAGTGATGCCCCTGCTTCCCTGTCTCATGGTCCATGGATGTCCTCCTAACAAGCACAGAACCGTTTCTTGCTTTCCCACTCGGCCAGTTGCTTTGCTTAGACAAAATGCATTTGCTCAGGGAGTCAGAGACTTTTTTGTCCACCGGAGTGAGATCTGCTCTAACAAGAAGTGGCCGAAGTCTAGCAAATTTCTGATTGCGTCATTGCGAGACTTAACTCAACGTGTTGCCCTTTGGCCCTTTTGGCTTTCCTTCATTTTCCTTTTAATCAGCAATAGTAGTAAACTTTTGCCAGAGGTCTATGTGTGGCCACGGTTGGCATTTGCATGTTGTTGTCACATCTTACGACGGTTGACGGAGAGGGATTCAGGTTTCTAAAATCATATCCCAAAGCCATTTACTGCCTTACCTATTTTCGGGGAAAGATGCCCTGGTGAGAGCCTGACGGCGTTTGACGGTCTGCTTACTAGCTTCTTCCAACAGAGTGGGGACAGCATGAACCAGTAACTGCTGCGTTCTGAAGACGGATGTTCACTCACCAAGGCTTGGGGTATGCCTGGACACTTGTTTGCAGGGCTCCAATTTTGGAAGGTGGGCTTAAGCCTGTCTGCTCGTTGGGGAAACGAACCACCCTTGGGTTTAAGTGAGTCATAATCAAAAGCAGGTACAAAGATGGTCGACCCACAACCATGTAAAGACTTAAGAAGGCGAATATCCGCAGCTATTTATGGTTGGGACTGTCCCTTGCTAACCTTCACTTACCCGGGTTTTGATTGTGACTCAAGCGGGGTGTAATCAAACAGTGGACAGATGGCCGGATGGACTGCTTGGCCAAAGGGCATCGCAAGACCGATCACTTTATCAAAGAGGAAGTGTGAGCGAGCCACAATTCAAGCCAGCCAGACAAGAAACAAACAAGCAAACAAACAATCAAAAAAGCAAACTAGCGGACAAACAAACAAACAAACAAACAAGGACGCAAGCAACAATGCGCGCACACAAACAAACAATGGTCATATTAAAGGTACAGATACACATGGGTGTGGGTCAATATTAAACCACCAGGGGACCGCAGATTTTAAGCCATGTTTCCATTTACCAGGGTTCCATTTTGGGTACCTATTTTTGACTCACTGCCACATCAAGTCAACATATTTCACAATGTATTGCGCAGATCTGACGCGTATATCATCTTTGTAACACTGCGTTATGCCATGGTGTGCCTGTCAACGAGCCAAGCACACATGCATCATTGTGTGTGTAAGATTTCAGTATCATGTGTGTCTGTGTGTCTGTGTGTGTGTTTAATACATAGACCGTTTCGGCAAGCAACAACTACAACTACGTTCGACATGCTTGCTTGGAAAAGCAAGCTATCATCCCTCCGTTGAGTGCTCAATAGCTCATAGTTTGCCAAAGGACGGACTTGTTTTTTGCCGGATCCCTCGTTTTAGCACCCGCTTGAGGCTTGGTGTTCCCCCACACTTTCGTGGAGCTCCCAAGACCCCTTTGGAAGACATGGCTCCATTTAGGCCAATTGCGAGCTTCCAGCTGTTCGCCTGAGGGAGTGTACCCCTAGGAATTTGCGAACACTGAAAGCCCATTGGCTGTACCTGCAACCAACTACTAGGAATTTGGGTCAAATCTATGGAAGATGTCCCATGTTTCTTGGTGGTTCCCAGCCATCCGGTTCCTTGGCTTTTTAGCCTTTTAGTGTTTGGGGATTTCCGAATTTAACCCACTAAAAGTGTGTCACTTTTTGCGGGAGGATCTGAGGACAGCCCATGTTTGCGTTTGCTTCCGCCCCGCCTCTAGGCGCTGGGCGAAGGCCGATGCGAAGTCGGGCGGGGTGAACGCCAGCCTCCCAGGACAGCTGTTGGGCGTTGGTAGACACTGAAGAAATCATCCCCAGAGGGTTGCTCTTTTTGTTCTTTTTTTTTGGGGGGGGGTTACCTTTAAAATCAAAAACCAACAAAAGAGTGCCCGGTTCTTTCCACTGGGGGTCTGGGGGTCTTTGGACTTGTACCACATCAGATTTGTCGCCTGTGCACAATTCACAATACCACGACAAGCCCGCAGGTGAAACCACGGTGTGTTGATTCGGGATTCCATGTTTTCAGTGTTGAGTGCATGTCTTGGGCAACTGGCAACAAGCATGAAGATATTGCATAATTTAGGTTGAGAAAGCAATCAACAGTCGCCCCGCAGTTCTTGGCGATTTGCACGAATCCGACTCCCAAAGAACAGCTCCAAATAAGTGGACGTTGAGCCAGTGAAAGAGCAATTTGTTGCTGAATTCCATGAAATTTCTGACAAGCGCCCTGGTTCACTGCTCTGTTTCCATATGGGGGGCTGAGCCTGGAACTTGCGCAAAAAATGGATGTGGATTAGAAAAATTGACCTTTTTTGGGGGAGCCGAGTTTGTACCCAAACCGACGCGTGTCATAAGCTCAAGCAATTCACCCGCGAACCTTGGTTTCCTACTTGCAGGGTTTTTACTGTACTTGGGAGCTTCAGTTTATGGTTCTGAAATCTCAAGATGCATGGGCGTATGTCCAAGAAGGATTCAGGCCGCTCCCCCTCTTGGTGTACATGACATTGGTCAGTGTTTCGAAAGTGTGGCTGAGCCTGCTTTGGCACCAGGCTTGACGGATGGTGGGTTTGCAGTTTTGCGCGTTGCTTGCACTTGGCCCATGCCTTTGCGACGTTTGGTTGGGGGCAAGCATCCTTTTGCGGTCACTAAGCGACAGCTTTTGGAAGCAGAATTGAAGCTTGCCCCCTGCAGGCCAGCACTTGCATGCGGCGCACCTAATTCTGCGGCGGTTGCTTGGTATAACCTTTCCCCCAACGGCAATGAGTTGGCTGAGGCCCATTTGTATACGACAATGTCGTGTTCCATTTGTCAGCTTTCATGACCTGTGGGAGGGTTCTCGCTTTCCAAGCAGGACGCAGTGCTGTGCTGCTGAATGCTGATACAGCCACTCGCGCACCCGATGGCGCTTCCATCGCACTTGCTTTGCAGCAGGAGACACAGGCGCCTAAGGCATGAGTTGGGATGACTGTCAGGACCATGTCTGTATGCATAGAATACGAATTTAACAGCCAAGGGCATGTCATGTTTTTCCCCAACAGCTGAAGGCTTTGGGGTCTCAGCCCAGATAGGCTCTGGGGTGGTCCGGGCCGGCCCTGAGATAAAGTTCCACGAGGGTTCGACCAGGGTTCCACCAGGGTTCCACGAGGTTCTGCGAGCACCGCATGCTGTTGGGGATATCACCTGAGCTTATATTTTTTTGGGAACTGGGCGTGGGGGTCAGCTTCCCAGTTGCTTAAGGGCAACCAAGCACTGGCGCAGGCCCAACTCCACTGTAGGGAAACAGGCTCAGCAGCCCTTGCGGAGCGGACTGTTCAGAAACCCTGAGTGACATGAAACTACGTCAGTTTCCGAGAAATGATGTGCGACCTTGCGCTGGACGTTGTGTAGTTCATAATATGCTCACTTTGTTGCCTGCACCCTGGGGTTCGGGGGCCTTAAAAAGAAAGGCCTTTAGGAAGCGGCCGTGAAATGTGCGGAACGTCCTTTGTTTGCAAGCTGGACGCTTTTAATTGGGTTGACCGTTTTGTGTTGGCCGCATTAGTAGCCACATGGCTTTGCAGTGCTTGTGGCTGAAACGTACGCTTTCCAAAGCCTCGCGAAAACCATGTAGACATGTTGAAGCTGTTCAATGCTCAAGGTCTTCAAGTTTGTGGGATTTCTAGAGACGTTAATCATGGGTTTAGCAATGGGAAATCGACAAGGGAAAATCGTGAAAATACGGTGAACTTGGCGTGAACGCCCCTTTTTTTGCCGTGAAAGACCGTGAAACTCTGTGAGATTTGGCAGGCGAAAAAAACACTCACATTCGTCCTGGCTGGCGTTGTTTGCTGCTGGGTTTGAAAAGGTCCTGCTGAATGGATGTTTCGGGAGGACCACGATTGTTCCATTGATGATGCAGAAATGTGCTGCATGCAGTTGTCCTAAAATTGGCGACACCTACATTGAAAGAGAACCCAAAGGACGCCAACATGTTGATGAGGGTTGTCCCATTTGGAAAGGTTGCATTTTTAGTGCTAAGAGAAGCGACACCAAGAAACTGGCCACTTTCGAAGATCTGCTGTTCTTGGGACCTCGCTTGACATTGTGTTGCATTTCAAAATTCACCCATATGGACCACAATCTAAGCATGACAGGTTTAGTTCAGCAGAATCTGAGGTGGGTGTTGACACAAAGCGATGCCCAAAGCAAGTCCGTGGCCAAGATATACTTCTCCCCTCTGAAATTTGAAAACCATCCCCAGCCCTGAAACTGCAAATTCCTTATAAAAAAAAATGAGAAAAACAAAACACAAACAATCAGGACAAGGGTACCCCGCACTGAATTCCCCTTTTTTGGGTCCATATGTAGTCCTTTGGTTCCGGCAGGCGTGATCACCTTCTATTTCGAGGTCCGATAAGGTGAGAAACATTTTATCTTTTTGCTTATTGTGGTTCACAAAAGTCCCCACCTAACTGCTAAACTTTATTTTTGTTGCTCCCCTTCCAATGTCAAGAGGTCAAGTAAGTACCTGTCATAGGTCCGACAGGGCAAGTGAGTAAAAGTCATCAGCTTCTTCCCGGCAACACGAGCCGCTGATGGCGCTCACACGTGCCAGGCGATCCCTTGGCACGATCCTTGGGGAACGGCTGCATCGGCGCCTTGGGCTGAAGGTGTCTTCGGTTTCAGAATCTTTGGGCTCTGAAAAAAGGGCTGGGTCTCTCTTTCTTAGGTCCCTTCCTTTCGGGTCACTTATGCTGTAGGTGTGTTGCTGCTATAGGGCACCCCTTGGTGGGGGGATGATTGAAGGGGATGTTTTGTTTTTTCGGAACCCCGGAGTTTGCCCAAATCAGAGGTGGTTCTGCGTTCATACGAGGATTCATTCAGTCTTCGGATGCGTCCAAAGTTGGCGTGAAGTGCCCAATTGACATGTGTGGACCATGGTAAGGCGGTGTGGGCCTAAGACTCCAGCCTCTAGACATGGCAAAACAGCAGGAACCCCTGTTTAAACAGTAGGCTGTAATTATCTCTTGTGTCTTACACACGGCTATTCGATCCCCCCAAGACCGCTCCTGCTGCATAAGCACCCATGGTCTAGTGGCTACGCTGAAGGTTGCCAGTTCGATCCTGGGTGTATGGCGCACCAGGGGTTTTGCTCAAGTAGTTGGCAGCTCCCAGAAACGGAGTGTCCTCGCCAATCCGGAGAGCGGATGCGCTCCGCATCCGCTTCCCAGGAGGGTCCGCCATTCCAGGACCTGCCGCGGCTCGTTTGCACAAAACCCGGTGGGCGGGCCGATTCGAGGGGCCGATTCGTGGGACTTTAGCGCCTGGTTCTTGTTTGGTCATCTTCAAGAATCCATCGTCCATGGCCTTCAGATGCTCAAATTTGAAAAACAACTTTTTTGCGGAGAGCAGCCAATTGTGAGGCTTTTTCTGAAAGGAAACCAAAGGGAAACACCGCTCATTCTAAAGGTTCCCCCTGTTCGAGCCCCGGATGTTGTGAGGGTGTCCATCAGCTGGCGCAGAGGCGCGTTCAGATGTACAGCTGGCCCCAGTCTTTAGCGGTTTCCCGTCAAATGCTCAGTTGAAAGCGTCCGAGCTTTTTGGTTTTCCCGGCCATGTTTAGTCCCTAGGTTTCAAAAGGTGAACCTTGAATATTTCTGGGTCGGGCAGGGACAAACGAGAATGGCAGCGTCAGTTTGCTCGGAGAGTTTCGTGGAATGGGACCCGCCTTTGGAAGTCGAAGAGCTGAAGACCAGAAGGCAGTCTCAAAACCTCTATTGGTTTCCGACGGCAGCTTGGCCCATAGGTGAGTTACCCTTGGTGGGGCTGATGTTTTACGAGGACATGTTGTTGGTGCTTGAGTACTACAGGGCACCCCCCCTCAACAATGGACACGAATAGTGGCACAAAGATGTGGGACATCCACAATGGACGACCCAGGGGGCACAAGACTTCTTTAGTCTAGCAACCAATTCCTGCTGAGCATACTTTTGCCGCGCCACGCGCCGGCCTCGCATGTCCGCCACGCGGGATGGATGGATGGATGGATGGATGGATGGATGGATGGATGGATGGATGGATGGATGGAAGGATGGATGGATGGATGGACGGATGGATGGACAGATTGACGGACGGACGGACGGATGGATGGATGGGCCATTGTTTGATGTTTTGCAAGTGCAAGCAGAATGTGGGATGGTCCAAACTTGGTTTTGGGGTGATTGTCTGTCGTTTAACTCTATTCTGGTCCACTGAAACAATGCATGGAAAGCAGAATACGAAAGGCAAGTGGGGTCCACTTTGCTAATCAAGTACCAAGATTATAGGGCCTATAGGGAACCCAGATTTGTGGAGTCTTGAGGTACTCGCCCTTCATGGAGAATCGCGGCCTGGCGGAAATCAGCTCCACCACCTGATCCAGAAAGAACAGAGAGGTGTGTGACCCCATGATCCCGTGAAGGCTCCGTTCATGGGAGTTCCCTTACTTCAAGTTGATGATTACCCCCCCTCCCGCTAGCATGGCATCTGACAGGGGGTCCCTCAAAGAGGAAATTGCTCTTGCAGGTATCCTGCCACAAATGCTATGTTAGTGCGAGGATTGGTCAGTGCGAGGAAGGGTCAGTATCAGTCACCCGATCGATGGGTGCACCCTTAAGAGTGAAGGCTTCTTTCATGCCAATCTGTCCAATCTGTCCCAAACAAGTAACGCACAGACCTACATTCACGACCCTTCCAGTGGCAGATCGAAATCTCTGGCTCAGTATAACCACCTCCTGCCACAGATCTGGCGAACAAAACCGCAAGCGGGCAAACAACTGAAGTGATCAAGGCCGCAAGCTCTGAACCAGCATCTGCCACCGATATGTTCGGCCTCCCACCCGAGAAGCTGCTAGGAGTTTGCAGGGGTTCTCTTTTCTCTGGCTTGCTATGACACCTTGATGGCTAGGAACGATGCGCTGTGTCACGTGCTGTCAGTGTGGCAAGATGCGCCGTGACCTTGTCTTGTGTTGGTGTGTTTTCCTGGAAGGTGACCCCATGTGTGAGTAATCCAGAAGTAGAATGCAAACTCTGACGGGGGTGAATTGGGCTTGGAAGGTGTTGTGGTGTTGGTGGTCGGGTTGTTCGGAGAGCGAACCTGAATCAGAGGGGCTGTTTAACTTCTACAGACAAAGTTCCTCGGAAGCACACACCAGGCACCCCGAAAGGAAGAACTGCCCAAACGCTAACTTGAAGATGGCAAACGCTTGGTTCGCATGAGCAGAGACGCTGAAGAACCGCCCGTTGTTGTTTTTTCTCCGTAACACATGACATCTCCGGTGGAAAGCACGAAGACCTTGTTGTAGATTCAAGATCCGGGCCCTTATTTGTTGCCGCTAGTGCCGCTAGTGTGTGTGCCTGTCTTGGCAGGATGTTTTGGGATTGTGAAGATTCAACAGCACATTTCAGACAAAGTGTGTGACACCTGAGCAGCTTGGAATCCGAGCAGACAACGCACCACTCTAAGCAGTTCGAGACTTTCTCGGAGAAAAAAACAAATGCAAATCTATGCTCCTTGTCAACATTGTGTGCCAACAAATTGCTGGACTTGAAGCCAACACCGAACAATCAACATGACACGCTGCTTGGACCTCGGCTCGTTGCACAGACGGGACGTCCGCTGCACTGCTCCGGAGCTGCCAAGTTACAGACCCGCTTCGTCAACGGTGAAGCGTACTAGCTTGGAAACTGGGCAGATAATGCTCCAATGTGAGCGAATAAGATACTACTGAGAACTACCAGCTCCTGAAAGCAAAGCTGCATCATACCCTGGATTTGTAAGCCCGGATACCCACTCACTTCAGTGAATGTTAGTTGGGGACTCGATGGATTTCTCGGACCACAACAAGTCTAAACGAGTTTTGGGGAAGAGGCTTTGCTTCAAGGCCAGCCACACCAAAGAGCTATCCATTTTTCCCAGCTGGGCAAGGTGTCTTGCCCGAAGCCTGCTTGGACAAAGTCGCAGCTGTTTCGCCGGGAATTCCCTGGAGTCTGCATGGCCCAATCATGGGGTGACCCCATACGGTCCATGAAAGAGTTAGAAGTTCGACTCCAGGAGTACCGGTCGGGACATTCGGTCCCAGGCAACGAGCTGCTTCCGCCGGGCGCTGGCTTCTGGGTGCCTTTGGGCCTTTGGGCATTGGGCGCGTTGGGGGCGTTCGGGCTGGGGAAGCCTCGAAAATCTCCGCGTGGAGCGAGGCTTGTTTCTTTTGCGCCGGGCTTTCCTCGTAAAAGACCGGCCAACTCGCTAGGTGGAAGGAAGCGCCCCGGGGTTTTCTTGGATGCAACGACTGGTTTTTTACGATGGCAACTTCCCGCCTCATGGGAACCCCACAATTTTGGGTGATCCGATTTGTAAAAAACAACACATCGAAGCGTCACAGCAGCAGAGTTTCGCATTTTCGTTGGGCTCCCACCAGGTGCAACTCACAGACTGGGCCTTGCTGCCGCACCTGCTGCCTCTCAGCTGAGTCGGGAAGTCGCGAAGTCGGAGACCTGGGAAGTTGGAGTCGAAAAGGCGTCGGCCATTTCGGATGAACCTGATATGCAGATGGTTGCGAAGTCCATGCAACGCATACCACCTTTCAGAAACGGAATCTGATTCGACTCCCCAACGTAAATTTGCCAAGCAATGCCCTGTGCTTCCTCGACTATTCTTTAAATAGCCTCGACCATTTAAAAAACGAAAGGCTATAAAAGTAATGTCCCTCGACCATTAAAAGTAGGTCTAGACAAACTTGTCCAACTTGAGACGGCTGGCTCCTGACATCCCCACGCGCTTCTGTGCAGTGAGAGGTTGAAGAACTTTATTGCCGCCTTTTATGAAATTAGCTCAGTATGTTTTACAGTCGCTTCATCCCGTTGTAATCACACGCCGTCACCATGCTGTGTCAATATGGCTTGTCCCTCACATGCCCGTGCGTGTTTTTCCACTTCTTGTCCACAGCTCCACAGAGTCTGATCGCGTGTTGTTTGTTGATTGTTTAATCGTTTTCGAAAAATGAGGCGTGGACAAACCATGGACAAACCGTGGAAAGTACGTTTTTTAGCGTGGAAAGTACGTTTTTTAGCGTGGAAAGTACATTTAAAAGCGTGGACAACCATACCCCCAGGAGCCAACAACGCATGTTTGATCGGCAGCGATGCCCCGAAGCCACTAAGATTGCAGCATTTTTCAAAAAAGCCGGACTTCAGTACCAACATGCGAAAAATCTATGCACGCCTCTACAGTAGGCGGGACACCTGGCGATTTTGAAAAGTGATGCGACCATACATTTGGCAAGCCGGGGAATGAGTGGCTTGGGTGCAGTCATTGGCAGCTGGGAGGATGAGGGCGGCGTGACTTTCAGTGACCTGACCCTAAGCAATTCTTGGGCAACAAAAACAATTATTTTTTGGATATTCAGGGCCAGGCGCAAAAAACGGTCTTTCGGCAAAAAACAGTCTAGCAACCTCGACCATTCTTTTAATGGCCTTTGGAAGCCTAGGGAATGGCTTCAACCATGGTTTCCAAGTGGTGCGAAATAAATTTCGCCCATGCACGGCATGTTATGAGAAATCGAGTTCCCCTGAACTCGGTTTTGCCGGGGAAATGCTGCTAAGATTTTTTGCGGCTTTCTGGCGAGTGATGGATGACAATGGCCCGCATGAGTTACCAAACCTGCTTTAGAAACAATGAGGTCTTTGGGCCCCGGGAGGGAGGGAGGGAGGGAGGGAGGGAGGGAGGGAGAGTCAGCCTAAATTAGCTCTTATTAAGCCCTTAATAGAGCCTTGTTTGGGGCTCATTTGGGCTCAATGTGTTTGTGCTCGTTGGAATATGTTGCCACACCTGACTGCTCGCAGGGGAAGTTCACTGCTCTTCAGGGCTCCCTTTTCCGGGTGTCTCTGGCTGGCGTCAATGGTTTGCAAGTCAAGGCGGTTTCAGGGCTACGGGGCCAACAGGGACACTCGCAGATGATTCTAACAGCATTTGAAGTCAATTGCGTTAGGGTTAAGGTCTCATATATGTCTAGAGTTGCGTTAGAGTGTACATGATAGCATTGCTGCTCCAACCATTTTTTCCTCAATTCAGAGTGCTCTCCACTTTGTTGAAGTGTGAAACTGGATGGCAGCGGATGGGCGGTTCGCATTTTGTCAGGTGCCCCTGAAGCTTACCAGCACCCTTTGAGAACAACTTTGAAGGGAAGACATGGAGGTCTCAGTCGCTTGTAGACCAAGTCGTCCAATTGGTAGGTGGTTCCCAGCATTCAGGGGGCTTGATGCATCCCAACAGGATTTTTCCCGAGGGAAACTTTTAAACAGAAGATGTCAGAAGAGCAATGGTGAATATCGTCCAAGTGCGACGCCTGCAAACACAGAGACCCTTCAACATGGCTGTGGGTCAAAACCAATGGTACCATTTTGGGGTAGGTGCACCACCCATTTAGTCTATTTCAGTGGGGATTGTGATGTTCGCTGGGGGTACGATTTGGATTTTGACCCATGGCCACATGGGTTTTGTCGTTGCCTGACTCGGCGTGGCATCCGTCAGTTGTTGCTGAGGCACTACGAAAGCGCTGGGCACTTACTGTCCATGTTGGCAGAGCTCAGCTTGCAGGACTGGATTGGGAAGTTCGCTTGGCCGCTTCTGCGGATCTTACCCTTACCTTTTTCCGAAATAAGTTGTTCTTCACCCAACTGGAGTCATGATTTTGGCAGTTTCCGGGTTTCCCCTTTGACCGCTTAGGGGATGATTTTGATAGTTGTGAAATACTGGGGCCTGCTCAACAAAACGTGTTTTCAGGACCCCATCCAGTCTTTTGCGCAACAAAACCAAAACTGAAAGCGGCGCAGCTGGTATACGACCCGGATCTCTCAGGGACCCCCACTCAGCCCCTTATTTGACCCTTTTGGACCTGAACTCATATGCGGGTTCGGGGGGGTCTCTGGAAGTTTGTGAGACTACAATGTGTGGTCTGAAAGCCCTTACACATTCTCCCGCGATCGACACGTCGACATGTCGGCGGTGATGCTTAAATGACGACCCTTTTGGGATTCCGACCCCCTCGAAGGTGGTAGAACGCCTTTGACAAGCCTTCATTCCCCAAATAGTGTTACACACAAACGGGTTCTTACGGCAAGGCTTAAGGCTGGTTTCGATGGAAGCTTGCACCCAAAGCCGACTCGCTGTTCTTGCAAGCGCCCTTCCATGCGACAGTCTCCCACCAACTCGCTGTGGCACCAGTGCGATTTGTCGATTGAAATTGCACTTTTCGTGGGCCGCGCGGGGGAGGCCGCTCCGCTTGTGGAGGAAGCCTCGCAGGAAACGGGGCTTTGCCCGAAACGCCGCGTGGTTTGACCCAAGAGCCCTGTTGCCCAGTGGATTCCACCCCTTTGTTCCCTGCAGTAATTTGGGAAGGGTGTGCTTCCAACATCAACCAACACAGGGCGCAATCTTGCCCAAGACCAGTGAGCTTTTCCGGCAGAGATCTTGGAGGCAAGTTTTGAAGAGAACTTGGGATGGCGTATGATGGAGATTGATGGCGTGGTTGCATGTGTTGGTTAAGCGTTTAGAAACTGGTGGGATATGCTGGGAATATATTTGAGCTATGCGGCTACGAAGGAGTACGATCGGATGACATGTGATGGTTCAGGGTATGATGGGGTATGCTGGGATGAAGACATGGGATAAGATGGAGTAAGCTTGGATGCGGTAGTTGAGTTTTTTTTTTTCCACGGAATGATAGCATACGCTGCGATTATATGATAAGCACAAATATGATTGCATGTACTGGTTCACGGTGTAGGGTATGAAAGGGGAATCTGGAATGGTATGGGATATTATGGAGTTTGATTGGATGGGACGGTTGAGGGTTTAGGGTGATGGGGTATGCTGGGATGTAGGGATATGACCGCTTGAGGTTTAGGATATGATGGGGTATGTGGAATATGATGGATATGTAGACTGTGATGGTTGAGGGTTTGGAGTGTGACTAGATGTGCTGTAATACAATGGTGTCCGATTGGGTATTGTGGTGGTTGCTGTTTGGGGAATCCGAATGGGGTAGTGTTTGTGAGTGGAATTGATGGAGCATTGGATGTACCAGCTGGGGGTTTGGGATTCGACATTGGACATTCAATTTGGCGCATCCCCCCCCCAGTTTTGGTTCTTTGAGCCGTTTGACATCCTGTTGGCCAATCCAAAACATACTTGTTTACAACAAACTCTCAGAGCATATATATATATATATACACACGTGTTGTTGAGACGCGCGAACCCGGACCCCATTTTTTTGTTGTTTTTATTCGCGCAACTTACAAATTCGAAGCTGGGGCGAGCTCGGGCGGCGTCAGGAGCTTCAGAACATCAGCGCGCGCATGGTGGCACACTACAGTCGCCTCCTCGCAGCTCGGCTCAGGGGTCTGAGCCAGTGCTTCCAGTGCTTCCAGTAGGCAGCCAAGAGCAACCACCGTTTGTAGGAGTATGAATATATATATATATATATGTTATATGTATATGTATGTAATGGAGCTGAGCCTGAAAACATGATTTTCTGTGTACCCCAGATCTTGGCCAAGCAACATGGAACCTGACTTGATAGGAGATCCTGGAAGATTATATTCCTTTCGGAGGAGCCTTGTGTTGATTGCCAGAGGCATCAGTGGGTGGAAAGGGTAGGCCAGTAGGCGTTTGTGACCATCGTGCTGTTGGAAACCGTTTGGTTGCTCAGTCGGTCAGTTGGTTTGTGGGCTGGCTATTTTCCTTCACCCGGGCCCATCATTGTTTTCGGTTATGATGTATGTCCCGAAGCTCTGGAACCTTTATGATTTGTTTCGAGATTTCTTTGATGAACACATGTTGACCCCCAGTGGAGAGGCAAATTCATCTTGAACATGTGCATTCCACGACACATGCACGGAATGCTGAAGGTGTGCAGCTATTCGCGGAAGGTTTGCAGAAGCACGCGCCAAACAACATGTCAGCTGTCAATGTGCATGTCACGTGCAGTTGCGGGAAGCTCGCACCATGTTGCAATCAGTACCCCGCCTTGCGACTCCAAAAAGGTCACAGGCTGACAAAAAATCTGGTGTCGAAAGCTGCGTCACGCTTCTTTTCCCCTGGGTTTTATGCGTTTTCTCGTCAATGGCTCATGCGTTGCTGTGAACGGGAGAATTAGGACAGCATTGTTTTTATGCAGAAATTGTCAAAAACCCACGGGGCTTGCCTTTGATAGCACTGGGCATCACAGACCCCAGAGTGCTTTTTTGTTTGCGCACAGGCCAATGTTTTGTTTCGCAGGTAAGCGCGGGCAATGCAAAGCCATAGTGTGCGAGACGGCCTCCAGAGAGCTTTCCAAAGATGCGTGGTTTTGTGTAGCATGGCAGTGAAGTCAGAAGGTTTGTCACAGAATACCTGCATATATCCCAAAGTGTGACGCTTTGCCAAGGTCAAGCTGGTCAACTGATGTTTGCCAACGGCTTTTTTGGCAATCAAACGGTTCACGCAAGTTCTTGAATATTCGCGAATTGCTCCAACGACGTTTTTGGGCACCAAGCGCGTTTATTTAACTTCAATCAGTGGCGGAAATTCGGCGCCCTGGGCTTTCCAGGCATGATAGATTGTAATTCTACGCGCAGCAAGAAGCTGTTGATGCATGGTTGGACCTGACAAAGCTTTGGAAGCACGTAGCGCTCTGAGGGTTTCTGCTTTGCGCCAGCTCAAACAGGCATGCCTTCTCAAATGCGTGATTTCAAGCCCTACGTTGAACAGCCAAAGGTGAAAGCGCCGCGCAGCTCAGCTTTTGTTGGTCTGCTCAGCAATTGTACTCTCCAGAATGCTTTTTCTGCTTGGGAGTCTATTCTCTTACCCTTGTGGTTTCTGTAGGCCTTGTTGCCTCTTATTTGGCCAGTGGCTGGTGCTTCTAAGCGCCAGAAAGGAACGCCGCCAAACGCTATCGCCGCAAAGCCAAGTTGCCACCCCCAGACTTGGAATTGAAAAGCCCTACAAAGATATATTTGCTATGGCCGCCCAGCTCCAAGCACATTGGCGCAGACGCATTTAGCGTGAAACTAACAACCGAACTTTGTGTTTTTCGGGACACTGGGTTGAACAGGCTCCCCACAACAATCTTACAAACAGCGCCCGGCTCAAGATACGCAATGCTGAGGTGTTACAGAAAACGCCGTGATTTCTGGAGTTGCCCCCTCCCCCCCCCTCCCTAGGCTCAATTGCGAGTCCACGTGTCCATTGTTTTCCATTGGGGTTGTTATAGCAAAGGAAGGGGGGTGGGGGGGGTGGTGGCCGGATTGCGGCGTTTTCTGTAACACGCCAGATTTCTCAAAGGCTCTAGGCTGAGCTGCCAATTACTTCCCCCTATCAAGAATGCGCTCTATCATTAATTTGTTTTTCGCGGACCCCTCGTCCAGACCTGAACTTATTAGCTCTCCAAGCCAGGTTTGACTTACGGTTGCATTCACGTTTGAATTATCGAATTGCAAATTCAAATCTAGAGTGAGCAAATCAGATTGAACTGCGCCGATTTGTTTTGTTCAAGTTCAATATCAACAAAACTGCCTTGAGCGGTTTTCTTTTGAATCGCTAGTGGACATATTGCTGTTTAAGGCGTTTGTGCCAGGTGGCACCCTGCAGCGCCCTTGTGGTACCCAATCAATAGTTTTTGTTGCCCCAGGGAATATTGATTAAAAGGGGGGGAGGGGGTACCCCATTTATTGCTATGGGGAAGCCGTTCGCCAATGCAAAGCTCAAACTAGCATGAGCCTCGCAGCAAAAACCGAGCACGAACCGGGCACGAACCGGGCACGAACCAAACACGAACCGGGCACGAACCGGGCACGAACCGGGCACGAGCCGGGCGCGATCCGTGCGCGGTCCGTGCGCGATCCGTGCACGAACCGGGCGCGAACGGCGCGAACCGTTTACGAACTGGGCGCGAACCGGGCACGAACCGGGCACGAACCGGGCACGAACTGAGCACGAACCGGGCATGAGCCGGGCACGAACCGGGCACGAACCAGGCACGATCCGTGCGCGATCCGTGCGCGATCCGTGCACGAACCGAGCGCGAACCGGGCACGAGCGGCACGAACCGGGCGCGAACCGGCACGAACCGGCACGAACCGGGTGCGATCCGTGCACGATCCGCGCGCGATCCGTGCACGAACCGGGCGCAAACCGGGCACGAACCGGGCGCGAACCGGGCACGAACCGAGCACGAACCGGGCATGAGCCGGGCAAACCGGGCACGAACCAGGCACGATCCGTGCGCGATCCGCGCGCGGTCCGTGCGCGATCCGTGCACGAACCGGGCGCGAACCGTGCGCGAACCGTTTACGAACTGGGCGCGAACCGGGCACGAACCGGGCACGAACCGGGCACGAACCGAGCACGAACCGGGCATGAGCCGGGCACGAACCGGGCACGAACCAGGCACGATCCGTGCGCGATCCGTGCGCGATCCGTGCGCGATCCGTGCACGAACCGAGCGCGAACCGGGCACGAGCGGCACGAACCGGGCACGAACCGGCACGAAACCGGGTGCGATCCGTGCACGATCCGCGCGCGATCCGTGCACGAACCGGGCGCAAACCGGGCACGAACCGGGCGCGAACCGGGCACGAACCTAGCGCGAACCGGGCATGAGCCGGGCAAACCGGGCACGAACCGGGCACGATCCGTGCGCGATCCGTGCGCGATCCGTGTGCGATCCGTGCACGAACCGGGCTCGAACCGGGCACGAACCGGGCACGATCCAAATACGAGCCTCCCAAGCAGAGCGCCACCTGAGCACAACCCAAGCAGCACGAACAGAGCGCGAGCCGGCAGAGCAGAGCACCAATTGAGCACGAACCGAGCACTAACCAAGCACAAGCACAAACCGAGCGCGAAGCGAGCACGCTTAGGGTCGCAACCCTACCTAGCTCGGTTGTGAGTTTCGAGCATAAATGCTTGTTTGGTTTTAAGAGGCAGGCTGCCGTAAAGCCTTGCCGCGTGGAAATATAGTTTCCGAATTCACGCGCAGATGAAAAGCACTCCTGGCCCCGTGTGCAAAGGCGAGCCCCGACCCAACGTTTTTTGCATTGTTGTAGTTCAATTGGTCAAAAATCTGGAAGAATCAACAAACACGAGCCAACGCAGAGCAGAAGTCATTCTCAATCGGAAGCTGATACCTCCAAACAAAGCTATGCATGTAGCGAAACAAATCTGGATTGGCTTCTTTCTCTTTCTTAGAGTGAAGCTGAGTTGGCACATAGTCCTGCAAGGATTGCCACCATCTGTCTATACATTGTGAAGCAAGCTGGTCGCTTGCGCGCTCCCCTCATCTGTGAGACTCTCCTAGCGAATTCATGCTTGCTGTGATTCACATGGTGGCTCTCCAAGCGCTTTTTACCAGCATCTGCAACCAACTTTGGCCATGCCTGCGCTCCATCAGAGTGTAGCAACGTCTTCTACCTGTGTGCACTGGCATGTGTCCGTGTGCGTGCAAGCCCTTCAAAACGACGGAAACATTGCCCCCCCCCCCACCCCCCCCTCCCCCCCCCAGCTGGAAACTGCAACTCGACATATCACAGCCTGAAACAGAAAACGGCTAAAAAACCTCCAAAACTACCAGGTTTTTAATCAGCCTGTTTCCTCCAAAAAGTGCGAAGATCCGGTTTAAATGGAACAAGCGGCTTGCTGAGCAGCCTGCTCCGAAGCGTTGTGTTCTGTTACTTTGCCTTTGCATTGCTTGCTTGCCGCGAGGAAGCGGCACCTAAGTGCAAGCCACGGCTAGGGGAACACCGCGCAAAGACCCTTTGCGCCTTAAGGGGTGCAGAATGGTCCGTGGAAAAAAACAAAAACATATTTGCAAGGATGAAAGGAATTCAAACCATGGCTCATGCGAACATGTTGAATACCCAAGACCCTTTCTTGACGTCAATTGGACACCAATCGTTTGGGAGGGTCGCTAGTTTTGACGCGCCGTCATCAGGCCTTTTGTCGAATCTCTGACTTTGCCGCTTTGGCTTCGTATTCTCGCTGTTGTTTTTCGAGCTGGCCAAGTAGCTGATCGATTTCCTGTGTGCAGACAAGAAAGAGGCGTTACATGAACACAAACTCGCGCCATGGTGGAATCCCACCCGCCCTATTAATCCGTGTTGTTGTTCTTGTTGTTGTGTTGTGTTTTTGTTGTCAGGGCGGGGAACGGCATTTCTTTTCCTGGGGCCCATTGGCTCCCAGAACCGCACCATCCGTCCAAATTGTATTCTGCCGAGTTGCCCAAGGCACGTTTCTGGACTTGTCAATTCGGATTTAAAATGGCAGATCGACTGCGCAACTTACAACTTGAGTTCACAATTCACGGAAGCAAGGTGCTGAAAGTACTTGACAATATGGGCTATCTGGAGTTTAGTGTTGGTTTAGTATTGGGTGCGTTATAAGTAAAAGGGAAGAGGTATGTTTGATTCTTGCCTGAACATATATATATATATATATGTATTGGCAGGGCCGGAATTGTATATCTGTTCCATGTGATCCCAATTCCAATTGCTTTGTCCATCCACGGTAATTGTCCAATTGCTTTGGGAAGTTCCCGGGGCAAGGTAAATAGGAACCAACTCCTGACAACTTCATTCATGCGAGTGCCTGGCAGGGTTTGCACAGAGAATGAAAGGAGCATACTAAATGTCTTTGTCTATGCGTGTGAACTACCTCACAGGAGCCATCTCGTTGAATAGGCCAGTCAATGAAATGAGTGTCGCCCAAGGCAACAGAATTGCCCTGTCTGAGCTAGATAAGAACTTGTGTTGTTTCTTCGCCACAGTGCCTCTTTCTGTGAGCGATAAGATGCTACTTGTTCCAGCTTGTAAAAAGAGAGAGAGAGAGAGAGATAGATGATAAGATAGATGAATAGCTAGCTAGATAGATAGATAGATAGATAGCTAGACAGGGAGAAAGGCAGGGAGGGAGGTATGGAGAAAGAGAGAACGAGACAACCAGCTCATTGTTTCCATTTCTGCCGGGAGCCTGGAAGTGGCCCAGGTCGCCTCTGTGAACTTCTGGAGAGGCACGGATTGTGCTTCTCAGACCTGTGCCAATGGTTCACTTCCTGTTTTGTGGGAAAGACGAGTAGAACTGACGCACTTTCACCCACCAATAGGTTTCTTCTCAGAATTCTCTTGTGGGAAAAGAACTAGCAGAACTGACGCACCTGAACCCACCAAAGGGTGGTGCATCTCAGCATTCCGCCAGGAATCATCCAGAGCCTCGTTGAAGGGGACGCTTCGCGCTGGAAAGGGTGAGATTTGGATCCACTCCGCCTCATCAAGATCAACCTGACGGCTGAAAACGCGTCGCCATCGAGTCCGGAAACACATCGCCAGCCCGCCCGCAGCGCCTCGAAGATCCTGCTGGGCTGCCTGCCGGCCTGCCGGCCGTGAGAGTCCAGCGCAGGTCAAAAGCGGCGTGCAAGCGGGCAGTGATTCAGGGGCCAGGGGTTCGACTCTTGACTCATCAACCAGCACATGATTCTAAGACTTCAGACCAGAATCTGGTGTGGTAGAAAGCCGTTTGTGGGTATAGTCGGAATCTTCTCCGCCTGGCCAGTTCGCTTTTGCTTGTTAGCTTCCTTATAAAGGAACGATTTTTCAGAAGGCGACAGGGTTCTTCGGTTCCAGGTACTCCACGCAAGTTTTGCTCAGGAAAGACACAGCCGCGGATCTGTGCGCGGATCTGTGGGGCAGGCTGGCCCCAGAAGAGGGAGCACTTGGGCCCGGCAGGTTTGTCGGGCCATGTTTTACTTTGCAAAGGGGATACCTTGACACGTGAGTGTTTGCTCACTCCCTGAGTTGCCGGATTTCAAACACTTGGCGGGGAGGACCATGTTCGTGCTTGTTTGGACTAGCTTTGGGTTTTTGAACTTTAAACTTTGGGAAGACCATCTTAGTTTTCTAGGTTTCCCAGTAGCGCCCTTTTACCCTTTTTTGGGGCAGGGTTCCCCTACTAAAATCGACTGCCAAACAAATGGTATATCCTTATTCTAACCTCCAAAACTGGAGGACCTAGCTTTTAGGATTGACTAAGGTTAGATATAATTCGCCGGACTTGTTGTGGTCCGCACGGGACGGCGCGGGCAGTCCCAGTGGCGCCTGGGGCTAAGTTTAGATATGAGATATGACACAGAATCCGAACAAATCTTTGAAGATGTACCCTGGGAAGAGCTTCAGTGCGCCGGGTTTTTGTGTGGACTTTTCGTTTTGTGGGCCCTTCCCACTCCGCGGGGCCTCGGGCCCCCGGATGTCCCCGCGCAATTTTGGTCCCAGGATCCGCCCGCGCGGCTGGGGCGACGATCCGAGGCTTCGGCCCCCGTGGGACCCGACCCAAAAACAGATTGGTGGGAGTCCTCTTCTGGGGGTAGACTTGGGATACATTTTTTACATTTTACCAGTGACTCCATGTGAAGCAAGCAAGAAAGTATATATTCTATAAGTGGGCCTAACTCTAATCATGTCTTGGTGTTTCTGCAAAACCGGAAGAATAAAGCGAATTACCCTCCAAGAAAGCACGCCGATATATGTTTTGATGCCCCGGATGAGTGCAAAATGTGCGAGAGATTGAGTTTGGGGTAGCAGTGGCTGTTTCAGTTGGTTGGCTGATTGGTTGGTCGGTAGGTTGGTGGGTCGGTAGGTCGGTAAGTTGGTAAGTAGGTAGGTAGATTGGTTGGTTGGAAGGTTGGGAGCTTGGCTGACTGGCCGGCCGGCCGTCTGGCTGGCTGGCTGGTTGGTTGGCTGGCTGGCTGACTGGTTGGTCGGTCGGTCGGTCGGGTGGTTGGTTGGTTGGCCTAAGTAGCTATGCCACATCACCAAAAGCCTCGAGAGTGATCCAGAAGGTTGTTGCAATTTGCTTATACTTGTCCTCCAGGAAGATCCATGCCCAACGAGACATGAGTGGTTCCTGTGTGGGGCAAAGACTGTCAGGGTGGGGTGTGTCCCGTTTGTTTGGAGCTCGCAAAATCAAGTGGTCCGTTGCACGGCGAACCCAACAACAACGGCTACGCACACTTTGGTTTCTATTCAGACCGCAACGCAACCCAGAAATCCTGTAAAACACTTCAAAAAGGTACCTTGCAAAAAAAAAGAGACCCGCAATCTCAGAGGGGTTTCCCGTATGCACATGAATTTGCCCCATGAAGCTGGGAACCATTGGCTGCCCGAGGTTGGTCGTCGCAGTCCTTTCCGCCTGAGCACGCAGGCAATGGCGCTGGCGTGCGTGAGAAGTCAGGAGGAAGGAAGGGGGACCTAATAACTGAACATGGTTGTTGTTGGGAAACATTTTTCATTTTTGCTTATTGTGGTTTAGTGGGAAATCCCCACTTAACTGCTAAACTTTAATTTTTTGCTCCCCTTCCAACGTCAACCGATTGAACTCTGTGGAGTCTTTGCCCAGACAAGCACCAGAGTGGTGGGGAGCGGCGGGCTAGGGTTCCGGAGGGGGCTTCCGCTTGGGGATACGACCTGGGTAATATTTTTCTACGCGAAAACAGATTCAACTTTCGGGACTAAGCTGATGAGAAACGACTTTTTTGAACTTCGATTTTCAGGGGTTGCGAAGCAGCCCATTCCTGGTGGTGTTTGTTTCGGGACGCTACGTCCAGGGGTCTAACAGAATCTATTGTAGAACCACTATGTACATATACATATATATATATATATATGTATACACATGACACATGTATACATATATAATTATATATATAGTGACTAAGCGGAGTGTCCCGCATTTTCCCAGGGCGGCCTGGGGCATCTAATGGTTGCGAACTCGCCAACTCGCCTTTCGCCAGGCATCCAATGGCGTGCACCAGCCGCTGGTGAAGGCACGGGCTTCGTCGAGCGCAGTCGTGGGGTTTTCTCAGCTTGGTTTCCTTCGCAACGGGCTAGGTTCCCGAAGAATTCTGGTGCTTGCTGTTGGGGATTGGGCAAAAGTTTGTTTTTTTTGCCGGGTCAAAATTTGAGTTTCGTCTTGAGCCCTGTTTACCCCTTGCACACTGACGCCAAGAGCGGGGCTCACCACTGCCGGGGTCTACCTGAGGATCCCTTAAGTCAGATCGATAAATGGATTCATAGCGAGGAAATACTTAGAGACTTTTCCAGAAGTTGCAGGATGGGCAGCAATTCCCGTTGAGTGCTGGGCTTTGGAGACTTCTCTCCTGGCTTGCAACCCGGGAGGCACCAGAGAGGAAGCCACTGGATCGCAAGTGGCTGGAGGCAGGCGCTGTCTGCACGGGACAGCGTGAGCAGTCTCTGTGGCACCTGCGGCTGAGTTTAGATATGATACATAATCTGTACAAATCTTTAACGATGTACCCTGGGAAAAGTTTAAGTGTGGCTGGTTTGCTGATGGTGTTTAGACTCTCTGATTTTGGTACACCCATCTCGATGGAAACAGGTTTGTAGAGCCAATGGATTCAAGTGGTTTAACAAGCAATTTCGCATGAAGGTCCCTTCGGGGATTTCTTACTTCCTGTCAAGCATAGCACTTTGTCCAGTGGTTTGCTGGATGTGAAACCCATGGGGCAGAGGAAGTCCTCTTTGACTTCCCGCCCAAAAGCCAGACATGGATCAGTCCTCAAAAGACAGAACCATCAACAAAGGGTATCCTAGAGCTCTTTTTTTCTTGCGATTTGGCACTGGAATGAAAGTCCAGGAAGCGCAAAGTCCTCTTTAGAGCATGGTCTCAAAATGGGGTGTTGGTGTGCATGTCACCAGCTGTGCATCAGAAGTGGATGTATGTGTGTGAAAAGAAGCTCGTTTGGGTGAGGGGTTCAAAAGCATTTGACGAAGGCACGATGCAAGACATGCTGGGAAATTCAGAACCCTCCCGTACAAAAATATGCATGTATATATATATATATATATTCTGCTTGGTAGCGACTGTGCTGGCAACACATCCTCCGTCAGAGCCCTTGGGTCTTTGCATTTTTTGGAGGACTCGGAGAGCGAAGACTTGCACTTCTCCCGCGAGAGCAGCCTGGCACTCGGTTTGACCCAGGGCGCAGCTGTGAGGAGTTTGGGGGGGGGGTGCTGTTGGGGAGACCACCTGACCTTAGTTTCGATTCGGTTGACCACAAGTTTAGGAGGGTTGTTAAAATTCCCCCCTTGAATTGGCAAACGTTAAACCTTATATGTGGTGAAAGTCTTTCCTGGGAATAGGCTTCCTTTGGAGAACAACAAGAGGTCTAAGCCAAGAAACTTTGACGTCACAGGGAAGCTCCGGCTAGCCGGCGAAGCCGAGGAGGGGGGGAGGGGGCAAAAGTTTCGAAAAGTATTTTTAATAGTACTTATCTTTCTCTTTCTACTGTTCTTTCTTTTTCTTGTCTTTCTTCTCTTCTGATCTTGTTCTTTTCGTTCTTCGTGATAGTTGTGATTGGATGTCCTACCAGTCGTCATATGCTTGCATGTCATGCTCGTTGGGTCCTCTCTGGAATCCCTGCAGCTCCAGATGGTTTCAAGGGGCTGACCTCCTCAGCCCCCCCTTTAGACAAGACTTGACCTCCAAAGAATCCTGAAACCAGGGTTGCTCTGAGCCTTTCAAAGATGACAGATGCTCAAGGCTAGACACTTTGACTGGCATGTTCTCAGATGCTTCATGCTCAGATGCTCTCTGTTCTTTGTTTCCCTTTAGCTGGCACCAGGATTCGGGTTTCACGAGCGGCGATGCTCATGTTCCCCGAGGTGTCTCCAGCGAGCGAGCGGCGAGCTCAGCTGTCATTTCACCCCTTGACGAGGAATCCGGGCAAAAAGTCGAATAGCCTATATTTTTGATTATGAATGGCATGCGAGCGAGATTCCAAGGATCGCCTTTTCCCATGGGTTTCCGCCCGCAGGAGCGGCCGGCGCCTGCGCCGCCTGCGCCGGCACCAGCAGCGGCGCAAGTGGCGCCAGCTGCACGCCGCAGCAGGCGGGATCCGGATGCGGCGAGTCTGGGCAGGAACTGCTGGACCGCGCAAAGTGTGGGTTTGCCACCGAAGATAGCCAAGAAAGAGTCCTTTCTTAGGCCCGTTTCTTAGTGGGTGAACTAGTATGTATAGATGTATATATATATATATCATTCAGGCCAGGGAAGGTATATGTTTTGGAATCTCCTGTTGGCCCTCAAAACGGCTTGGAGACTCCATGCATTGGCGTACTTGCAATAGAAAGGTTTGCGCAGGTGTTCGTCAACCGCTTTTCCCAACGAGGAAGGCTGGTCGGAGGGTCTATACTGGGTGGGGGCAAGCCTCTCTTTTGGGGCCGAGCGGTGACAAAATAGCATGGCCTCGCACGAGACGGCAAATATGTTCCTCAAATTGGTTTGGGAAACCCGAACAGTGGCATTCCATGTTGTTTTCCGGTAAACCGACCTGAAACAGGGTACCCTGGCCCGCAATGGTTTTTTGCATTCTCCCATTCACCCGGTTCTCGGATTTCTCCAGGGCAAACTTGTCGATGCCAGGACTGGGTCACCATTTCGCAGTGTGGCGCCCTCGGTTTTCTCGAAGTTAAGGTCAGATGTCCTTTTCCCGAGTGATATCCACATGTTTTGGAAATGCCAAGGCGCGGGCCCCAGGCCCCATGGCGGGCCCTTCTGGAGAGTTTGGAAAATTTGGATTTCCTTGAAGCCAAGCTGAAACAGGCACCCTCAAAGACGCCCCCATCAACCATGCTTCAAGGGTCAAAAGGAGACTCCAGGTACTGGCTGCTTTCCGAGTAGAACCATGCGGAAATGTGAATCAAACAGGCACCACTGCACCATGATGTGTTCTACAAGTAAGTCTGACCTTGGGAGACCCGCCTTGCTGGAGAAAACAAGTGCAGATATTTGCTTCATACACCATACAACATTCATTTCAGGATCCTTGGCAAAAAATCGAACGCCTGCCGGGGGTTTGCGCAGCCGTCCACCCAAGATCCCTCCTTTGAGGCTCTGCTGAGACAGAGGACTCGGGGAAGGGAAGCTGCAGCCGAACTGAGTCAGAGCGGCGCCATTGTTCCCGGTCCCAATTGGTTTCCTACTAACTTCCATTTGCTTAAGAATATGTTGTTTTTATTTTCCCCTGTTGGTTTTTAAAGGGCCGTCTATCACTACCGGACATATTTGTTGTTTCCAGCGGTCTTAACCAATTGGTTTGCTAAAGACAGCCGTCAAATAAGTCGCAGTAAAAGCCAGCGCAGCTGGTTGTGATAGGTGAAGGTTGGTGTCCAATGACGGGAACGAAGAGTGAAGGATGACTAGCGTGCCCGCTTAGCTGTTTCACATGTTTGCTAACATGGTCTGGCCATTTGGGTGATTTGGGTGTCAAGGGCTGCCTCTTCCAGAGCTTATTTTACCATAATTACAAATGCGGGATGAGGAATCACCTCTGCGTCTCCAACTTGTGTCCTTCTCCAATATCTGGAATGAGAACTCGCCCAAAATTGGAGACCCCACAGAAGCTACGTCCCAAAAGCACTCGCCTTGAACCTCACCTTTTTGGTCCCAGGTGAAGTAGTCCTCCGCTTTCTTGTTTGGGAGCTGCTGACCTGGCCGGGATCAGAAACCAACAGCATGGGAAGCCAGGATTCGCTCCGCCCATTTTTTTTGCCCAGAACCAAGCAAATGCCCCCGTTGTTTCTCACTCCTTTCCGGACTTGAGACTAGAAGATCCTTTGAGAGCGAACGACGCAGTTGGCACTTGGGCGTTTTTCCACGCTGGTGAGTTGGGTCTTGTTTCTTGTTCGGTCCAGCCAGGAGGAGCGACGCCACGGACCTCAAACCTTCAGGTGAGCTGACCATGTTGGTCAAGATGCCACAAGCTTGTTGGGCAGTTCGTAGCACCCCCCGAGTCCAAGAGTCAGGCCGACCTCTCCCCACAAAGAACGTCATTTTCCCACACCTTCCCGTCGGCTGTTATGTTTGGGAGGTCAATAGGGCGCAGGGTCTGTTGCGCGGGCTCCACCATTGGGTCATTGACCGCTGATAGGATGGCGCCCAGTTGTCGGCTGCCCTTTTCACTTGTTTGTGGTGGTGGAATGTGTTTGATTTCTTGAGGGAGGCGCCATGAATTGTTTTGCCTGTATGGCGAGCACGATTCGGGGGCAACGTGGGCACAAACCACTCGAGTTCCTCACAGCTGGTAAACTTGCCAGCGGAACTCAGTGGCGCCATGTGACCCATGGAAGATGAGCATCTTGGGCAGCATCCTCGATCTCGTGATCGTCATGATGTTGACTGGGCCTACAGGAGTTGCCATCATGGCAGGTTCATACCGCAAGGTTATCGCTCACGTAATCACACAGGTCCTTCGCTTGCAAGCAAGGTGGTGCACAATCCAGTTGAGGTGGTGGTGCATTTTGCATCATAAGGTGTGCGGTCAGCTCCAGATTCCTGATCGGCCGAACGGGTTGTCAAAACGGTCAACAACATACGGCCTGAGCATGAGGCAGCGTAAGCGTGGTGAGACTTGCTGGCATGCATCCGTATGAAGTCAAGCCACGAGGCTCCCTCTACGCTGCACCGTCGGGCTGTTTTCCGCAGGGCTGCCTTCACTGATGACCGTCGCCGTTCGAGTGGCTGTTCAATGAGCCCAGTGATGACCATGCCAGGGCCAACAGAAAGGCCAACTTGACCCCAGAAAGAAACAATCAACCATTTCCCTTTTTCAACGTTGGCCTCCCAGTGAAACTTCCATGGGATGACAAAAGAGCGAGGGCGCATATCGCGCAGGCTATCCGGCTCAGCCGGCTCAGCTGGGCTCTCAGGGTACCAAGGGTGCGGGACGGCGGCAAAATGGAACCCAACCCCACTGGATGAAACCCGCACTTTGCAGGGTTTTGCGACCAGCTTTGAACATTTGCGCCTGTACTCGCGTTTCGCATCAGAAGTCAAACCCCTCGGAAAAAAAAAAAAAAAAAAAAAAAAAAAAACGTGGGTTCTCGCAGCAGCCTATCTCTCAGCTTAAGTTGTTTCAGTTCTTGTCGGAAGCTGTGGCACGTGGAGTTTGCATCCATTGCAGTTTTGTCAAGCATCACGTATGCGATGTTAGTGCTTGGTTAGTACTCCATGTTTTTACCCGTGCCATGTGACAGGTGTCCTTTGATTGCATGTGTTTTTGCAACAAAACAGCTTCGCAATCCGAAGACACTGACCGATTTCGTGCGTTCAGGATTTGGCGTCCTTGTCCGGATTGTGGATGAGAATGAATGGGCGCCCGGTCAAAAGGCTTGTCAGTTCAAGTTGACACGCTCGGCATCCACTGGCCAGTGTCTGTGATAACGTGGAAAATGCCATTTGGTTACTGTAAATCTGCAGGCATCATGTGGCTTTGAGCACGAAGGCTCATTGTAAACGCCCAGCATTCTTGCCTCAAACATAGGTCATTGGCCTTTGTTTGAGGCTTTACCATAGTTCCACGCCACTAAGCTTGTGGCATGGGTTGGCATAGGTTCGTACAGTCAGCCTGTCACCGGGCCCCCTACAGAGACCGTGGGTCCATCTTTCTTGCGGGCGCCTTCGAAGTCCCTTTCCAAACTTACTCGGGGCGCGTGTCAACAGCAGGGCCTCCTTGAGTTCTAAAGGGCTCAGCAAAAGTGACGCCCGCTAAATACGAAATAGGGCCCAAGCAATTTGAGCGCACTGCCTCTGCACTCAGGCCGGACTTGTATTTCTCTGCAGGCGCGCTTTATTTTGGTGGAAAAAGCCATGTTTCAAATGGGCAAAATGCATCTTTTAAGGAGCCCTGACAAATAAACAGATGAACAGACGGACGTGTAGGTCAACGGAATTTCTCCTTCAGGAAAACACCCCCTAATTCTCAGATCCATGGTCAACGCACACGGAGATTTTGACAGGGGTGCCATGAGCAAGCCTCCACGCAACAAAATATTTTGAAGTATGGATCTGGGCCCCCTGAGTTCCCATGTAGATCGGCTGAAATGAGTGGCAGCGATCCTATAGGCAATGTTCAGGTGTACAATGTAAGGATCCCTGTTTGTGGAGGCCGTAGGTCAGCCACGCGTTGGTGCGGTGCCAGGCGAGCCGCCGCATGCGACGGAGGCGCCGGACGAGGCGCTGAACTTGCTGAAAGCCCTCCAACGGCAGCAGGAGGAGCAGCTCATGGCAGCGGAGAAGGCGGTGGTTTTAGTTTTGCTGGCCTTGGCTATGAAAAAGCACGGGTTCAAAAATAGTGTTCTGTTCAGAAGGCAAGGATATGGTTGAGCGCGATGTTTCGGTAGAAATGCGGAACACAAGCTGAACAGAAGACTAGTCAATACTGACAACACATCGAATGTCGTACCGAAGGAACACCAGCTGTGTCAACGTAAGGCAGCCCAAGAGCGATAGCGTCTAGGAGATGTTTGACGTGTGATGGCATGGTTATAGGCAAACAAAATCAGAAACGCTGCGATAGAGCATGTCCAAGCCAGGGTGTCTGTTTGCCATCTTCTGTGGAAAATTGATCGACCCCCTCGTAGTGAAGGACTCCTTGTTGAGGGCGTCGCCAATTTTCTCACAACAGGCAGTAAAAGACGCCCGCACGCAGGAGTCCTGCCTTGCACTCGCAGCCGTAGTTGACGCCCATCTTAGCCATTTGGGATTTGGTTGAGCAGTGCCTCCACTTCCTGGTTGAATAGGACCCTCAGTGAGGGAATCTACGGATGTTCCCACACCCCAAGGTCTATCGAATCAACGTTTCCTTGCACGCAGAAGCAACATAACGGGTTCGAGGCAAATGTGTGTACTGATTTTGCTTACGGGTGTTTCGATATTGGAGTCCCTCGTTTGATGCGTGTTGCAAAGGAACACCAAAAGGAAACCAAGAGGAAATCAACCATAGGCACCTTGGTGGAACCCCTGCAGTCGATGGGTTCTGTGCGCGGCATCCCTTGAGGCATCACTCTCCTCCGGCCAGCCGCGGAGTTCCTTCCGCGAGCGCACGCCCGGAGGAGGCGAGCACCCAGAAGCCCAGTTGCCCCGTGCGCAAGGGGAGACAAGACAAAAGCAACGGGAAGCAATCAGAGCTTAGGACATCCATGTAAAGCCTCCTGGGACGTGAACTTCGAGTACATTCCAGGTTCACTGATAAAGACCAGACTCCAAACATGTAGGTTCCCTTTGAGTTGGGGCAAAGGCCTGGTGGACACGACCAGTGCTTCAGCTTTCGCCAGGCGTGTCCAGGTTCCTCAGGTCTGGCTCGCGGTCACACTCGGAGGCTCGGGGTGGATGGGCACCGGCGTGGAATGGCATGCCGCTTGGGTCAAAGAGTGAGGTTTCTTAGGTCGTTCTCCATGTGTGTGTGTGGTGTGTGTGTGTGTGTGAGTGAGTGTGTGTGTGAGAGAGAGGGTGAGTGTGAGAGAGAGTGTGAGTGTGAGTGTGAGTGTGTCTGTGTGAGTGTGTGTGTGTGTGTCTTTTTGCGGTGGTCGCTGGTCGTGATGTTGTGGTTGGCCTTGCTGGCTTCCTTGTTTCTATTTGCCGCCTCTCTCGCTTGCTTGCCACAGCTGCAGCGGCTGTGGCCCAACTGCGCCAAAGACTTTGAGTCTGTTCGACAATTGGGCAGTTCCTCCTTCTCTCATCCAACTGTTGCAGACTACTGTCACGAGCATCTTGCGGAAAGTCATCTCTTCTCTCCTACCCCCCCGACCCCGGCTGAGAACCCCGACCCCCTGATAAACGGCTGAGAACCTGCGGTTCTTTGCACGGATTTCCAACAGATTTCAGCACAGCACGCACCCACCAGTTGCCCAGTGGCGCCCCTCTATTTTGCCCCTTCTTCTTTTTTTGCGGGAAGGGTTCCCCTTTAAACTCAACCAACCAAAGAAAGGATGCCCTTTTTTTCTGGACATCCACTGGGCATCTGTGCGACTGTCTCAGGCTCGGGAGGCCAAGCAAAGCCCGGGCTGGGGGCTCAGACGGAGAGGGCCGCATCTGCAGCTCAGCGACGGATATGGGCCATGGGGCAGACTAGAACCTGTGGCTCCATTTTGGGGTGGATGAACATCCTTTTTCCCACCTATTCTGATGTTCACCAGGGGTACAGGGTTTTGGTTTTGACCCGCAGCCATATGTATTAGAACATATTAGAACCCTACGTTTGGATTCCGTGCCGAACTCCAATTGAGTTTGGGTACAGACGTTTCACAAGTTTTGCCAAGAGCTACTTTTGAATGGCTTTACCGCAAAATTGCAGGCAGCAATTCCTCCGGGCCAGACTCTCCACGCAACTCACCCAAGGTATTGTTGCATGAAGCACCTTCGAGCTGACACGGTTCGAAATTGGTGCCAGAACGGAGCTTGTCGCGAGATTGGTGGGGAGCCTGGAAAGTGCGGTTGGAACCAGTTCTCCTGACAATTGACACGTCACTCTAAGGGTTGATTCCCCATTCTTTCGTCACATGCGCACTCAGTGCAACGATCGGTCTTTCCAGCCGGTTTCGGCCCAGTTTTTGATTTTTTTCTGCAGCGAGCACTGACGCATGCAGAAAGTTGTCCCGCGGGCTAGGGGTAGGGCCAATAGACTAGACAACCCCTTCCCCTGACCTGCCAAAGTCATGCCGCTGCAGGCAATCGATCTTACTGGCAGCGTTGTGTTTTCAGGGGCATCGTTCTTTCCCTACAACCATCGTTCTTTCCCCAGGGCCATCGTTCTTTCCCCAACCATCGTTCTTTCCCCAACCATCGTTCTTTCCCCACAACCATCATTATTTCCCTTCTTTCCCCACCCCATCGTTCTGTCCCCCAGCATCGTTCTTTCAATCAAAGGTCAGTGTGTCTCTGTTATTTGTTTTTCGCTTTTGCATCTGTTTTGGGTGAAAATTGGAAAACCAGAAAGAATGGGGAAGTATTGTATGAGGCCACATTTTCGGTTAAAACCCATTCTTTCCAAGCATCCAATTTTCTAGGATTTCCGGTCTTTCCTCCCGAAAGTGATGACAACTGCTGCGTGGGCTGCTGCGTGGGCCCCCATTGAAAGAATGAGGAAGTGAATTGGAAGCTTGTGGAAAATTGGCTCGCGGGCACCACTTCGGTGGGTTGGCTGATGAGGGGCCCGCGGTGCCATCAGGAGGATGCTTCAATGCTTGCCGTGAAGCCACGGGCTTTATGTTTGTCAGTGTCGCCTTGGCAATGATTCATGACATGGATGTGGGCAAAACAACAAGGGCAAGGCTGACCGCCCCTGCTTTGGAGAGGCCTGGTGGGCTGCTGGGAGTCGGCAAAGGGAGAGAATGGTAACAGTTGAGTTTTAGCCTTGCTTGGGTGGACTGCTTCGATGGTAATTGTTGTTGCATCCATTTTGGGGGATAATTGGGTTAGCTCTTCAGAATGGGGTGGTGTGGCTTAGAGTCACCCCACGAAGCGCTTGCTCTGAGCAAGCTCCTTGTCGCGGATTTTTGTTCAGTGTCGCAAACTAGCTTGTTTGTTTTTCCTCTCCATCCTGTCCACGACCAGACTTGTGCTGAGCACCGGTTTGCTGGCCCAAGGTTTTGTGGCGCGACCAGCGCAGGCGAGATGGTTTGGGAGCAGACCCCAAAGAAACCGTACAAGTTTTGGCGACCTCAGCTGGGACGTTTCAGTTCACAAGATGCGGACCAGAATCAAAACAAGCGACATTTCACTAGCGGCAAGACCTGGGCTGGTTTACTTGAAGACTGCGCATTACTGTCGTGAGTTTTACGTGGCACGTGTGTGTGTGTGGTCATTATGAGACCCCAGCTGCCTCGGGCTGCCAAACCATGACTTAGGTTCACTTGAAAAGGCAATATATATATATATATAAACCCTAATAAATGTGCACAGGCGGCTGTTTTTGTCAGAACTCCTTTGTGCTTGGAGTATTGGAGCCCGAGAGTGTCTGATCCGGATGAGGCAAATAGCACGGGCTGCACGTTGAAAAGACGAAGCGCAGAGATCATTGCCAGATTTGGCTCGCCTTTTTGTGCTTTTGCCTTTTTGGTGTTCCATGCTTTCCCCGTTCAACCAGTACTGTGCACAGTTAACTTTGTTCAGGGGTCGAAGTCTAGCCCAGAGATGACGAAGGTTTCTGAATCAGGGCACACTTTTCACAAGACCAGGGAATCCTCAGTCGCTTGGAGTGGTTTTTGCTGGAGCGCAGCGGCGGCAAAGCCACCAACTTCGTATCTAGGACTCGTGCTTTTGACGATCTTTCAAGGTGGTCTCACGTCAAGTTCACTTCCGTTGAACCATTTTGGTAAAATGTGTGCACGCAACTCTTCCCCGGGTCCCGTCTGCAGGCTGAAATGCATATTGCAGAGGGGAGCTCTCCTTCCTCGCAGCAAAAGAAACAACATGTCCTTCCATTTGCTTAAGAACATTTTGTTATTTGGGTATGGGTCAAAATGAAAGCACCAGGGGACCGCAGGTTTCCCTTGTTTCTGTTCTCCAGGGTTCCATTTTGGGTAACTAATTATTTGTGACCCACTGCCATTTTCCCCTGTTGGTTTCGAAGAGAATCTATACTGTTATTTGCAAAGCAAAAAATGAGGTTTATGTGTCGTCCTGGTTAAAAAAACATGATCCACCCGTACCTGGCTGTCCCGCAAGCGCCATGCCCTGCCCCGCGCAGGCAGTGCCCGCGCGGCGCCTCTACCGAGTAACCACGAGGCGGGGTAAGCATGCCATGCGTGCCCCCAGAAAAAAAAGAGGGGGAAAAAAACAATCAAACAAAAGAAAACTCACTAGAGGTCCCTGGAGACAATATGATGTTTAACGCACCTTTTGGTGGGTTCCATTTTTGAGATTAGCACCATGGCTGATCCAGAAATAGACCTGCTCTTTTTGGACCTCTTTCCAGGCTTCCACTTGCTAGTGCCATTTGCAACAAGGTGAGTTTGTGCGCTACTTAGAGAGATGCTTATGGCTAGCATCATTTGTGTATGACATTGTAGTGGCACTGATGCAAGCAGAAGCGTTGTTTCCTTTCCTACCTGCAAACCAATGGAATTCCCTTGGGCCACTTTGGCTGTGTTCACACCTGGATCAATCAGCAACACGGGAGATACTCAAAATTGGGGCTGTCGCTTCTTGGGGACCCTGCTAGCATTGTGTTTTTGCATCGCCTCTTTTCCGCGGTCAAACATGTGGTTTGACAGTAAGATTGAAAGAAATGGAAGTGGGCCGTCGGAGCTGGAGGACAAGAATTAGTTGACCTCATCCGTTTGCACACGTCCACAGGATTTTTTGGTCGTGACCACGCCATGTACCGAACCCAGCGGCTGTTTGGCATTCGCGCCAGGGGCCTCGGCATTCGCGCAGGAGCCGCCTTGGGTTTGCCGGGGTTGCGGCGCGGGGCAAAATCAGTGAGGCTCCATGAGAGGGTCTCTGAGCCACCGGAGGCCCACAAACCCCAAGGGATTTGGGCGGCATAGCTGGCCAGAGGCCCCAAAGATGACTGCGCAACTACATATAAGAGAAATTCTGACCTTGGGCCGAAGGGCGTGTTTTCTTAAGGGCGGCTAGAAGATAGAAGGCAACCCATGGCCAATGTTTGGGGAGTGATCTGTGGAAGGGAGCGGTTGCAACAAGAACTGGCACGTGCCACCAACCACTTGTGTCGATTCCTGGTTTTGGCATGGTGACAGCGTGGACCAAAGGCAACAACGAGGCCAGGAAAGGCAAAACAGTCGACTTGGCGAATTGATCAGCAAACGTTGGTCGTTTTGAGTCCCTTGGTGCCCTCATGTCCGTTTGCTGAGGCGTTGTTGCCCAAAAGCGGAGGTCTTCAGAACGGGCACCACACGTGGACATAGTGACGAAGTTGCTGTTCCTTTGAAACGACTGTCATTTAGACTGCAATCAGGGGCGCCCCAAATGAGATTCCTCTAAAGGCAGTGCGTTATACTCATCTTCTTGTCAGTAAGGCGTAGGGACTGTCTGTAGATTCCGCGGTCTGAGGTGGACCGACAAGCAACAAGGGCAATGGAATCATGGCCCCTATGTCCGTTCAGTGTCCTCGAAAGATCCGAAGCCGAAGCCACAAGGAGAGGGATGATGTTTGAAGATTCTAGCCCTATTGACCTCGAGTGGTTTCACGGACACTTTCTTTTTGCTCCGAAAGTTTTGGGGAGATTATGACCCTCACATCTCCCCATGATTGGAGAGTACTACCTGATTTTGGCACATCTTTCTATATGGTTCCAGTTTTTGCTTTTTTTTGGATCCTTTGCAAGCGATCCGTGCCAATCGCCCAATTGCGGGCGCAGGACCTTCGGTGGATGGCCCCCGCACGGGCGCGCTGCTGCGGAGGGGCGACATCTTTGAAGCCTCCGTGGTGGCACCAGGCACTTCCAGTGCGGACGCGCCGACAGGGTAGGTTTTTCCGGTAGTGCCCTTTTCCTTTTTTTTTTCCGGGAGGGTTCCCCTACTGAAATCGACTAAAAACAAAAAATCACGGGCACCCTTATACTAACTCTCTATTGGAGGACCTAGCAGGTCTAAGTGGAGGAACACTAAGACTTCTCCTGGGGCTTTTGACCTCAAGGGGAATCAATCATGCTGCCCCCTGAAGTGGTCGCATTTTGAGGGGTTCTCAAAATTGCTGCGGCGGGAAACCTCTTGACCATTTAGAGTCGGTGATTTAGAGAAAATGTCACTTTAGACTTTGGACCCAGAACCAGTAATGGTTCAGGCATGGGCCCTCCCCTTTTGTGAGCCCAAGGCCACACCATATAACCTTTGGCGAAGTTTCTGAGCCCTGGCTTTGTGGAGTTTTTTTTAACCAACATTGTCCTTGTCAGCTTGGTCTACATATTAAGCTGGCAAGGACAATGGATTTCTCTGGTTTGGGTTTGGTCACATGATTCACACGCGTGCTCGTTTCCACAGAACTGGACCTGTCAACAGCCCTGCTTTGAGCGTTCGGGCTTGCTGACATGGGGTACTGCACCAGAGAATTGGAAATGACACCGGATCTTAAAGAGTCTTCTGACGGCATGGCACGCGAGCTCTAGACATTTGATAGGTGGTTCGCTCCTGAGTTGAAAGGGCTAGCTTGGCAAGCACCATGATCTCTAACAAAGTGTACGTGTACTCTCTTGGTGCGTCTTTCCTTTTTTTCCCTCAGGGCTGGGCTGTGGGAAAAGGGCCATTCCCGTGTTAAACCCGAGGCCGCTTACTCCGCTTATCCAGAGATGCAAATGGGTGTGTCTTGTTTTAGGGTTCTCTTGGGGTAGTTTGAAAGGGACCCAGAAAGGAAAACCACAGTCGTCTCTTGGCTTTGCATTATGACTCTAAGCCGTATACGGCGTGGCAGACTTTAGCTTTGGCGCCACATTTGAACCCGGCGCTGGTGCGAAAATTAGGGACCCTGTTTGCGGCTGACGCGGAAGATTTGGAGGGCGACCCTGCGATTTGGCCGACCCCCATCCTGTTTCTTTGGCCCATATGGGGAGACATTGCCATGCCAGTGAATCCAGTTACTTCAGAACCGGGAGAAGCCATGACAGGAAACCGGATGGAAGCTGCAACTTGTTCGTATCCATGGATCCACTGGGCGTAGCATATTTCGGATTTCGGCTTTCGAACGTTCAGGCGTGGACGGGCGTATCTACCTCAAGCTGGCTGGATGGTGCCAAGCTGAGGATCCGCTTGTTGGAGGGTCGTGAGCTGCATCGGTAAAGTCTGCCTACAAAACATGACAACATGGTGGATAAGGATCAATGTGGCAGATTCAGGGATCCAGTCTGCACAACAATCACCTGGGGGTAAAAACATCTAGGGCTTCTTTCCTGGGCTTGAGTATCTCTGGCTTGTGAAGGATTCAGTATGACTCAGTGTTCTGATCCAGCAGGGTGGCAATGTCCATCAGTCCGCTCCAGTTTAAGGCCCCATTGCTTGGGCAGTATATGGACTGCCCGGTTGTAGAAGCTTTCTCAAGGACATGCCTAGCCGCACATATCAGGCAGGCCATCCGGCCATCCAAGCACGTTACCCTTCAGGTGACAGGACAACTATGTAGGGTTTTACTGCTATGCCACGCAACCCTTCAGGTGACAGGAAGAATATGCAGGGTTGGACTGCTAAGCTGAGCCTATCGTTTGGTTCGGTTCATTGGTTGCACAAGGGTTACTGGTGTTGTGGATGCCTTTCAGCTATGAGGCGTGGCTGGGCATTCGACGACTCCGCGGTAGATCCTGAGGCAGGATGCCCTCCGCGAGTTGCAGCTTCGTGGTGTTGAACCGGGGGAAATTGCCCTTTTCGTTGGCCTTCAAAGGACAGCTTCTGCAACAACTCCTACAACAACCCCTTTTGGCCACAGTGAAAACTCCTGCAGACTCGGGTTTAGTTGGAGCTGCGACCATGACACGCTGGCGTGGTTTGACCCAGGCGAGCCTCGGCTTGTCCGTCGGGGAACTGAGGAACACTCATGGAGAAACTATCAGAAGTATAGACGTCTTTTGAGCCTTTGGGGTAACCGAAGTGGGGTGGGGGTGTTCGCACCCAGTTTATCTGCGCAAGGGGCCAACGCATCCAATTTGAGGTCCTTTTGGGGCTTGAGTCGAATTTTAGGCACATGTGGGTGCTTGGTCAGATCGTCCCTGCAGACTCTGGCTCCAAAATATTGCATTGCCCCTCTCTCATGGGTCGTGTTCGCAAGGTGTCCGGCGAAGATGCGATGACCGAGGATGAGTTCGCTGCATGGTGGGGTCAGCACCACCAGCAAGGGGGGAGTTTCATCGATGCACTCCGGCGCACTCTGGCGATTCGACTGCGAGTGAAGAACTTCCGGCAGTTGGCGCTGGTCTGCGGCCAAGATAAGCTTTCACCAGAGAGCCTGTGGATCGATACAGAGCTGGTGGTCATGATCCAAGCATACCCTCAGTCCGGCAATGAAGAGTTGGTATGGGCGGCCGGTGATGTTGCACACGTTGTGCACCTTCTGGAACGGCCTTTGGACCCAGATTTCAAATACCTCGGCAGTACAGCTTTGCACCTTGCTGTCAGGGACGGCCATCTGGAAGTTGTGCGCTGCTTGCTAGAAGCTGGCGCTGATCCGGACAGCCGAAATCATACTGGAATGACGCCAATGCATATGGCCGGCAAGTATGGCGGAACCAAGATCATGC